CACATTTTGTAGCATCCGGCGGTGTACAAGTTAACTGGTAAACCTACAGGATCCAGGTTGTAACTAAAAATGGCTGTAGTTATTTTGACCGCTAATCGCTTTTAATCGCATTTAAATTTGGGAGCGCTAGTCGTAAGTTGAAGTATTATGTTGGGATAGTAACCTTTGTCTTTATGAAGAAATACACCAAGGCCTGTTTCATGAACTTGTTTGCCTGCTATTTAAGATAGTAATCTATGTGAAGGTTTAGTTTTTCTATAGGAAGTAGGTTTGTAGATTCTTTAATAAGCACTTCCCCATTTTAAATTATAGACCATCCTTTACTCTTCTATATTTCTGATATAACTCACGTGTACTAACTTAACAATTTTTTTCTGGCGACACTCGGGTGTGAGTGCTATAGCCCCCCCCCCCCCCCCTCCACTAATCCCCGCCCTCTACAGTAAGAAGTAGAAGAAAAAAATTATAATTTATATTAAAAACTCGAACCAGAGTCCGCTCCCCTCCGAAAATTTTGAGAGCGCCCTCACCCCCATGAGGTTTCTACCCCACCCCTTGAGAAAAATGTCGGAAAGAAACCCGGTAATAACTGAGGAGGTGTGGGGTTCAATTTTACATCTGTGTCAATGTCAAGTTACATTTAAACTATTTTAATCTTCTATACTGTATGTTCTTGTACCGCTGACGATGTACAACATAATCTCTAAGATATTTATTGTGACAGTGAGGCTCAATTTCTACGTGCACATTTATTACGTTTTATTGTATAATATAGCTCTTAGGGTCGTCCAAAAACATCGTCACGTTTTTTAAACGTCAACCCCTCCCACCCCATCGTTGTATATCGTTATGAAAATTCGAGACCCACGAATCTAAAATGAAGAAACACCTTACCCAACCCAACCCCCTACTCACTCTACATTGCACAATTTTTAAAACTGATTTCTTTCTAAAATATTAAATATTCATTAAGCTCAGTCAACATTGAGTATAAATAGTATATTAATCAATTTCTATTAACTTTTTTTTTAAAAAAACGTACAATAACGCTTTAATGTTCAGTTTCTAGCATTACTTTCTGTAGTGTAAAAATGTGTCATTACACTTTCTAAAATCCCCACTTCCCAAATCCGTTTGATACACATCCTTACAAAAGTCCACCAGCCCGGCAGTTCCTCCCACCCGCGGTATGACGTCGTAATGGACCCCTCCCTAATCGTTTATCTAATGTTATTGTGAAATATCCTAACATTTCTAAACCATTAACTTACAACCTGTAGATTTAGTTTCCTGTCTCAAGCAGGACCTCCATTACATGTAATGTCTACCACACAAATAGAAAACGTTTTAATGCGTCGGTCTTAAGTACATGTTACAAAACCTATCCCCGGTTAGATCAGAACTCAAGAGTCGAGTGTTTGTTCAAGCATTCAGCGCTCTCCTCTGTGAAATGGTAAAGTTAGGCAATACGCCGTCTCGCATTTCTATGCAATGTAGATTTTTTTTTAACTGCTGGCGATTAACAAGCATCATACATGAAAGTTGTAGAAAAAAATCAATACTCCACTTTAAGTGTTACACACACACACACACATACATATATATATATATATATATATATATATATATATATATATATATATATATATATATATATATATATATATATATATATATATATATATGTATATATATATATATATATATATATATATATAGTGACGTTGCGAGGTCGGGTGGCACCCGGTGCGGCACTTAATGGTGTCACCCCCACGTAATATATATATATATATATATATATATATATATATATATATATATATATATATATATATATATATATGTATATATATATGCCCATGCGTGCGTATTATTATTTTTGCATTGAATTAACACTGAGTGAGAAAGTTTGTAAGGGAAGTAACTGAATTACTTAAGGCTATTTTTGCCTTGCCTTGACTGCGTTCATAGAAGAGGGATTTAACATAGACTGCCTACCATTAAGGCTTAACTTTGCTCATGCGCTACCTGTAACTTTAAAATTCACACCCTAGCGCTTCTTACACCACGGAGGGGGGAAAAAACCAACATCAAACGTGAACTTTGACCTGGTTTCTAGTGCCCCGTCATCGCCTCGTGAATTGAGTTTGACAGGGGAGGTAATGTTTGGGTAACACATTTCTACCGTGACGGTTCACGACATTCACTGGAACGTGAAAGATAGAACGCATTAAGTTCCAGTGCTAGAGGGGAGGTAACTTCCCTTGTACTGGAACTTGCTGGAGTATTCTGCACCAGGGGCATCGTCACGGTGTGTAGTTGACCCCTTTATAGTGTAAGGTGACGCCCTTTTTTATAATGTAGAGAGAGTTGACCCCCGTCACGGTGTGTAGTTGACCCCTCTATAGCGTAAGGTGACGCCCTTTTTTAGAATGCAGAGAGAGTTGACCCCCTTTTATTTTTTTAGAGTCCCCACCCCCCCTTACCTTGTATTGGAACTTGCTGGAGTTTTCTGTACCAGTAGCATGATCACGGTGTGTAGTTGACCCTTTTAGAAGGGGGTGAGAGTTGACCCCTATTACTCAATAGTAATATGTGACCCCCTTTTAGGATATGGTGAGAGATGACCCCTTTATAGTGTAAGGTGATGACCGCTTTTAGAATGTGAAGAGATACCCCCCTCCCCTTATATTGTTCTGAAAGTTGCCCCCCCCCCCCCCATCCTACTGTTAGCTTGTACTGGAGATTGCTGAAGTGTTCTATTACAGGGCGTGGAGCAGAGTTTCTTCCAGGCATCTCTTCAAGGGGGGCTAAGCCCCCCCCCCCCCCCGAAAAATTTTTACCGCCCCCCCCCCCCCCGAACGAAATGAAATTTATATAATTTGTATAGAAAAATATATACTTTTAACAGTATCCGCCTCCCCGAAGAAAGTTTACCGATGTGGTAGTATTTGACCCTTATTACTATATAGTGATATTTACTCCCTTCAGGGTGTGGTGAGAGATGAACCCTTTTAGAGAAGTGTATTGAGAGTTAACTCCTTTAAGGATATGGTGATATGACCCCTATATAGTGTAATGTGACGACCCCATTTAGAATGTGGATAGAGATGCTTCCCTTATAGTGTTTTAGGATGTTTTGAGAGATGACCCCATATATAGCGTGTTGACAGATGACCCCTTTTTGGTTTTGGTGAGACGTAACAACTTATACCGTGTTGTGATAGCTGTCCACCTTTCTGTTTATTGATATAGCTGACCTACTTTCTAGTGTTGTCATAGGTGAACACACCAACGCCGTGTTAAACTTGATCCTTTCTGATGTGTTGAGGATAGGATTAGGGATAGGGTTAAGGATAGGATTAGGGTTGGTATTAGGGTTCTGCGGTTGTAAACACACGCATGCGCAGTACCATCGAAAACATCGCCGCTAAGTCGTAGTTTCTCTCCATTGCGCATGCGTATCGCATGCGTATCTTATTCCGACTAGAATCGGCCTAATTCATATTAACCCTCCCCACCCCCATCCCATCCCTGTAGCACATTAGCCCCTCCTCTCATCATATCCTGGTGGATAATGACATATGAGCCTCTTAATAATTTGTGTTGCTTCGCCCTTAGGGTCCGTACATTATCGTTGCAAGGCGAAGGCGAGGGTTCGCAGTAGCGTAGCGAGGGGGGGGGGGGCGGCGGGGGGGGGGGGATCATCTGTCCCCGGGCGCCGAACTTAGTGGGCGCCAAAATGGGTTGGAAAAATAAATTGAAAGATTGAGGGGGGTGCAAATTGAAAGTTTGAGGGGGGGGGGGTGCAAATCGAAAGTTTGAGTGGGGGGGGGGTGTAAATCGAAATCTTGAGGGGGGTGCAAATCGAAAAGTTTGTCCCCGGACGCCGGGAAGGGTCGCTACGCCTCTGAGGGTGCGGACTGCACCGAGCGACACCCGACTTAGTGACGCCGCTGGGTACATAAACTATTAAATAAATATTTAAAATTCTAATGGTTACACACAAGTGATCGATGATAACGATCAATTAGATTTACAGTATTGACGCTGATCGTGGCAAAGACATAATCTTTCTGATTAATATACTGCACCGTTAAGCAATACTTTTGCTTTGGTAAAAACGCCTTTACACCGATTAATTCTTATAATATATTAACACGGCGTTAATCCTAAATAATTTTATAACCAATGTTAAGATTGTTAAAAAACACAATTATATAATTAAAGAAGATACAGTTAGTGTAACAATTGCTACCATATAATCACTACCATATAATTTATGTCATTTTACTAATAATAGCAAAGAGTATATTTTAGATACTCAAAAAATTTAGTATTTTTATGTACGTTAACATAATTAAGTTAAATTAGGATCTGAACACTCTCCAATTATTTGGGAACTGGAGAATTTATAATTGTAATTTTAAAAATAATTAAATTCAAATGTAAAGATTCTGAGGTATCGATGAACCTGATATATTGGCGATAGTAGGGTGATGCGGGTGTGGGTCGAGGTCACCAAATTGTTCGTGCTGTGCTATTCAGGTCAATGTTTTTCTTTCCTCTTCGTTTTTTTCTGCTTCTTCTTCGTTCTGAAATGTAATATTGGTGGGAATTTCGCCAACACAATTAAGTATTCGTGTCAACTTGTTATATAGGAGGGGGATTTCCACCAAACACAATTAAGAATACGTGTCAACTTGTTATCAGACATTCGGCCCGTTGACACCGATTTCAGCCTGTTTTCTTTCTGAGTTTGCTTCCATAGCCTTTATCCACCTTAGAGCAATCGGCATTGCAGCAGTTTTATTTTAGAGCTATCTGATAAGATGCTGTCCCCAGTTAACAACCCTCATAAGCCTGGGGACTAAGACTTATGAAGTAATCATAGACGCTCTCCGGCCTGACCTTGCTGTCCCCAGTTTTTTTAAATTTTGTTTCTCATTTTAAACATTCAAACTTGGTTGATTTGGTCACGTGACAATGTTTTGTTTCAGATTTAAAAGTTTCAGCGCCATCTGGCGGGCGCAGAAACGAACGTAAAATGTTGTCAGCATTAAGCCAGATTTTTCTGCTTCTGTGGAAAAATATACTCCTGCGGTATCGCCATCCGGTAAGTTGAACTATTCAGAGGACAGACTCCTAAATTGTGTAGTTAAGTTAAGCTATCCAGAGGACAGACTCCCTAAATCTGTAGTTAAGTTGAACTATTCAGACGACTGACTCCCTAAATCTGTAGTTAAGAAGCTATCCAGAGGACAGACTCCCTAAACCTGTAGTTAAGTTGAACTATTCAGACGACTGACTCCCTAAATCTGTAGTTAAGTTGAGCTATTCAGACGACTGACTCCCTAAATCTGTAGTTAAGTTGAACTATCCAGACGACTCCCTAAATCTGTAGTTAAGTTGAACTATCCAGACGACTGACTCTCTAAATCTGTAGTTGTCTTAGGTAAGTTACAATACATTACAGTTTTAAAAAGTATGTATTTTTTACACCTTGGTATACTACCTAGTAGTTTTATCGATAAAAAAATCCACTTTATGCCACATCATTCGTCGCAAATACGTTTCCCTTGTCAAAGTGTACTTGTTTTCCTTAAAGCATTCTATCATTTAGATTTAGAGTAATGATACGCTATTTATAGTTAAATCGCCTATAATTTTTTTCCTATATACAACAACAATATACGAAATTGATCCAGTGTGTTATTGCAGATTTACACCGTCGAAAATGTTTAGGCAAAACAGTACTTTTCCACCTCCCCATCCCCAGACAAACACTTTAATCTCGTCTAATCCTCCTTTAGTATCCACATCCTAATGAGTATTTAGCTAGTTTACTGGGTAGTTGAGACAGCTAAATATATTAGACACGATACTTTCACTATTTACGAAACAATTAAACAAAAAAAGTAACTATATTAGTCTAACAGCTGCACCAAAAAGATTGTTCTAGAAAATTCCATGTCACAAACAACGTAGTAAAGAGATTTTATTTAAAATATGTGATTTGCTAGACAGCTATACCCATGTCAAGATATCGACATGCATGTTAAATGAATACATCAGTAACCATCATTTAAATAAGTTTAACACATATGTTAACCCATCGATCTGATTGAACCTCAACAAATGATTTGATGTTTTTGTAGAGTATTTTACTACTTGAACTGGTATGGCCGGTCGCGCTTGTGGGGTTGTTGTCGCTGATGAGGGAGGGGATACCACCAATCAAGTACAAGGATTGTAAGTACATCAGTTGTATTGTATTGTAAGTACTTCAGATGTTTTATAGTAGGATTGTAAGTACATCAGATGTATTATATTCGGATTGTAAGTACATCAGTTGTACTGTATAATGATTGTAAGTACATCAGATGTATTATCTTCGTATTGTAAGTACATCAGATGTATTGTATTAGGATTGTAAGTACATCAGATGTATTATATTCGGATTGTAAGTACATCAGTTGTATTGTATTAGGATTGTAAGTACATCAGATGTATGATAGTAGGATTGTAAGTACATCAGATGTATTATATTCGGATTGTAAGTACATCTGATGTATTATAGTAGGATTTTAAGTACATCAGATGTACTATAGTAGGATAGCAAGTGCATCAGTTATATTAAAGTAGGCTTGAAATACACCAGATGTATTATAATAGGATTGTAAGTGCCATATATGTTATAGTAGGATTGTAAGTGCATCAGATGTATTATAGTAGAATTGTAAATACATTAGATGTATTATAGTAGAATTGTAAGTACATCAGTTATATTATAGTGTATCTAGATGACCAAACCACAGATATTAATACAATCAAAACTCAAAAAGTTTAAAGAACGATACAATGTGTTGACATGACATATAAGACCAACACCATCTTTTCCCTGACCACTTTGGTAAAGATAAATATGCTCATATTCTTTGGTGTGTGTTTTGTCTGTTTTTTATTGTTAATTTTATTCTGAAGTTTGAACTTCCTTGTGTTTCCTAATGTTTAGTGTTGTTTATTTCTAACACGGCTTCATTTATACACACATTTTTAGTATTTAAAAAGTTACATCTCTCATGTAGTTTATCAATGTTAGGTCAGTTAGTCCATTTTAGTATCAACAAAGTCACAACTCTCCTGTCGTTTAACAATGCTGGGTCGTTTAGGTCAGATAGGTATGTTGTATTATCAACAAACTCACAACTCTCTCGTGGTCTATCAATGTTAGGTCAGTATCCAGCCCGGGCCATGCCGAGTGTGGGAGTCACCTCGTTTCTTCAAGGGTTCATCTGTAATCTGGACAACCACTGTTTCACCTCACAAACCACGCTTTCGTTAACAGAACAAACAACGAAAAAGTAAGTAAACCTCACAAACCACGCTTTCGTTAACAGAACAAACAACGAAAGAGTAAGTAAACCTCACAAACCACGCTTTCGTTAACAGAACAAACAACGAAAAAGTAAGTAAACCTCACAAACCACGCTTTCGTTAACAGAACAAACAACAAAAAAGTAAGTAAACCTCACAAACCACGCTTTCGTTAACAGAACAAACAACGAAAAAGTAAGTAAACCTCACAAACCACGCTTTCGTTAACAGAACAAACAACAAAAAAGTAAGTAAACCTCACAAACCACGCTTTCGTTAACAGAACAAACAACGAAAAAGTAAGTAAACCTCACAAACCACGCTTTCGTTAACAGAACAAACAACGAAAAAGTAAGTAAACATCCTCTCCAATGGGATCTGGACATTTTCCCGAAAGACACTTGCCCGAAGGCCGTTTTCCTGAATAGAAACTTGCCCGAATGCGACAAATGCCTGAATGGACACTTATCCGTATGCATTTGTCGTATTCGGGCAAGTGTGCATTTGGACGTTTGTCGTATTCGGGCAAATGTCCATTTGGGAAAACGGCATTCGGGCAAGTGTCTTTGGGGAATTTGTCATAGACCCCTCTCTAATAATTTAAAGGTACAATCAAACGGATTCCACAGTGGATGTAAGCATGTATAAAAGTAGATATCATTTGATTATATTCTATCTAATCGAACATTTACAGAAGTTGTATTTTGTTTTTTTTTTAGTTTTGAAGCATTAACAAGAGACGTTGCGCCTTACTTTGGATCAAATGAAACAATAGAGATATTGTCCTTCTCTGATAAAAGTGCAGGCCTATTCACCCCATTAAAGAAGGTAGTCCAAGATGATGAGCTTATGACAGGATTAGGTGAGCAATTTTTTTTTCTGTGAATCGTCTTTTTTGTGTGTGAGCGGGGGGGGGGGGGGGAAGCTTCGATTTAAGAACATTATGCCTTTAAAATTATTTTCAAAATGCTATCTATTTGACAAATAAAGACTACTATTTAAAAGTTAACAAGCATGATAAAAATATAATTGTTATAGTTAAAATGGAATTGCGAGTCATGGATCCTTTGTAAATAACACTTTGGGTCTACGCTCGTTAAAATCATGTTAAAAATCAATAGCCAAAATGGCAGGGGATGGCGCGCTACCAATACGCATATGTCGGCATATTATTTTAGAAATATCTTGGTATCTATCAGTTAATGGACTGTCGCAGTAATAAAGTGTCGAGAATATTATAAGTCTCTCCAGCTCTCTGAACTCTCGTTGCCAGTGTTTCTTTCAAACTTTCTATCTGGGGGGGGGGGGGGCTTGAAACTTTCGGGTGGGAAGGAGCAGGCTAAATTTTCCAGAGGGGGGGAGTAAAAGTAAAGCGATCTATTGGGCAGATGAAGTAGAGTTCATATATATCTTGACCTCGGCATTTGAAGGGCAGATGTGGGCAGCAATTAGCCCAGCCGCTTTTACTTTCCTTAACATGAGTTAGGTACCCATCAGAGCTGGGTGAACTCAGGGACCCAGATTCAAACTCAAGACTTTCGGGTTAGCAGCCTTTTATTATGACACTTCCCCCCCCCCCCCCCCCCCACTCACAAAAAGTATATCCCTGAAAGAAACACTGCTCGTTGGTGCTACAGTGCACTCAATTTGACAAAATATTCAGCAACTGAAAGCAACACAGTCAACTGTGCCTCGTTGAAATCTTAGATGAAAGCATTTTTTAAGCAAGTATTTTGTTTTTGTACTCTCCAGCTAATTTGACACTTGTGAGCAATTACTTTCGTGACCCGTCCGTAATTGTAAACATTCTTGCAAACGAATTCAAAATACTGACGCGAGCACAAGCAACAGCTCTTATGAATTCGAAGATTAAAATAGGGATGGTAAGTATTTTATCACACTATTTGACCTACAAAAATTTTATTATTATACGTTTAGGGCCTTAATGTGGGCTTATCGTTCTACTATTTAAGCTAAATTTAAAATGTTGTTTACTGAAAGCATTATTTACTCATTACATTACTTAATAAGACGCAAAAAATAAATTCTGTACTATATGCGCATTTTTGTAGACTATAGCTTTTCGGAAATTGTTTATCTTTAAATAAAATTATGAACAAAAATCTTTAATGTTAGAACGTGGTTCTATTATGCTTAATCGGTCTATTTCAGAAAAAAAATTGAAACTAATAATCACAGCCATTAGGCTTAATTACCTACAGTTGTTAATATTAATATGATACTACGTTTTTTTATCAAGTAGCCTACCATGTATATTTCTCAGAATTTGTTTAGAGCAATCGCGTTCACCTTATGTACTGTTTTCAGCTTCTGAATTTGACGGGCGCACCAGATCTGAAAGGGATCGTCTGCGACCCCAAACTACTCGGCAGTTACCTCCTGTTCCCTGTTGGGACAGACGTGAGCAGGATTTCAGCCGCCCTGTGTGCCGTGGGTGACACCAAAGTCTCAAACCTGACCAACGCCATCCTCCAGAATATGAACGTTACCAGCTTCATCTATGCTGTACGGGAGGCTCTTCTAGTTGTTTCTTGTCGTTTTATTTTGTAATCAGTGCCGGCGCCAGGTTATTTAGCGCCCTAGGCAAAACTTATTAAAAGCGCCCCCCCCCCCCCCTGCAATTTTTTTTCGTGCCCCAGTATTATCAGAGGCGTAGCGACCCTTCCCGGCGCCCGGGGACAAACTTTCGATTGGCACCCCCCCCCTCCTTCTAACTTTTGATTTGCACCCCCCCCCCTCAAACTTTCGATTTGCACCCCCCCCCCTCCCTCAAACTTTCAATTTTTTTCCAACCCATTTTGGCGCCCCCTTAGGGACAGCGCCCTAGGCGAACAGCTAGTTCGCCTTATAGGTAGCGCCGGCCCTGTTTGTAATAGTTTTATTTCAGTGGTGTGGGTGGGGGTATGAGGGTTAGGCCTATAACTACTATCTCATCAACCCAAAGCTGATAGTTTCTTAAAATTTAAATGACAAAGCTACCGGTGGATGTGCACCTTTCATATAATTATTCGCTATCTTTTTACTTTTTGTGCCCAAGACACATGAGCCCGCCACAGAAATCTCCCTTCAGTTTTGTCGGTCACAGCAATTTTCCTGGCAGTCTCCCATGACAGTCCTGCCTCTGTCAGCTGCTTCCCCGCCGCGTGCCTCCAAGTCTTCATTAGTCTTCCTTGTTTTCTTTTTCCTGAAGGCGTCATATAATTAGTACGAATGTCATAATACCACAATTGTACGTTCCTAAACTCATTACTGAAGCACACAAAAATCCTGCTTACATCACTGTTTATGACATTTTATTATAGAACCACTCCTGTTTTCTACCAAAATGGTTATTTTTTTATGGCCCCGTATCGCTCTACCAGAGGATATAGAAAGATGATTTTTATTATTAAGAGTGATATGTTTTAGTAAAGGCAAGTTCTAATAGTCTCTACTAAGTCAATACAAAAAGAAATCTGCAGTGTTTGAAATATTTTTTTTAAACTGAGTTCAGTGATTATCAACAAAGACAGCATAATGTTGAATCTAACAAAGAGAAAATTACATTAGTTTACATCCTTATTCCCTGATTTTAAAACTAAAATGACAGTGGATATAGCCTAACTTTTTTTCACGTTCATTCTGGCCTAAAAAGACAAAAAATTCAATTTCGTTTCTTATTTTTCTGTCTTTTGCCTTCTTGATATATTTTTCTACAGTAGACCAACATACATTTCTAAATGGTTAAATGTTCATGACGACTTAGCCTAGCAGTAGAGAGTTAGACTACTAACCCGAAAGTCTCGAGTTTGAATCCGAGTTTTAATCAATAGAACGGTCATGTGTCCACCCAGCTCTGATGGGTACCTAACTCACGTTAGAAAAAGCAAAGTTGCCTGGGAATAGGGCTAACCACACCATCCCTCGATTTGCCGACAGTGTTTCTTCCAGACTTTTTTCTCCGGGGGGGCATTTGAAATCTTCGGGGGGGGGGGGGCGGTAAACTTTCTTCGGGGGGGCGGACACTGTTAAAAGTATATATTTTCTATATAAATTATATAAATTCCATTTCGTTCGGGGGGGGGGGCGGTAAAAAAATTTTCGGGGGGGCTTCGCCCCCCCGAAGAGATGCCTGGAAGAAACTGTTTGCCGAGCTCACACAAAAAAAATCAGGTGAACTCTACTTCACTTGTCCCATAAACAGGTTCGAGAAGGGACCTTCACTTCAATTAGTTCCTAAACAATTTTATCTACACCTGCCAGGTACAACTGTTGGAGGACATCAAAGAGAAGTTTGGAGATAACAACGCCATGAACCTGGTATTCGGTGATGTCGCTCAGATGTTTGAAACCATCATGGCCTCCAAAACTGTCGTCGGTCTCATTGGGAGCATTGCATCAATCGACAATGTGTCTGAAATCATTAGAAGCATTCCATCTTGGATCGTGGGCTTGAACGACTTCAACAGTGCTATTTCATTGTAAGCTAATATACTTCGTTTCAAGCAGGGGGGGGGGGGGATTCACCAAGTAGATTTTTAAACTATTAATTTACTATATTTGAGTTCTCAGCATCATTGAAACATACAATCAAGTTATTATGTTATTTTATCATCATCATTGTCATCATCATCATCATCTTCTTCTTCTTCATCATCATCTTTATCAGTATCATCATCATCATCATTATAAACTTTATCATCATCATCACCAACATCATTATAATTCTTATTATTACTATTATCATCATGTTCATCGTCATCATCATCATCTTCAACATCATCGTCATCATCAATACCATTGCCATCACCATCACCAACATCAAGAAATATTGAAATAGTCAAAAGGACATTACCACCACCGCCCTGTATGTTCCCCCACCCAAACAACTGCAATAGGACATTAATTACCCCATGTCAGTTACCAATTCACCCCAAGCCTAATCCTAACATTAAACGTAACCCTAGTCACAAAGTAGTGTTAGGTCTAGGTTTGGAATTGTCTTCGAGGAAATACTCCTAGTCGAATTACGAGATACGATTTAATCAATTCCATATTCTGTTAGTCTATTTCAGCCATTCTATAAATTTCAGATTCTAACGTTACCAATAACACTGATAATAAATATTCACAGGAGTAGGATAATAAACCTAGGGAATATTTGACTGAGGATAACCAAATTCCATTAGGTTGTATAGTAATTAAATAAATAGAATAAAATACATTTTGGCATTTTGTGTCTCCTTTAGAATAAAAAATATTGTTGGAAGCTTAGACCCCGTGATGGCAAGTCTACATCTACAAAATACATCTGCCTGGATGGCTATCAAAAACATTGCTCAACTAGGGATTAACTTTATTGAGCTCGGGGAAGGAAAATGGAATGGGACAACAAAGGTAGGCTGCTCTACGTGAAATATTAAATACACAACTTTTTTGTTTTAAAATGGCTTTTTTTGTTCACTATATTCTTAATTAATTTATACTGTTTTCTGTATAAATTATATAGAAAATTATATTTGATGGAATATTAGTTCTAGTTTTTGTTTTTTAAAATATATGTGAATAATCTAATATATAAAGCTCAGTTCTGTATGTGGCGGACAGAAATGTGCATCGTTGGCATTTCTACGGATTCAAGTGTTAGATCAATTATCGTGCGCAGTCGTCTAAATTTACGAGTCAAAAAATTACCATTGAAAGTTTTTAAAAACAATTTTCATTCTATTTACTTAGAAGAATAATTTTCAATTATGAACACGACATAAAATTTTTAAAAAGTGTATCGACGTTTATAAAATTTCTAAAATTGTGTCGGAAATGTATTGACTGCACGGTTACTTCCCTTTAATAAAAAAAATTCTTAAGAAGAAAGAATTTACATTTTATTACTTTGTTTTTGGTGTTAAGAAAAAAAAATAATTACATAATTAGCGGGGATTGATTAAGTGCAATGTAGTTAGGTATTTTTAATACTGCCTTTTATTTATTCTATACACTGAACATACTGTTGAATAATTATTTTTTTTAAAAATCAATAACATTTAATAAGCCAGGTCCTACAAATCATATACGTTTATTTCTTTTCATTTACGGATAAGCTTGGAGTATTATCATTTTTGTTCACTAAATTGAAACAGGCGCGTCCGCCGGCGCCCCTGCACGGTTCGATTTGGCACCCTGGGCTATCATGTGAGCGCTATGCTGCATAATTTTGTTTTGAACAGTGCGATAGACTATGGATAAGAAAGGTTACTATAGTCTTTAAGTGAATCAAATCCGGGCGTCCTCCGGCACCCCGACAGGGTGCTATTTGGCGCCCCGGGCCTTCCGGTGTACGCTAGGGTATCTACGTTCGCGTGAGTTCAAAAGACTATCGATAAGTTATGTACTATAGTCGTTTACCAAGTTCAATCAGGTGGTGACGTCATGGTGCGTCCTCTGGCGCCCAGAAAGGGTGCTATTTGGGGTCCCGGGCCTCCCGTGTTCGGTTTCGCGCCTACGTTCATTAAAGTGAGTGCAAAAGACTATGAATAAGTTGTGGTACTATAGTCGTTTATTAAGCTGAAGCAGGCGATTCAGCCCCGTGAGCACTTTGCGTTTATGTTCGCGTTAGTATTTTCTTTGTGTTTAGGTTGGGTTTGCGTTAGTGGTTGCGTTTTGATTTGGTTCGTTTTTGTTTTCTTTTTTCGTTTGTGTTTTATTTTCTTTGGGTTTGTGTTTGTATTTGTGTTTGTGGTTGGTTTTGCGTTTGGATTTGGTTTGTTTTCGTTTGTTTTTGCTTTTGTGTTTTTTTCTTTGGGTTTGTGGTTGGTTTTGCGTTTGGATTTGGTTTGTTTTCGTTTGCTTTTTCGTTTGTGTTTTTTTCGTTGGGTTTGTGTTTGTGTTTGTGGTTGGTTTTGCGTTTGGATTTGGTTTGTTTTCGTTTGCTTTTTTGTTTGTTTTTTTCTTTGTGTTCGTATTGGTGTTTGTGTTTGTGGTTGGTTTGTTGTTAGGTTTTTGTTTTCGTTTGTATTTGTAATTGTGTTAGCTTTTATTTGCGTTTTGTTATTTTGGTTTTGGTTGGTTTTAGTTTGGGTGGGCAATGCCGGGTTTATGATGATAACTAAACATACACGTAATGGTCTTTAACAGAAAGGTTTTTCACAGAAGCCAGAGCAGGGCCTGGCCGGGACGGCTAGTAGATCTATATATTTACAATATGATGGCATTTTTACATTAATAATTTTAAATTTATTTTTATGAAAGGAGTTTATGGCACCAATAACTGAGCTGATGTCTGATTTAAAAGACTTGGCAGGTGAAGAAAGTGGGAAAATTCTGTTTGGAACCATGGACTTATTGTCAAAAATTGATTTGATTGGTATCTATGATCAGCTGTACAAAACAGGAACTCTCACCGAAAGGTAAACAAATAATGAGTTATCTTATCTTTGTTTAGTCGGCGGGTAGGTTTGTTTAGTGAGTAAGGTTAGTAAGGCCCCCGCCCCCTGTTAAGAAATAACGATCCATAGGGCAGATGAAGTAGATCTAGATCTAGTAGGGTTCACCTCGGCATACAAACAGAGTTTCTTCCAGGCATCTCTTCGGGGGGGGGGGGGGGGGGGGGGGGGTAAAGCCCCCCCCCCCCCCCCCGAAAAATTTTACCGCCCCCCCCCCCCCCTCGAACGAAATGAAATTTATATAATTTATATAGAAAATATATTATATAGATCTCCTTATGGATGATATTTAGAAGCGACCCTTTGAATCCCGGCCAGCAACTAGAATCTAGATCTAGAATCTAGATCTAGATTCTATTATTTTTTATGACTAGATTGAGGTACCCACCATATTCAGGCTGCTAAACACGAAACTTTCTAGGTAGTATGTAGATCTAGTGTAGACTATTGAAAACTGATGCAGAATGGTTTATAGTTTATGCTAGTGTATAGGATAGGTGAGTGTTAGAAAACCTATGACACTTTAATTATTTTTTCCCTTTTAGTACAACGATAAATATGCTGAGCAACTTCCAAGAGTTAATGGAGAATTTATCCTGCTGGCCCACTGTACAGAAAATGGTTATACTTATACAGCATACTGCAGATATCATGTCTGTATTCACAGAAAAATCACTAGGTACAGTCTGTTGTTTGCTAAACATTATAACTCTTCTAAGCTTAATTTTTTTTTTATCTGATGATAACTTGTTTTTTTTCTAAGTATATGAATTCTTAAATGCTTCTTTTTTTATACCTATTTAAATTTTAAAACTTTTCTAGGTTCAATTTTATCATTAGATTAATTATTTGTTTCTGAGCTCATTTAATCAAAATTTAGAATGCTGTTCTATGTTTAATTTTATTACCAGATGATATGCTGGTTTTTCTAAGAATTTGAATTCTTAAATGCTGAATTTTTAAATTCTTAAATGCTGTATTTTTATACCTGTTTGAATTATAAAACTCAATTGCGTTATTTAATAAATTATTTAGTTTCTGGGCTCATTGTATAAAAACTACTGTAAAAACACTTAAAAATAACTTTCAATATTTCCAATGTTTATTCAGAACTAAAACAGGCACTGAAACTACTTCTTGACTCCAATCAAGTTCTAGTGCAGCAGTTGAACAGAATTTTTACCTATGGACCTGTGGTCACTAGAGCAGTGTTTCAAGAAATGATGGACAAAACTCTTTTAACAGTGAGATGCAATAAATTCTCTGGTTTTAATCATTGTTTTAAAGTATATACAGTTTTGTATTGTAATTATTTAATGTTGTTGAAATAACTTTCTTTTCTGTAGGATGTGATAAAAACAGGAAATACATGTATATATAGTTTTGTATTGTACTTATTTAATGTTGTATTATCCTTAAGTTGAAATAACTTTCTTCTGTGTAGGATGTGATAAAAAACAGGAAATACATGTATATATAGTTTTGTATTGTACTTATTTAATGTTGAAATAATTTCTTTTCTGTAGGATGTGATAAAAACTGGAAATACATACAGTACTGTGTGTGAGAGAATAGTGGGTAAAATCCAAATGAACCCAGATATTCCTGCTAATATTTATCAGGACTTACATGACATTCTGTGTTCAGGGGAGGTAATGGATGCATTCACAACATTGATGGAGAGGATACATCTAGCAGATATAGCCCTAATTGTAAGTCTGGTTATTATTGTTATGACTAGGGTTATGGTTACTGCTGGGATAGACCCTAAAAGAAAAATTATTTTTAGGGTGAGGTTAAGTGTATTAAATAAAGTTGCATATATAGATGTGGAATGCAGCTAAATTTGTATGTCCAATTAGTGTCATCACTTTAATAAGATAAATTTTAGCTAAACTCATTGAAGTATTATAATTAGCTTTCAGATCTACTTATTAAATGTAAATCAAAAACAAAATGAAGGTTTATAGGGCTTTTTTCATATTGTTTATCTTTAATAATTAATCACTTCTGTATTTAGATATCAAAACAAAACAATAACTCTTTTTTAAAAATGTGAATGTAGGGACTAAAAAAAATTGTACTCACCAGATCAATTCAACAGTTAAAGACATAGAAGTGCTCTACAATGGTCAGTTGTTTAACAAATCAGTGACCTTTACTGCTGCCTACGTTCATGTCAAGCAGTTTGTGGATAGCGTCAACAGCTACAGAAGTGTTGGCTATTTGTGGGCTGACCTGTTCAAAGACGTCAGCTCACAGTCCATTGATGTCAATCAGGCTGGATGGGAAATGGTTAGGGATATGCTGAATACAGATTTCCTGACAACAGGGTAAGATAACTTACATCCTTTGTTGTTTTTTTAAATGATTGTTTCCCTGAGAGAAAGTTAATTGAATAGAATACCACATTGATTTGGTTGAATGGTCTTTTAGAAGATACATTATACATTTTTGCTTGTTTTTAGTACTTTTAATGTATTCAACTTATATACTTAAGGTTACTAAGTGTAACAAAAGCATTAGGACAAGTACTAGCTGATTCTTCAGCATCTAACTTCATGTCAACATATATACATATACTGAGTCATGCTGTTCAGCTGTTTGATAACACAGTAAACAGCCTTACAAGTAAGTGACCTTAATAGTTCCATTCAGTATTTGCCTTCTCAACTTAAAGGTAACTTATCATACCACAACCATAACGGTGTTGAAATACTTTGAACTTGTGAATTAACTCTTTCAAAAATCATTATAGTAAGATATTATACAGAATTTAAGTTCAAAGCATAGTTTTTTTACACACATTGGAATTATTTTAATGCATATAATTTCTTGCTGAATACTGTTGTTTACAAAATAAGGTTACACTGTGTTGTTTTTTTTCATTTATTTTTATCAGCCTACCAGAGTGGCTCCCCTTTCCCGTCTGCCATTAGCCTGCTGACATCCTATATGCCTGACATTGTTAGAGGAATAAAATACTTGTGGGATAACAAGATGCAATCTGTAAGTGGTGACTTCCTTGAACTAAAAACAAACAGAATTTATTTTAGTATTTAGGTTCATGTTTTTCTGTTTTTACATGATAACAAGAAATTATCAATGATGTTTTTCTGTCATAGATCTACACACTTGTGACGTCTGCTGATCCTCTGGTGACTTTCTGCACTGGCAACTATTTTGGCCAGATGGACTTTGCCCCCTATGTACCTGTGATGGAGATGACCAGTCTGGTCTGTAATACTAGCTGGCCTATGGCTGCGAATGACTTCATTCAGCCAGTGACCAATATCATCAAAAGTATGACACAGGTCAGTTTGCGTAACTATTTCATCACAAAGTTTTTTACCTTACATGATGCAGGTCAGTTTATCTCATCAGAAAGTTTTTAGCTTATCTTCATTGAGAAATACAAGTGTCCAAGATCCCTGACTTGAGTCTATAGGATGTCCCTGAGTCCACCCAGCTCTAAGGAGTACCTGACTCATATTAGGGAAACAAAGTTGACTGAGAATAAGAATAGTGCTGATTACACTATGTCTTGTATGCAAAGATAATTGAAATAGATGAACTCTACTTCCTCCCCATGGTTCTAGAGCATAAACTGAAAAAAGATGATGATGAAAATAATATAAATGTCTACATATACTTATAAAAAAATAAAGTAATTATTGTTTCAATTGTTTATAATTCCATCTTTTAGTATTTATTAGTAATTATATATATTTCCTGAGGACAAAAAGAACTCATCTTCACTTATTGAAAATACTGTACTATCAAAAGTAATATTAATATAATTAAATTTTATAATTTAAATTGACTATAATTATATGTCTAAAAATAAATACATATTTTAACAGTAAAAAAAAATTAAAATATTTTATCTCTTGTTTAGATTGTAGAGGCATTTAATTCAAGCGCAACAGCAAGTTATGATTTTGTATCTGACTGGGGAGATTTGATAGACCATGCACAAAAGATACTAGGAGTGTTTAACTCAGGACAGCTCCAAACTATGGATTTTACCATGGGCTACAAAACGTTTGTGGAAAATTTGGACTTGATGAAGTTTGCTGAAGGTTTCCAAGTCCTGTTTCAGACTTTACAAGGGATGACAGTTGCAGACATTGACAAGTAAGCTTTGCTGTCTTCTATCATCACATGACAATCTATACAAGATTTTAATTCCATCAGCAATACCCATAGAAATGACGATTTTGTTATGATGCTATGCTGCCTTGACCAAAACATGTGTACATTTAATACATAACACTATTGTTGCCATTTATACAAAGCTCTTACTTTTAACACATAGCATAATTGAATTATGTTTAAACCTACATAAATAAAATTACTCACAAGTTATACCTATGGATATTCTCACATTAAGTATGTACGAATTTCTTACTTTAATTATGTTAACTATTCCAGGTTGACAAACCTGACAGCCAAAGTAATGGAGAGACTGGACTCAGCTTTAAGCAGATACAGTACCTGGGACGATGCCAAACTGTACATAGCCATCTTTGAAGCTTTTGTTGATGGAGAGATAAACATGACCAAAGAATACACAAGTAAAACTCTTCATACCAAATTATTTATCATAAAACCTGTTAGAGAATTGAACAAGCATTCATGTTAAGATATATATTTATGAAGTGACATAGTATATAGTGGTGAAAAATGATTTACAAAAAATATAATCATAAAAATATTTGAAAAAAAATTCAATTACAAATCATTCGCTTGGTTTCAGCTGGATATAGCAGCCTGCGTGAAATACTGGACAAGTATCCCCCAGAGCTTAGGACTTTTACTGTACTGTTATCCGATGCCTATCCAGAGCTTATTTCAGCTCTTAAAATGATGATCCTGGATCCATCTAAGGTAGGACAGGAGATACCTTTTTTAACGAATCAAGATATAAGATTTGTATTTTAACATTGTAATAAATTTGAAGGAATGAAAGAGATTTGGCCCAATTGACAATGAAGAGCTACCGTCAATGTCTTTTGCTATCAGGACTTATACAGGCAGGCCACTGATGTCACTATAAGGCTATCTGATACTTTCATAGCTAGAGGCTATCATGCATTTTCAATATTAGAGGCTATCTAAACCACTCACAAAATCCAATCCAACCAATCAAATTAAACTAACAAATCTAAAAATAGTTTTTATATTCAATGTTTATTAGTATTATGTAAAATTATTGAATTATGGAACCTGCTAGACTTAAATTGATTTTTTAAATAACTTTCTTACTTTTTCAGCTGATAGGGAAGTTCTTGACTGGTGGATTTTCTGCCCCTGATTGCAAGTCAAGTTTTGTGACTGACTACCTCAGTGCACCAGCAAACAGTTCCCTTCATGCCCTGGAGGATTTTCTGTGTCACCTTGACCTTGTGGCCCTGGCTGAGAAGGTGGCCAATAGCCAGCCTAGCATGCAGGGCTACTCACAGAAGGTAGGGATATTTGTTTTTGTATCAATGGGCTGTGTGGTGACGGAGCAGTGTGGTCATGGGGGGGGGGGGTGCTGCCTAGGGGCAGAACAGTCATGTGGCAGTATTGTCTGAGCGGTCAAGGGGTTTGTTGATAAGGAGCAGAATGTTATAATTGTAAACAATTTGAATTTTAATCACTGCATGAGATTTAGAGTTAGCTTAAATTCCATGCCCACCAGTGCCGGCGCAATGTTATTTAGCGCCCCAGGCAAAACTTATTAAAACACCCCCTTTCACACAAATCAATTACTAAAACATATGTATAAGAAAACAATTAATTAAAAGTGACATATTAATTTAATATCAATTGCATACACTTTATAAGTAGACATCAAATTCAAATTTTACTTGCCTCCTTCGTCGCAAAAGTTTGTACTAATTCCTTCAATTCCAATTTGCAAGCGTAATAACATTTTATTGAAATTGTTGCTATGTGCACGAGTCTACTTTGTACTTTACGACATAGCTTCCCACCCTTAGAAAGTTTTAAGTGCCCTTCCCCCCCCTCCTGGGAGAAAAAAAATTTGAAAAAAAAACCACTGAATCAAAAAAAGTTCTTGTAGTGTTGGGCTCCCTGTAGTCCTCCCAAGGTGAATTCCTAAATGGAACTTACCTGTTTTAAATTTGACTGTCTTTAGTTTTAATTATAAAATGTCTATACTGTGTGATAATGTAAATTTTTTTTTTTGTTTTAAAAAATAAAAGTTTATAAATAGTATAGATTCCAGCCTAAAATTGTTATATATAAATCCTTTAGGAGATGGTGAAAAATATGAAAAAATAATTAATTATATATGTTTAATTTACGACAAAGACTGTATGTCTACTAACATAAAGTATTGCAATCTATAACGGCTACTGATGTATTTGTTTTTCAACTTGATAATGCTAAAAAAAACTACCAAACTATTTGTTTAGAACTTAAGCTCTGTATAATTTTTTTTACAATAGCAAATAATAACTTAAAGTTGTATTTATATGTAAGCTGCCAACCTAAGGTGCAGGAATTTGAAATTAATGTAAAGTTAAGCAACGAATTATCTCCCATTTGAAAATCCAAATACCAAAATTTTATTCAAGGGAAATAACTTTCACTAGAATAGCTAAATTAACCAAGTGTAACTAAGACATGCTTGAAAAACACAACAAAACGCTCTCAATTTCATTACGTAATAATTATAACAAATCTTTTATATTAGCTGTGTAACGTTGTAAAAATAATATATTTTACTTATTGAATACTTAACTGTAGATTTTGTTTGAAAGTCTAAAAATGATAACTTTATTATAACATACTTCTATTCAATTTCGATGACATACGTTGTGTTGCATGATAAATACGGTGTATACATATATAAATTTTGGATCCCCTAAACAAAGGGACACCTTTCAAATAATCAAACCTGTGTAACTGTTTTAGACATTGCTAGAACTATTGATTAAATAAAAAAAAATATATCATTTGAAAAACAGTCTACTGTTAGTTATAAATTCCATCCTATTTAATATTATATATTACTACTTTAAGAGTGGTAATATAGATTCCTAAAAAACATTTTTCAACTAGAGAATGCCTACCTATCTTTGTAGTGTGTTCCGTACTTAAAATCATCTAACTTATGATATACTCGACTACTCGATATACTCTAACACATTAGATAACTGTTTAAAATCTTCGAAATTTAAATAACAAACTGATCAAATTTCTACCTTGCATACTTTAGAAGAAGTTAATGGATGGTACTAATTATACAGTAGTTTAGGTCAGGGGTCTCCAAACTACGGCCCGCGGGCCGAATGCGGCCCGCGAAGTCCTCTCATCCGGCCCGCGGAGATATTTTTTGTCCAAGGAAAAATCGTTAGTTGGTGATGGCTGAGGAACTTTGCCCAGAAAAATCAAAGACGCCTGGAAGAAACTGGCCCCTGACCTGAAATTTGATAGTTGATGCGGCCCTCGGACTGAAAAGTTTGGAGACCCCTGGTTTAGGTGCATCATTGCCGCCAACATAAGAAATGCACAATGGCTCATTATTTCTATTAACTCTGATCAAATTACTTTACAACATTAAAGAACAGATATCGTTTTTAACTTAATCAAGCATATTTATTGTAGGACTTATTAACGTTGTAAAATAAATGTACTTTAATTAAGTCTGAAACATGGAATACACTTTAATATTTGATATTTTTTTATGTTAATTTCAGTTAACGGCATTGATAAATGGCCCTGTCACTCGTGAACAGATTAACTGGCAAATCCTGGCTGAGAAAATAAAAACTTTAATCCTACAGCTGAGCTCAATGCACTCATTAAAAGATTCTAATTACCTGGGATTTGATTTCTCACCTTTCAATTTTACAACCATTGGCTTAAGTTGGAAGGAGTTTTATACTGCAGCAAACACATTGAAGAATTTTGACATTAACAAGTAGGTATTGAAGAGTTGTGGTTTGGGTTTGTTGAAAAATTGAACATACAACTGCTAACCCAAAAGTCTGGAGTTCAATTTCCAGGGGTTGTTTCAGTAGAATGTCCCAGAGTCCACCCAGCTCTGATGAGTATCTAACTCATGTTAAGGAAAGTGAGTCCACCCAGCTCTGATGAGTACCTAACTCACGTTAGGGAAAGTGAGTCCACCCAGCTCTGATGAGTACCTAACTCACGTTAGGGAAAGTAAAGGTGGCTGGCCATAGTGCTGACAACACTATCTCTTCATATGCTGAGGTCACAAAAAAACAGGTGAATTCTACTTCACCTGCCCCATGGAATGTCAGTTTCACAAGGGCACTTTACTTATATATTTATTGAAGAGAAGCTGGTCATCCAACTACCAAAATTAAGCTGCACTTAAACCATCATAAATATTAATCAACAAAAATGGTAGTCAAGTTGACTGAATGATCAATATAAGTATAAAAGTATACAAAATTTCTTATTTAGTACATGCATTGCGTTAGGGGTGATGTGGTTGAGAGGTAGAGCTAAGAGCTGTTAAGCTGAAGACTTTTCTTCTGTTTTGTGCTTGAGGCCAGGCACACAATCCTGCTCAAAATTAGAAGTATCTGGATATAGTACTGACCTCATAAGATCATGTATGCAGGGGTCACTGAGATAAAGGAATATTAGGACTGTAAGCAGCGTAGATCTATGTTTACTACAAGCTTGGTGTAGTGCAATAATTTGTGCATTCAATTCTCCAGGTTCATTCCTTTGATCTACCAAATTCAAGAATTTGCCCTAGGTCTGTCAAAAAGTACTAGCACTGATATCAGCCTTGACCTTCAAACCTACGCCTATGTTAGTCATCACTTCCTCAAAATGGTGAATGCAGAGCTGGCATTTTTTAATGGTAAATAATCATTAATCATTATTTGTGGAGTTTCATTATTTTTAGAAAGTTTTATTTAAATTTAAAAAGTTGTTCAAATTACCAGCTTTATGGCTGAAGGAAAAGGCTTGAAAAACATAGTCCAATATATGAATATGAAATTATAAAAGGCAGCAATTAAGTATATGGTGATGGTTAAATAACTGCCATTTGTAATTATATTTTTAGACCATGCAAGCTAAGATATTGGTGAAAAGCTTTTTTGTGTGAAATAACGAAAAAATATTTAATAATTTTTACAGCCTCATCAGAAGTCATAGTGTCAGAATACTTGTGGTCACCTGAGCTACACAAACTGTTTGATGCACTAAACAAAAGCCCAGATCTCACTGCAGTTTTCCTGGCCACTCTTCAACGCCTGCTTGTTTCCCCTTCGCAAGTAGGTTATCTTTCTTTACCCCAGCTCATTTTATTATTATTTTTTGCTTAAGAATAGTCCTTATTTGAAAATTTAAAATACATGTTTAATAGTAAAGTTAAAATAAACATATTTTTACAATGACGAATAACTTAATACACATTGTTTTCAGGTTTTCTGGCCATCTAATATTGAGAGTGTGTGCTCAGATCTGCAATTATTTTCTCAAACATTTGTCGTGGGTGTATCTATGGCATCACCTGCAGCACTGCAGAGTACAGTCTGTGGCCTCAACATTGATGTCATGCTGGTGGTAGAACAGGTTCAGAATAACAGGCCAAGTGTCAAGGAATTCATTGATGCTGTACGTTACTTTAACTTAAACGTTTTCTAAGGATCTCATTTTTACCTATACCTTCCTATTTAAAAATCATGTACATTTTACAAACCATATTATTTTACACAGATACCAATTTACCCACAATTCTCTTGTAATATATTGACATTAAATTTTACATTAAATATTATATCCAACTGCAATTTATTTCTACTATATTTTAATTTGTATGGGACTATTCATACACAACAATACACATAAACAAGGATCATTTTGTTTTAACTGCAATGTCTTTACATAATATGCACATACATTTAGTATTAAATAGTCACAAAGTACTATAATATAATTTAATTTAAGTTATAATTTTATTTTAGAAAACCTTTTTGTGTACAAAAATAGTTAAATTATTAAATAATTGGTTTATTTTTATTTATTCAAATTGGAACAGATGAAACTTTTGTCCACAAGCTATACGGCAGATGAGGTGTCTGTAGATTTTAAGACCCTGATGTCGGAGTACGAGATGATGAACTCTTTAATCAGAGACCTGACTAGCCACCCACCTGTAGTGAAGCTGACACCAGACCAGCAATGGATGGATGTAAATGTGTATCTCTCACTGTGGGGAGATTTTAGTCAACAACTTTTAACTCTCGGAGCTGAATTGCAGATTGAAAGGTAATCTAGTTTTTTAATATACAAAGTCAGTCAATCTCATGGTTGCTAAACCAAAACGTCTCAGTCAAATCCTCTGGCAGAGGAAGCTCGATAGCTGGAGACAGCCATTCATCTAGGAGAGACAACTCCAAAATCAAACAACCACTCCATGTAGTTAGTTATATGGATGAAGGCTATGGAAGCGAATACAAAAAGAAAAGCTGGCTGGCGCATAACCACTTGACATGCCCCTTCCCATACTAGAACTAGGAACAAAGAAAATCATCAAAATGGTAGATGAAGTAGAGGTCATCTGTTAGGAAAGAATCTTGTAACCAGTGCAATTTCTAACCAGGTTTAGATACATTTACTGTTGTGTGAAGTGGGTGATTGTACATCAAACTTCCAGGGAAAACTAAGACTTTCATGTTAACATTATCATGTTCATACTTTAGCACTAGACAACATGGTTCTATAAAATTTGAATACGTTCATTTTTATTTAATAAACAATTAAACAAATTTTTAAAATGTATTTCATATTTAGATATTTGTAATAGTTTTCTGATTAACCTGATGTAATTAAAACCAAATTTTGTAATTTTTGATACTTTCTAGCAAACTGCTAAGCTGGCAATCTGAACTGTCCCAGCTGTTGTTGAGTACAGTGGAGAAAATGTCAGGCACTGGCCCAGCACTTGGTTACATCAATGGAATTTTAGAAATTTTACAGAAACACATCAGCATTCTAAAAGGTAGCATATGTCATTTTGCTTTTCAACTTGCTTGCAATTAAGTCATTTATTCTTAATATGAAAAGTCGTGAGTATATGAGTTCTGGAAATTAATTACTTTATACTTTTTATTTAATTTTAATAGTTTTTACTACTTTGTGAGAAAAATATTTCATTTATGCCTATATCTGTATTTTATATTGTTCTATTTTTAGATGGATATGACAGTTTTAAAAGTTACCCAAATGTAAATCAGATGCTAAAAATAGTCCAGTCTGCTCCACAAGCCGTGGAAACAGTTTTGTATACAGTTCTAACTGAGCCAGTCAAGGTACTTATATATGTGTTTGTAGATTGATGAGGAAATATTAATAAAAATACAATTCTAAGAATCAACAAAAAATAATTTTAATCAGCTTGGTCAATACATTTCTATCAGTCATGTAGTTTATCTAAAGAAAAATATTAATTTTTTTTTACTTTAAATTACAAAATAACATTTTTTTATCTTAACAATGGTGGAATATTCTTTCTGCTGACACTAATAATGTTTTACAGGGTCTACAACATAATTTTCATACTGTACTCATTAGTTTATTTTCTATTTTTTTACTAATTAATATAACCTTTATAAAACTATTTACATAATATGTATTTTGAGACTGTTTTTTTATTGGGTTAAAAGTGTCTTTTTTTTCCCAGACCAAAACATGGAGCAGCATATTTCAGTCGTGGGATCTGTTCTGCCAGACACCAGCAGGTGACTTCATGACTGTACCTGAAGGGTTGAACTTTGACATTACAGATTTTTTTGGCAGAATCTGTCAGGTTGATTTTGTTGAGATGGGTCATGAACTGGCTCAGTTCGAGGCTGTGAATGAACTGAATGCATTGGTAAGAAGAGTGATCAAAATGATTTGTGACAACACTTTAATTTTAGATCCTAAATTCAATAATAAGATTATATGTTTTAAGCTTTATTATATACTGACTTTCCTCATCATATTCAGAGACCAGAAACTGTATTTAAACTATTGATAAAATAAAATGTTTTGAAACATTCAATGGGACAGATTTAATCTAAACAATCTATGTGCAGTAATAAAGGAGAACTTCAACCAAATTATATGTTCAAATAAAGATTTTGTCGGTAGTCGATACCTCAGTGAAAAGAAGAACTTCAACCAAAATAAATCGATAGTTGATCTCAAAAGAAAAAGTTTTAAATAGTTATTTATAAGCATATTTTTTTTCTTTTCAACTCTCACAAAGACCAAATCAAAACAAAATTATGCTTGTTTTTTATTTTTTCCATTTTATTTTTTAACTACCATTTTCAGTTTGTACACATGTAAATTTTAGCATTTCCTGTTTAAAATTTTCAGTTTACAACTCCCTCAGAAGAAAATGTAAATGTTAGCAGTCTGTACAATAAATTGGGCCTGATTATACAAAGTTTACAAGCTTATACAACAGAGCCTAACAGTGCTAAAGAGATAGCTTTTGCTCAGCTCTTCAATGCTACCCTGTGGGAACAGATTGGTAACCACATTACCATATGGTCTAGCACTTCAGTGAAAATCTTTAGGCAAGTCATTTGTTGTAATCAAACAATTTTTGAAATAACTTACATTCGTACACATATATTTTGTATATTCATTTCTGCAGAGAATATTTTTATTTTAAATGTGTTTTCTACCTTGTTATTTCCCTTTCACATGTGTTATTTATAATATTTTGATTATGGTTTTCTGTCTTAGTGACCCTGAGAAAATCACAGGACTAGCATTAGAAATTCTGAAGATAGTTCTAGGAAGTTTGCCTCAAGGTTACCAAAGTGTCTACAACCAGATGGTTGGAATAACAGACATCATACTTGGAAAAGTTATCAACATCTTTAACTGTATGAATTATTTTATCATAACATGAACTATTTTGTTGTATACAGTTAAATGAATTATTAAATGATTAAAGTAAATATTCTTATGAATTTGACACATAGAAAGTCAGATAATATTTAAATAAAATGTGTACCTTTAATCATATTCATGACGTATAATGTCAAGCTCTTATGTAAACTTTCCATTTTCCACAGCCACTAAACTGTCAGAGGTTTTCAGTGAGCAGCCAGACTTGAAACTACTTGCTGGGCTGTTGGAGGATCTACCACAGCTTTATGAAGTTGCTGTGTACACAAACTTGTATTACCCAGAAAAGGTTAATCATTTTATGCTTTTTAGTATACACTAATTTACTCAAATTAATGCTAATTTGAGTTCATACAATTATTTTAAAATACTTATAAACTAATTTGAATGCATAAAACATAATTTTTTTCCGCTCTAATCAAGATTACTGCCAAAACTCCTTACTTTTCTTCAATGGAAGCCTTTTGTGCTAACACCCCTCAAGAGATGTTCATGGTACCACCCTCCTCGACCTTTGACCTAAGAGCTTGGTTCAACAGACTGTGCAGTGTTAATGTAACCAGCTTGATAGAGGAACTTGGTGACTATTCAATGTCTAAAGAGATTGAGAAAGTGGTAAGTTTTCTAGCTTTGGTTTTAGTGAAGTCAATTAAATTTCTTTAAGCTGATTAGTTTTTCATGAATTAAAACATTTAACTTGATATTTAATTTGATTACACATCAGAATTGATTTACAATCTTTTACTGAGCACATTGATTGATGAATGATTATTTATTATTTATTTCTAATCAATTAAAAAAAGTTTTTTTTTTCTTTTTCTAGTTAAATAATCCATTATCAGAGCCTGTGGATATTTCATCAATAATTTCAAATTTTCAAAAACTGATGGAGAAACTCAACTCCGGATTTTCTATAAATGATCCCCTTTTTAGTACCGACATTTGGGAGAATGCCATGAAAAATGTGGAAAAATGGATTTTGCCATACAGTGCTTTATCAGAGTAATTTTTTTATCACTTCCACTAATGCAATTAACATTATTTATATCTTATCATTCTTTAATTATTAGTTGACTTAAGTCATCATTAAATGTATAGTATTAATTTTTTTTTTAATTATTAAGGTATACTAACAGATTTTGAGCTTAACAAATGGAATAATTAATTGCCATTTTTGTAATAAAAAATTTAAAATAAAAATATATCACATATTTGCTCATAATGAAGTGATAAAGTTTATAACATATTTTTCAATAATTCCAGTTTTCTGAAAGACACACCTCTGCGTGTTCTAAAAGTTGTTACATCTCTGCTGGAAAAGATGCCAACTTCAAATAGTGCACTGAACTATATTGACGCCATTTTTAGCCTCATTGGCAACAGAGTTGAGGAAGCTCAAGGTAAGATAAGCAGCCAATCAAAATTTCTTTCAGAATTTATCGTTTAATCTTGATTGGCTCAAATTTAAAATTCACCTACTCTTTTCTTATTTTATATTTAATAAAAAGTTTTACTTGCACTTGTAGTAATTGCAAAAATAAATTAGTCTGTAGTTGGTTTGTCAGGATGAAAATTAAAGCTGTTTAAAAAGTCAGCAATGAGTTTATCAAATGGGTCACCCTGACATCATCATAACACTTGCTGGGTGATTTTTTAAAAATCTGTTCTTCAGAATTTCATCAAAACAGAACCCTCTCTTATAACGTTTGTTTTTAGCAATGTTTACTGAGCGTTTTATTGCAATCTACAAAAAAGTCTTTTAAAAATCTAATAACTGCTAATATATAGTCAATGTAGTCAATACAAGTTATGCATTCTGACCGTGTCCTCCATTATCAAAATATTGTCAGAACCCCCACATTCTACTTCAGTGGTGTGACCTCATTTAGTGATGACCCTATATACTTATTAAGCAGAAAATCAGTTACAATGTAGTCTATTGTGTCTTAAACGATAGTTTACATTTTTCAGCCAATGGTTTGCCTGCAGCCTTTACTGATCTCCCAAGCCTGAAGACCATACTAAAACTAGCTGAGGGAATGCCAGATTTGGTTGAAACCTTGATTTACACCACTTTAACACAGCCTGTCAAAGTTAGCATCTGCTTTATCTAATCAAACTAATTCTATTTACCATTTCAACAAAATTATAACAAACTATTTTATTCTACATATATTTTTATTTTATTTTATTTTTCTAGTTTTGAAATTAATTTAATTTCACTCTATAAAATAAAGATTTTTTTTTCATTCAACATTTTAAAAATAAGCTAGCTATTTTTTATATTTTTTTACATCATACACCTAACAATTTAAAGATTGTTAAAAAATCAATAAATACCCTAGACTATAAAGAAAATAATTGTTTTTGTCCATACAGACTGCCAACTGGGTGGCTGCTTTCCAATCCTTCTCCACATTTTGTGGCACAAGTGTCCAGGATATTTTAGTTCTACCCCCAGGGAGCAGCTTTGATTTAGAAGGTTACATTCAGCAGATCTGCAGCATTGATATAGGTCAGGTGGCCACTGAAATCACAACATTTGAAGGGTTCAGAAGAATAGAAGCAATTGTACGTATGAAATATCAGTAGCCAAATTTTTACAAAACTAGTTACTTTAAGAACTTAGCAGGGATTATTACTTCAGTAATATCAGGTTGGGAATGGCGTGGTTGAATGGTAAAGCTTATTACTGTTAACACCAAACTCTTCAGTTTGGATCCAGAGAAACCCCTGAGTCCACCCAACTCTGAAGTTGGCTGGACATAGTGTTGACAAAAACTCATAAGAAAACATTTTACCACAAAAAAAATGTATACTTACTAGTTGCAAGTTTTTTTTCCTAAACATGGTGTAAGGATTAGGACAAGAAATAGGGATAATGTGCTCATATAAAAATGAGCTAAACTCATAGAATAACTTATTTTCTATTAAAATGTGTAAACTTTTGTACCAGTTACATCCAGCTACAAATAAAACTCTAACTACAGAATGTTCACAATATTCAGGTCACAGGTAATGACTACAATGTTGTCAACACCAGTTCAATCCTAGAACAAGCCAACCGTATCATCCAAAGTCTGGGCTACATCTATGATAACCCTTCTAGTTTTGCTGGCTTAGATTTGAGAATATTCAGTGAAACAGCATGGAAGACAATGTGGCAGAGGGTGGAGAAATGGTCCCCAACTGCAGTTGCGAAATATCAGTAAGAATTTATTTACATTTGCCTTTAATAGAAATAAATTCACATGTATTTTGTTGTTTTATGTCCAAAATTGTATTACTGTTTGTCTTTTGTGTCTAATCTGTAACCACACTGTTGTGTGCTGATGAAGACCTAGGGTCGAAATGCTATAGTATTTATGTCTTTAATTTGTGAGGTAACTAACACTATCTGTTTTATTACTATATCTATCTTCTTTGATTGTGATGACAGCTAAATAAGGGAAGTAATTTGCTTATAGTAGGCCCTGTCTAATTTCATTTGTATTTACCTTTTATAGGAATGTTTTAATACTACTCTTCATAACTACATCATAACTATTTAATAGTCTTGTCAGTAAAATAGCTAGTTGAAATACCTTGTTAATTTTGCATTTTATTCTAGTCAAAATGTAGTGACATAGTACATCTATTCTATTCTAAAATGTCTTGTCAGTGTTATATCATATCTTTTAGTTTATATATTTTATATTTAAAATATTATGTTAATTTTGCGTCTATAAATATATTGAAAAAGTAAGAAGAAAAAATTAATTTTGTTTACATATTTTTTTTAAAAATGTATAAAGCATGTTCTCTACTTGCCCTTAACATTCAATGTAATTCCAAACCTACATATTTAGTACTTAGCAGCATACCTCTTCAGTACTTGCCAACCCTACCTTTTATGCTATAAATGCTACTTTTTTTCTCACAGAGACACCAACACCCTAGTGGACATATTTGAGCTGGTGTTTGGACCTCTGGCTGAGATGAGTCCAGAACTCAAATCAGCCTACAACAAAGCTATGGCAATCACTGATGTTGTGGTGGATGAGGTTTTCATGGTTCTCAATTGTAAGTCATTGCATTTTTCAAAATGCTAGACTATTAACAATTGTGTAGTCATTCCAATTGGTAAAGAATCTTCCAAATGTTAGTGTCTACCATTATGTTATTATTCCATTATATGGATAAAAGATTCAAAACATGGAATGGCATGGTCAAGTAGTAGAGCCCACAATGTCTAAACCAAATGTCTTGAGAATACTTTATGTTAAGGTCATTGAATCCACTCAGCCCTACTGAGTACCTGAGTCACAAAAGTAAGGACAACTGGGTGCAGTGCTGACACCAGAGTCATTTCCCATTCTAATGTTGTAGAGTCTATAATAGATCTACTTTCAGGACCAAAGGCGTAGCGACACATCCCGGCGCCCGGGGCGAACTATCAATTTTCGCCCCCACCCCCTTCCATTTATATACAGGCTATAGTTATTCATGCTGGTCCTGGTCATTTTAGCTCCCCATTTGGGTCGGCGCCCGGGGCCACTGCCCCACCCGCCCTCCCCTAGCTATGCCTCTGTTCTGGACCATCAGATCTGAAAGGGAATTTACTTGTAATGACACCTGAGGAAAATAAATAAACTGATTGTACTTGATAGTTTGTGATTTTTTCCAGCATCTTCTATCAGTGAAGCCTACAACAGCATCCCAGTTCTGAAGCAGCTATTCAAGATGGCCAACCAGGCCCCAGAACTGCTTGAAACTCTACTGTATACATCTATGTTCCACCCTGACAAGGTACGCTACATTTAAACTTTTTACAACATAATTTCATGTTAAGATCTATGAGATTAACCTGTGACATATTTTGGTGCTCCAGTTAGGGGTGGACTGGCCTGCCGGTCTACCAGAAAAAAAACCCGGTAGGCCCCCTGGAAAAACTCCTTGTGGGCCCTCACAAATGGAGCTGTACGAGGCCAATTAGTGCTCTGATATTTAAAAAAAAAATTTTGTCGAATGAATTTCCACCAAGTTGAGGATGATCATTAGGTTTTAATTTGGAAAAAATGCACTATGAAATTTTTTTATCTGGGGTTGGGGCCCCAATTAAAAATTCCCCAGGCCTTTTGGACACAGGCAGTCCACCACTGGCTCCAGTACATACATTTCTCTAAACTTAGACTCTCCATTGGCACACACTATCATGTAGTTGTATTACAAAAAGCTGTTGCAAAGGCTAATACCATTTTAGACAGTATTAAGGCTCTCTTAGAAAGTTTTTTGGGTCCACACAGCTATGATGGGTATCTGATCCACATTAGGGAAAGTAACTACAGCTGAGCATAGTGCTGAACATTATCCCCTCATATGATGAGGTCAAGAAACATGAACTCTACTTCATCTGCCCAATGGATCGCAAGGTCTAAAGTCTAGAGTGGAATCTTTACTTAGCCAGTCCAGCCATTCAGCATTGATACTATATTTGTATAGAGAATGTGTAGCTCCAATTAGGAGTAGCCACAAATACAAACCTGTAATTACTTAATGATTTTTGTTGTTACAGTTGCCAAGCAGGGCGGTGGCACTGGTGAGTTTGGAATCTTTCTGTAGAACTGACCCCCTGGAAATGTTCAGCCTATCACCTGGTTCAACCTTTGACCTCAAGACCTGGATCAATGACCTTTGTCATTTGAACTTTACTCAAGTAGAAGAACAGCTTGCAAGTTACAAGACAGCAAAGAACCTTGAGAACATAGTAATTTTGTTTTGTTACTATTTTACTACATGTTATTTTCGTGTTTTAATTTGAAATTTAAAAATGGATTATACAAAAATATTGTAACTATTTTAGTCTATTACTTTTAAAATGTAAGGTCTACACATTTTTAATTTAAAATGTTGAATGAAGAGATTGTTTTTATAATTAACCTAAAAAATATCTTATTTTTTTCTGCATGTTAAATTTTTACAGAAATTCTTTAAACTTATCCATAGAACTTCCTGCTGTTTTGTTGATAAAGAAACTTTAGCTCTAAACCTAACCCTAAATATTGTGGAACAAACTTTTAAATTACTACCATTATGTGTACTGTCGTAAGGCTAAGATAAGAACCAATCAAACATTGAATTACAGATCAGTGGATCCCCCAACGACAACACTAATCTAATGACAATCATAGATAAAGTGGACAAAATTGTTCAGAAGCTACAAAATGGAGTGAGCATGACAGAACAGTTCCTTAATGTCTCTTTATGGACACAGGTCATCAGTAGATTGCAGAGATGGGTTGGAGATTACACAGTTTTTAATAGCCCTCTCATGTAAGCTTTGTTAACTTTTTTGGCTTTGTTGTTAAGGGATCTTTCAAAACCATATGGTTTGGAGATTACTTTGAAAGTCTTCTTACTTATTCTGTTTTGTAATTGTTTATGTTTTGTTGCTAAAAGTACTTTTCAACTCAAGGTAAATGCTAAAGGAATGGGTAGAGATTATACAGCTTAAAAATAAAGTACCCTGTGAACCCTAATGGTCAATAAGGAAGATGAAGTAGAGCTACTGTATTTTGTGACATCAGCATTTAAAGGAATAGTGTGATCAGCTCTGTTTCCAGTCATTTTTACTTTCAAATCAAGACTTTTAGCAACCATGCACTGCTTATCAACACTGCTGTTTGTTGTTGTTTTTTACAAGTCTGTAATGGGTTAGAGATTATGATACTTTTAAAATTCATTACTACATACTAATGTTAAAATATAATTTTAAAATTATATAACTTTTTGTCAGGTACTTGGATGGTATCTTTGAGCTGATTGGTAGTTTGTCAGAAAGGCCAGACACTGCTGCACAGCTGAAGCCATTGTTGTATGTGGGAGAGATAACAGATAACTTGCTGGATGCTGTACTTTCTTTAGAGAACAGTAAGTGTTCATGGTTTCATCCTAACCTTTTTTTTAACCTTTTTTTTTATTTGCAGTAGGCTTATTTAGTCTAAATTATCTTTTAATTATTTTTTTTATAATGCTGTACTCAGGCTGAGAGGCATTGCAGTTTAATTTTTTTTCTTATTATTTATCATGTTTTAGCTGTCATTAAGCTAATTATATAGCCATAGATCCACTCAGTTTAAAAGGATCAAATGAAAGGATTGTTTTATCACTACTAGGTCTAGCCCAAATTACGTGTGAGGTATAACTATAAGGCATAAGAGGTTCGGCACATGAATATAACATAAGTAGGACTACATGGGAGGGGGGGAGCGGGGTGTTGTCAGGTGGCAGACTGCATATCTTTATCCCAAAAGTCCAGAATTCAGTTCCTAATAGGCTTAAATATTGCCATACATAGGCTTATATGTTGTAGCTGGTTTTACAACTTCCCATAGAAAGATATAAACAAGGTTATAAAGAAATAATAATCAGCCAGAACTCTTTGTGTTTCAGAGAGCAGTATTGGGGCTGTAGATCTGGTTGGTAGGTGGACAGCCATGCAGAAGTTGCTTGAGTTTATTCAGATGCCAAATGTGATTGATGTCTTCATCTCATCCATCACTTCAGAAAATGTAAGAACTTTTTTCCAACTCAAGTTAATCAGCAGTCATTTTATAAATTTGAAACAATATTTCCTTCTTTTTTTTTAAATATTGAAATCCATTTCATTATATTTTTATTAAAAATTTAAGAAATAATTTTTTGGTTATAAATTTACATACTTGAGTTTATTAACTGCTTAATATATATAATTCTTTAAAAAGTTGTTGATATTTTCAATGTGATGACTTGTGTTATAAAAAATTAAACTTTTTAATTTATCCACAGTTCCTGACACTGTTTTACAATAGATCAGCATTAGAAGATTTCTGTAACCCTAGCACATCAGCTTCTAAGTATCTGGTGGTACCAAAAAGTAGGAACATAGACCTGCAAGAGATCAAAACAGCTTTTTGTGCTATAGACATCAATAACTTCATGGACCAGTTTGATACATTTTTTGACATACAAAAGCTAGAAAGAGTGGTATGATAATTTTTTTTTCAAATCAACTTCTACAATGTATAAAAATGAAAGAGTTACTCTATCATTAATTTTTAAAGTAATTGTTTGTTAATATCTCATATATTTATATTAAATGTAAAATTTCAGATTGTTATAAATATCTAAAATATTAATATTAAACTGTGCTATTTCAGGTTGAAGGAACAGAAAAATTAGACTGGAGTAAGCTACAAGAGAAGTTCCGTCGTATGATTTTCCTGATAAATGACAAATGGCTGAAAGACCCACCTCATGTTGACCTCCCGCAGCAACTGATGGACAGGTCCTATTGGGAACATTTGTTGCAAGACAGTATACAACCACTGCAAGATGGCCTAATGACCAAAAATCAGTAAGTACTTTGGGAAACATAGGACTAATATAAATAACTTAAATAGTGCTATCTTATTAAAAATAGATAATTTAAGAATGAAAATCCAAATAGTTTCATTTTAAAAATATTTATGCAATGTGACAATCAACTAGTTAGTTTTTAACCACTGAATTTGTTAAATTTTAGAATATATTTTTAATGTATTTAAAAAGTATAAAAAAAGATATAGTTTAGTGGGTAGTATGGTAACTTCAAAGTTTTGAATTCAATTCCCATCCCAGCACTTGAGCATATCTTATTATACTTTCAGCCGTAAAAAGTTGCAGATTTGAGTCAAGAGACTTTGATGTTGATAGCTCTATTCTAAAACCTCTCATGACATGTAAAGATATAAATGCATTTAAAAAATCTATTCTACTGAAGTTTTGTATTTTCTTTTAAACTTCAGGCTAGAGAGCATCATCAGACAGCTTGGACCTCTGCTAGAGATGGATGAGTTCAAACAAGCTGGTGCTATCCTCAACTCTCTACTCGACATCATCAATGAAAACTTAGTTGCTTTACAAGGAAATACCTTGACCTTTGGGAATGTCCTAGAAAAAATACCAGCTCTCAGATCTTTATTTAGTGCCCTAGGGCTTGACCAGAGCACTCTGGAGGCTGTAATGCTTGCACCTGTGAACAACCTGACCAAACTGGTTGAACTTCTGCTGTCAGGCACCAGGAAACAAGACTTCTGTAGTGTAGATCCATGGAGGGAGATCCTGCAGCTTCCATCCAGCTTCAGCACTTCTGGTCTGTTCGCTGCTGTCTGCCAGGACAATGTGGCACCAATGCTGGATAAACTTCAAGAAAACTACAACCTGCAGACAATGCTGGAAGCTCTGGGACATAACCCTGTACAATCTCAAGACTGGGGAAAAGTTGTTGAGAAAGTTTATGCTGTTGTAGACAACATCAAGGCTCTAATATCCAGCCCACCTATGATTAACACTGATGCTGTTCTAGAAAAACTAGCAGTGTCTTACACAAACACTACCGGACTCTGGTCAATGCTAAAGGCATACAACACTCTCCAGCAAGCTTTTATCAATGACGCCACCTTCACAAAATCTTTCTCTGGTGTGTTGCGGGTGTCCGGCGTGCTGTTGGATTTACTGAATGAATTGATGGCTAGAACAAAACTACAGAACAGACAACTGGACCTGGCCTCGCTGTTCTCTGATGTACCAGAATTTGTTTCTGTGGTAAACGGTGTGCTGGATGTCAAGCCGGACCCAGTGAGTGGATTGTTTGCTGTGCAGTTGAAACCTGCAGAGGTGGGTAACAGAATGCTTAAAAATGTGTTTAAAATATGGTGCACAAGCTAATCAATTTAGTTAATTTATGATGTTTTATGATATTTTTTTTGTCTTTTTAAAAAAAAGCTAATGTATAACTTCTGTTACAACTTATTTAAAAATTATCTTCCTGACTTTATGTTAAAAATGTTCAGTTTATTAAAAGAAAAGTTGAAGCTTTTAATACATACAAGTCTTATGAAGGCTATTTGTTTGCTAAGGGCCCAAGTATAACCCTGGCATTAACCATAGCCTAACCCAATCCCTTATGTTAGGGAAAACAAAGTTGGCTGGTCATAGTGCTGACCACATTATTCCTTCATATGCCAAGGTCAAGAAACAGACAAACTCAACTCCACCTGCCCAATGGATTGCTAGGTCTAAAGAGGAATTTTTTTTTAACCCAATCTCTAGTCCTACTGTTAAAAAAACTAAAAATGATACTGCATTGACCTACAATAATTTAACATATGACTTTTATGATGATATCTTTTATCTGACCATCTGCTTCTGTAGGTGGACATGTTCATACAGATCATCCAAAGCCCAGCACTGATGGCCCAACTGGCATGCAACAACACAAAATTCAATCAAATATTTCAAGTCAGAGAGGATGTCAACATTAACTCCCTTTTACATGTATTATGTGGGTTAGACTTTGGTCCAATCTCAGAGAAGCTGAAGGAAACTTTCAGAGTTAATTCCCTTGGAAATGAGGTATTGAGGTGGTTTATTTTAAAGTATCCTTGATAAATATTAAAAATAAATTGACAATTTCCTTATTTTAATACCAAAAAATATTAAAAAACAAACTTAATTTCCTTTGGTATCTCATAGTTTTTATAATTGTTCCTAATAAGCTCAAGTAAGAGAAGCATTAAATAACTAATTAAACATATCAGGTTTCTGTATCAAAAGATTTACATTTTTTTACTGACAGGTTATGACAGCATGGAATGCTGGGACAGCTCTTGATGTGGAGAGATTTGCCAGTCAAGTACAGCTAACACTGGAACATATAACCAACCTAACAAAAATAGATTCTATTTTCTTCAAGGACCATGACCTCGGTGATATCCTTAGGGTCAATGTCACACGACTTTTAGAAGAGTTGAACAGTCAGTTTACCAACATTCAGGGTGCTGTTAGTGCTGATTATCTGCCCTTTTCTGTTTCTATGTAAGTGTGGAGTTATTGTATATGCTTAGACATAAAATAATTTTAAAATGTTAGTAACCATATGTTGATATATTTTTGTTAAGGATTATTTTAACTATAGTTGGGTTTTTTATATTAGGAAGATATGGGATTTTGTTTGTGTAGAGGATATGGCCACTTTTTTGTAGTAGGTCACTCTAGGGATGTTGGTTTGTTATCAAGTGGGAAGTGGGTCACTTTAGGGAAATTGGTCAAAATAAAGTAAAGAATCCTCTTTAGACCTAACTGCATTGGGCAGATAAAGTAGAAGTATAGTTTGTATAACTAACTTAATTATTTAAAATGTCTTAATCTTCTCCAGATTAAACCAACTGCTGCACGACATGCAGAACTTGACAGAGATTAAATCACTGACAGCTGCACTCAAGTTCACCCAAGCTTATCTGAACAGCTTTAACAATTTTCTAAAATCTATTCAAGGTACGAGCCTAACCATGAACCTCAAATGAAACAATTTTATCATATTCAATTTTGCACAATGAATTATTCTTATTGTGAAAGGCAGTTTTGGAAAACACTTTACTTTTATAGTTTTAATTCTTATATTTAGTATATACAGTAAAAGGTTAAATTTTTCATGAAATATTTTTTGATGAATTGTATCATTACTTATTATTAATTAAATGTCTTAGCTAAATATCAGTCAACATTTAAATTATAAAAGTGTAAAATGAAAATTTTACAGATGTTCCTATATCAGTGGCTGCTCTACTAAACAACACTGAAATTGGTAGAATTTTAAACCCTATACTGAATGATCCTCATATACTGGATGGCTTAGTACACTCTACCTTAGACGTCAGGGAGGTAAGTAATGTAAAATTATAGCACCAACTTATTAGTTACAGTCATTGACAAAGAAACTTTTTTTTCTGTAGGTCTATTTGAATAGTTTTTATAAATGAATCTAACATGTAATCATTTATCTAATTATATCTGGTCTAAAATTACATTATCTACATAGTAGTGATTGCCAACTATAGGTCTACTGTGTAGTCACCTATCCAATTGTTCCACAGTTATGCAAGGTAGTCAACTAACCAACTGTTTCATGGTTATATAATGTAGTCACCTATCCAATTGTTCATCAATTATAGGCCTACTATGTAGCCACTTATCCAATGGATCCGGTTATACTATGTAACCACCTACCTATTGTACCACTGTTATACTATTTATACACCTATCCAATTGATCCACAGTTATACTACCTCTAGTCACCAACCCATTGACTACCCAGTGACTTATCCATTAATCCACAGCTATACTACCTAGTCACCTATCCATTGATCAGCAGCTATATACTATGTATCCACTTATCCAATTAATCCACAGCTGTACTACCTAGTCACTTATCCAATTGATCCACAGCTATACTACCTAGTGACCTATCCATTGATCAAAAGCTATACTATGTATCCACCTATCCATTAATCCACAGCTGTACTACCTAGTCACCAACCCATTTGCTGATGCGGCTGTCTGTGGTGACCAGCTATGGGAAGCTTTCCAAATGCCAGAGAATGAGGCCAGACTTTTGTACCAAGTTCAGCAGAGCGCCTGCACAGCTAACCAGTCTTTGTTGCTGTGGCAAACTGTCATGATGCAGGCTAATGGCTTTTTGTTGTACAAACAGGCAAGATCTAAATTTAAAATTGCATCTTTAAATGGAGGAAATTATATTTAGATCTACACTTGATATTCCTTTACTATTGAATTTAGTTTTAGTCATTTTGATTTAAGCAAATGGTAGAAATTATACTTAGATCTATAGGGCCTACTAGATATTTCTTTACTATAGAATTTAGTTTTAGTAATTTGATTTAAGCAAATGGTAGAAATTATACTTAGATCTATAGGGCCTACTAGATATTTCTTTACTATAGAATTTAGTAATTTAAGCATTTTTAAAAAATCCTATTTGCCTTTCAATATATTTTTAGTTTAATGTTCATGCAGCTGGCATGAACTTATATATTTTTTAAAATATTGTAATACTGCTTAGCTGCACTACATCATGTCATGCTCCCTGCTCTCTATTATTCACAAAACCTATCAAATATTAAATTTTTCATGTGGTTAATTCAATTGAATTTTTTTTTTCATCCACTGTTGTTAGATTTGTTTACTCAAATGTAATATTAAAGTTACTCATAAATTTTCATTGACTTGTCATTTCTCTGGTTGATGTTTTGAACTTTGCCAATGAGTATTTAACAGCAGGTTGTAACTTAAAACTAAACATCTACAGCTTGAGTACATCCAACAAGAAATGGACCTGGCCCAGAGCAGCCTGAATGTGTCAGGTGTAGCTGATGAAATGACCCAGGCCATCAGCTTGATAGAGAACATTATTAAACAGTACCAGAACGGCTCGCGGCAAGTCTTTGACCTCATCAATGTGCAAGGTTTTCAGGAAGTTCTCAACGCAGTGCAGAAATCAATAGCCCAGAAATTGATGGACTCTTCTAAAAACTGGTGAGATGATTTTTTTTTTATTTAACATGTACACTTTTCTTCTTTTCACACTTATCCCAGTGAAATGTGATATATATTTTAAACAAAAAACTGCATGCACGTCTAGAGCTTCATTGTGCAATCATTTGTAGATAAATATTGTAGTGTAAATTATTAAGGGAGAAGTGTTATTTTTTAAAAGTAATGCACAGCATTCTGTCTGGTACCTGGCAAAATTTTTACCAGGGTAGATGAAGTAGATTTAATCAGTATCTGTTACCATGCACAAATTACTATAACTATCATCAACTGTTAAAAAGTTAAGTTACCCTTTCAGAACATACTGTCCCATATCAAATGTTAAAGATAACTATATATTTTTTCTTCTAAAGAAGCAATAATTTCTCAAGAATTCTTCCAATCAAAATTAATTGAAAACTAATTATCAAGATTAACTTCTTAAATTCGATTTAATGGCAATAATTTTCCTTTGTTTCTTGCTATATTTCCATTCAAATTTAACTTTAAACAAATTATCAGTAATAACTATCATAATTTAATTTGATGAATTGATGTGTTTTTTGCTATATCCCAGGTCTATCAGCATTGCTGAACTGGTGCTCCCACAAATCATGGATGACATCTCTCTACAAAGCTATGCTAAGACCGTCAACACCGCCAACCTGTTTATGAGTGTCATCATTGGAAAACTGCAAAGAATTAGAAGTAAATATTGTGTTGTTGTTTTGAACAGATATAGTCAACCCATAATGCCATAGTTTTGGTAACTGGAATACATGTAGGCCTACTCAAAAAAAAAATACAAAATTGAATAATTTCTCAGAAGTATTCTGAATCTACTTACTGACCAATACTGCTGTTAAATTATACAAGACATACATGACCCTAGCAAACTCTAGCAAAGATTTGTAATGCATAGACTAGAGTAAAACCTAAAACAATAAAAATTGGGCTTCCAAGGATCTCTGAATTATTTAACTGTCTTACAATATAGTTTTATTAGATTATGTTTTAATATTGTATTATAAATGATATACATATTAAATTATATTATCATCTTAGTTTATATATCTCTAATGTGTTTTTCAGAAGCGCTAGTTAATTAAAATTAATTGATTTTTTTTGGGTTATATTTTGTAATGTGTTGATACAGATTTTTTTTTTAAAGTGTGTTATAGAAAATTATATATTTTTAATTGCAGTTACAGATGGTATTTTTAAAATAAAATGTGTTATTTCAGACAATACATTTTTAATGTGTTATTTTAGATGGTACCATCAGTCTGTCCTCACTACTTACTGATGCTGATGGCCTGTCTAATATGATAGAGACCTACGTAAGGCTTGGAAAAACTGTTGCTCAGGCCTGGATTGATGGACAGTTTCAAATTCCTAAGGTTTGGTCTTCTTTTATTATGTAAATTCTTTAAGTATGAAAAAAAATTCTTGAGAGCTTCAAATTTGTCTGATTTTAACATTTTTTTTCTTTCTTGGTATATGTCTACTCTGTTTAGTCACTTGCATTCTCAGATAAAGTGCTTCTAATTGATTTAAATTTTTTAAAGTAAAATTTGCAAGTTCTTGAAAACATTGCTTCAAAATGGCTTAATTTATAGTGTTTTTATTACTCTAGAATAAAATAGGCTGTATTGAGATGTATTCCAGATGTTTTCAATAAATAGCTAATCTTTTGAAATAGATTTCTATTAAATTCATTTATCTTTATTTTAAACTTGACCTACAAATGAAAATTCTGCACCTGACCTACAAATGAAAATTATAAACTTGACCCACAATGGGAAAATTTTAACTTGACCTACAAATGAACATTTAGAACTTCATTTACAAATGAAAATTTAGAAATTTAGAACTTGACTTACAAATGAAAATTTAGAAATTTAGAACTTGACTTACAAATGAAAATTTAGAAATTTAGAACTTGACTTACAAATGAAAATTTAGAAATTAACCTACAAATGAATTTTTTTTAACTTTACCTACAAAAGACCATCCTTTTCCCACAGATGCTACAGATATTCACAAACAGCACAAGACTGGAGCTGCTATGTAAACAACCAGACCAGCTGTCTGCTGAGTTAGGTGCCACCTACCCACCAGGGCAAGCTGTGTCAGATCTGTCTACACTGGTGTGTTCTGTGCTCACAGAGTCTCTCCAAAAGGAGGTTCTCAATTTTGTCAGCTACGACTACATCCAAAATGAGGTTTGAGATTTCTTTGATATTACCTCTAATTATAGTTTTTAAAATAAACATAAAAAAATATTTATAAGTTAGTTTAATAAATTTATACTTTGCATAATTTAACAAAATTTAAAATAAAAAAATATATTTTTTAAAATCAGTAATATACATAAGCTGCCACTTAATGAGTATTCTGTATCAGAAAGATTAAGTTAAATAATTTAAATTTGATAAGCGCTATATATAAAGAGATAAATGTTGAATTAAGATCTCTTTGAATTTGTTTTATTCATTTTAAAATAAAAATCTATTCTATTTCAGCTGACTGCCATCTGGACAGCTAATACCACTTCTCCCAACTATGAAAAGTTTATCTCCAATGTTGAAGAGTTCACAAACACCATCACTGACCTGGCAAACAAGTCACTAACTGTTAGCAATAGCCTAACTGGCAGTTTTAATTTCTCTTTGGATGCCTTCAAAAACATAGCAACAAATCCTCAACTGTAAGTTTGTTTTTCACTGCAAATCAGTAGGTTTTTTTTTTGTGTTGCATTGTCTTAGATTTTGTTTATAGCTGTTTTGAGTATTATCTGTCAATCAAATTGTTGTTAAAAACAGTTATACTTGCTATAATCTGCTCATCAGATGCAGGCACTGCTGGTGTAAAAAATAGTCACAACTGGTTAAGAAATTTAAATTAAGTTCATTTATCTTGAAGAATAATGGTTTCAATATAAGTATCATTGAGATCTAACTGTATTGTATTGTGTTTCCAGAATATAAGTGTCATTGAAATCTAAATGATTGTATTGTGTTTCCAGAATCATTAGACTGATGAAGCTGTTTGGCATTGCATTAGAGGGCCCCCTGCATCAAGCACAAGATGTTGTTCAAGCCTTGTCTGGAATCAACACCTTCGCTGTTATGCCAGTGGTCAACATATTAGATGCTTTGAAAGGTTGGCATTTAAATTTCCTTAAGGAATTTCACTCCATTTGGCTTTTAAGCAGTACAAACAGATATTTTATAAATCAATTTTTATTGCCAAAAGTTTATCTTCAAAAATAAATACTGCATTCAAGTGTAAAGGGTAAAATAAATGGAAAACCAAAAAGTAATTTTTAAAAAATTGGTGTGTAAAACTATTTGAGAATCATTTAATTTTTTTAATAATGTATATTGTTTACCGCATATATCAACATAAGAATACTCAACATTGGCTTGTTTAATTTAACACAATATTTTAAATAGTAAATTAATTTGTATTTTGAAATGAGTTATTGCATGTAAATGTATGTTAATCTATTTAAAAGTGTGTAAATGTATGTGAATGTATGCTTCAGCTAAAGGGATTACCCTACAGACAATAGCCAACAACCCTGAGACATTGCTGGAGGTTCTCTCTACACTTGTAGACATGGATGTGCAGTTCTCAGTTATGGAGACAGTTTGGTTAAAGCCACAGGTAGGGGAAAATAATGTCAAATATTTATGTTTGCTTGAAAAACTGATGTTGATTCCTCTTTATGTTGGACTAAGCTAATCTATGCCTTAACTGCTAGCCTTTCACCTATAACTCTCTTGTCTATTAGTGTTTCACAGAGGCGTAGCGAGGGGCGTGGGCGTCGACCCTAGGGGTGCCAAAGTGGGTTTGAAAAAAAAATTAAAAGCTCATTTTAGCTGCAGGTTTGAGCTATAATTATAAAAAAATATATAGGGGGGGGGGCCTCAAATTGAAAGTTTGTCCCGGGCAACGAGAGGGGTCGCTATGCCTCTGGTGTTTCAAATTCTATATATTTACATGTATTTTTATACTTTTTTGTCTGGAAATTCTTTCATTAAACAAGGATTTCTTAATTTTATGAAAATGTTATCATATTTTTTGTGTTTATTTTAGTTGAACTACTTGCTGACTCACAGAGGGAACTGTAATAACACCATGTATGAGGAAACATTGCTGACCAGAGGTGTAGCTGACTTGAAGTTACCTGTGCCATGGCAACAGGTGTACACTGTGCTCTGCCAGAGTCAAGATGCAGGTGTTATGTTGCAGAAGATGAAAGAGATGGGGCTGACCTACATACAAATTACAGTTCTATTAAATAAGGTAAAAGTTTCTTAGAAAAATTTCAAAATATCAATCAAAATGTATTGTCTGTTAGTTTACTCTGTTATGTTTTCAAAAATTACATAACAATACCTTTAGTGAAAAATTAATTAAAGTAAAATTAAAATAATGAATTGAAAATTGTAATTAAAAAAGGCTTATAATTTTAGCTATTTGATTGTTTTTAATGTTTATTAGTTTCCAAATGAGACTGATTTTGAAAATTTTCTCAACTTTCACAGATGTTCCCAGCTGACCAGGCTGAAACATTAGACCAGATGTATGACCAGAACTTTGGCTGGATAGACTTGATGTCCAGCATAGAGAGACTGACCAGTCTAGCCACACAAGCCCCAGTGAATCAGTCCCAGGTTACCAGCGTTAAGTCGGCATGGGAGGCCATTCAAGACACTGTGTTTGATAAATCACTCAACAGGTGAGTGGACAAATAATAAATCCTACAGCTATATTGTTTTAGGTAAAACAAAAACAGTGTTTTCAAGTTATTGAGTAGGGCGGCGTGGCCTAGCTGTAGAGAGCTAGACTGCTAACCTGAGAGTCTCAAGTTCGAATCCAGGTTCAAATCAGTGGAACGTCCCTGAGCCCACCCAGCTCTGATGAGTACCTAACTCACGTTAGGGAAACAAAGATGGCTGGGCATAGTGCTGACCACACTATCTCTTCATATGCCAAGGTCTCTGTAGCAGATGAACTCTACTTCCTGCCCCATGTGTCTTGGCCACAAACAGGAAATGATGAAGATGAAGTCAACACCACAATTCCAAAAATAGAATTGGCTAAACTCTTAACTGTTTTTGATGGATTGAATACTATTATATAACAGTTGACATTTTAATGTATCTAATAATGTAAAATTTAAATTTACCAAACTGTCTTAGATATTATAAATAGTTATCTAAACATGAATTATGACTAAAAGTTTGAAACTTTTAAAAATATTTTGCAGCTTGTTTTCTTATTTACAACTTCTGGAAAGTGAAACTGGGACAAGTGATGACTGGATTAAGTTTAGGCAGTTCCTTCAATTCTTCAATGCTTCTATTAGCTTTATAGATGAAAACTTATCAAAGTTTGGTAAGTTTGAATTTAAATTTAAAAAACTTTTTTTAAAATTAATTATTGATCTAGTGGATCTTGAAATCATTGAAATTTGTTAAGAAAATGCACTGTATAAACATTGTAATAAGATGTTATAACATTTGTCATATGTATAGGTCAAGGTGTAGAACTCAAGGATATTCTGCCCAACACAGATAAAGTTTCCTCCATTATTGAAGAGCTGTTTGGTGACAGTGCCGCAGAGCTGTTGGCAACAAGCATCAATCCTATTTTGGTATAAATTATTTTTTTCATTTTATTCTCTAAAACAAATTTTTCCAAATATCTGTGTATCAAAAAAGAATTTGTATTAAGAAGAAATCTATTAACATCTAAGTGTTTATTTATATGTGCAACAAAGTGATTTAAAATTCATAATGTAGTAGTAAAATGTTTTTGAAATTATATCGTAAGCATCATCTTATGAAGAGTAAACAAAAAATTCTTTAGCTGATTTTCAAGCATCACCATTTCTGTTTGATTGCCATGCAAATATTCAAATAAAACACCATATGCTAATGCCATGCATACATAAGTATAGAGTAGGATGATGATTCAGGGGAAGGGGGGTGGGAATAAAGCCCTTTACACTAAAGCAAGATGTAAACAGCTCCACTGGTTTGAATCATCCAACGCAGAGTATTTTAACAGTTAAACGTAAAAATTGATCTTTTTATCTATAATATTAGGCTGCTGGTAGTGTGTCAGTAACTATATATTTGGAACTTCTCCGTTACCAACTCAACCACTGACCCCTTATTTTGGATCAATAAAAGCACCCAGCGAATGACTTACTGCTTGTATAATGCATCACATTGTCTGTATATTAAATTTAGTTTATAGTGGCTACAGTTTTTACACTTTTGCATAATGTAAAGAAAATATTAAATATAAGCACATTGCTAAAACATATTAAACGGATCAATGTCAAATATAATTTTCGTTTAGATTCTTAGAAAAAGTGGATACATTTTAATAAAAGTAGGGTCGAAAAAAGTAATTATTTAAATTATTTAATAGTTATGCCAGGGGAGGTAATTTAAAAATAAATTCAAATAGCTAACAAAAAAAAAGTACATGTAAAATCTTATGTCCAAAAGGGCATTATTGTTGGAATAATATAATTAGCATGGATTGATAAAGTGCAAAATGTTAGGTAAAACACTGATATTTCAAATACTGCCTTTATTTATTTTATACACTGAATGTACTGTTATTTTTAAACAATAGCTGTTTAGAAGCCACTCTTAAATGTCCCCTATGTTTACTTTTATCTTTCGGTTTGTGGAAAAGCTGGGGTTTTTATAGTTGTTCACTAAATTGAATCAGGCGCATCTGTTTGCGGCCCGCGGCCCGGGCAGGTTTAGATTTTGCACTGCTAGACTGTTAGCGCTATAGGTTTGTGTTTGCTTTGCGTTGTGTTTGTGTTTTCTTTTGTGTTTCTGTGTTGCTTTTGCATTGTATTTGTGTTTTCTTTTGTGTTTGTTTGTTGTGTTTGTGTTTGCGTTGTTTTTGGGTTTATGTTTCCTTTTGTTTTTGTGCTGGCGTTGTGTTTGTTTTCGTTTGTGTTTAGTTTTGTTCTGTTCCATAGTTGATAAATTTAAAAAGATTCCCTGTGGCGGAGCAGGGGTATGCAGCTAGTATATATATATATATATATATATATATATATATATATATATATATATATATATATATAAATCAATTTTATAAAGTTCCTTTATTGAACCTTATGGTCCATGGGGCAGGTGAAGTAGAGTTCACCTGTGTCTGTGATCTCAGTATATGAAGGGATAGTGTGGTCAGACACTTTTACTTTCCCTTACGTGAGCAAGTACCCATCAGAGCTGGGTGGACTCAGAGATATTCTACTGATTTGAATCTGGATTTGAACACAAGACATTTTGGGTTAGCAGTCTAGCGCTCTACCCCTAGGTCACGCGTTGCATACAAATCAATAACATTGACATTATTTCCTGGTTACAGTTTTACCGCATCACCCTGAGAGAAGCATGGGCTGAGATGTGTGATGGCTACCACACACTTGAAGCATACTTTGACTTCCCTACTGGTACTGATGTAGCTTTAGTCCAGTCAAACCTGTGCAGGGCTGTTCTCAGCAACAGCACAAGTTTTCAGATGCTGCTTCAGCTGTTTAATGCTGGAGAGATGCTAGTAGAAGTGAGTTCAAACTTTTTTTTTTAATTTTTGCTGCCTACAGTATTTAAATTATTTATTTTTCTTCAGGTTTATTGATCATTTTAACCCACTCATTATAATTATTAAATTTTTGTAAACATGTTTATATATAGCTGGACAAACTGATCCATGGAGATTACATTGACGCAGCATTGAACACTTCAGTGTGGGAGGCTGCCTATAGTTCCATCAAACACCTTATTGATACAGCTCAAAGTCTGCAGAATGTGGACACTACAACAGGTTTAAGCTGGCTGACAACAGTGGCCGACAAGCTCAGCTCACTGCTAGGATCTGAGAGCTACAGGTCAGTCTTGTACCTATAGCCAGCTAGGTGCAGAGTATTTGAATTTTAAAATAATAAATATGATTTAAAAATTGACATAACATTGTGCTTAATTGCATTATGGTTGATAGTATTTCATGTTCTAATGAAGTCTAAAGTTCACAATAACTATTGTTGAAAAAATAATTTTAAAAAATGATTCTTAGGGCAGATGAAGTAGAGTCCATTTGTTTCTTGACCTCGGATTCTGGAGGTTTGGTGTGGTCAGCACTACGCCCAGCCCCTTTACTTTCCTCAACATGTCAGGTACCCATCAGAGTTGTGTGGACTCAGGAATATCATGTAGTCTTAAGTACAAATCCAAGAACCAATCCTGAGACCTTCAGTCGAGCTGTTGAGCACTCGACTCATATAGCACGCCACTTCACATCTATTATTGAGCTTTTATCTTTATGTTTTTTTTTATCCATGTTTGGATCAGTCTGCTAATAATCTCTCAAATAGATCTTGCTAGTATTTTCCCCTAACCACCAACTCTTGTTTTCTCAGACTAACTGGCATGTGTAACAGTTTAGTTCGGTACCTCAACAACACTGATGGTTATTATGGATCTGAGCAGTCACTCTCCATTGCAATCACTGCCCTGAATTTGGTCACAGATTTAAGTAAACTCATCCCAGGTATGTTTTCTTAGCTGTGTGGCTAATCTTAAGAGTTACACAGAATTAGCTAAGATATGTTTGGATTTAGATTTAAATTATACTATCTACTTGGTCCAACAGTATAAAATAAAAATAATTTCTCAAAGAAATTATGTGAGTGATGTATTTCTTCTTAGATTGCAAATAGATGATTTGTAATCAATTTGCTGATGACTATAGACTTTGTGTAGGAATTTATGGAAAACAGACAATATACTTTTTATTTAGTTTAAAATTCTTATGAAATAATATTTTATTTACGCAGAAATGTATACATCAAAAAAGAGTAATTAACAAATCCTTTATCTCATTGGTTGTTTACTTGATTGATATTAAAGGGTCTATAGTAATGGCCATGTATTTTCCCTAGAACTTGATGAGCTAGCATGCATCCTAGTCAGCAACAATGAAGTGAACATAGCAGGCTTGATTGACAGGATAACCTACCTAGGATTCTTTGATGACATAAAAAAGGTAACCATTCTAATCTTAATAGTTGAACTACTAACAGCTTTCATCTTACAAAATTTAAATGAGATCCCTAGGTGTGTAGTTCATTTAATGCATATGTGCTCCTTTAAAAGCTTAATGTTTAAGTTATGTAGTTAAAGAGTTTAAAGTTTTGTAATTGTTACATTTAATTATCAGCAGCATAGTACTATTGTGATTATCACTGTAATTTAAACTCCCGTTGTTTCAAAAGCTGTAATATTTATTTGTACAATAGTACATTCAGCTTTTTTTAAAAAGAAAATTTAATGTTATCATACATATGACTAGTAATGATGTAAGCCTGCATTAATTATCTGTAGAATACTTTTATATTGAAAAATATGCTTGATTCATTTCTTACTTTCAATTCATCTGTTAGACCATTGACAGCTTGTATGAGCCTTCAGGTGTTGTGGACTGTGTTGCTCCTGTGTATGACATCATGAGGCTGATGGAGAGGATAAACCACACGTTAACATACAGTGAAGTGAATGGAGGTCAGATGTCTGAATGTCTGACCATGGCTGGTGGAAACTTCAGGGACATGTTAGGATCTTTTAGCAAGTACGTTTTTAGACTTATTTTACAGGTATATCAAAATTAGTCAATTGTAGTAATTATCTTTAACGATACATTTCATTTTGGCTGTTATCCTGTACAACCCATAATCATGAGGATTTAGGTTTAATGTTAGTGCAGTATTTAGGTTTAGGATTAATTATTCTGGCATTGAAAGATGTACATAAATAAGTGTATTGATAAACAATAAGCACTATACAAAATACAGGCCTAATGAATATGTTAGTTTATACATGTGACTAAAACCTTTAAACATCAGAAAAAATGGTGTTCATTGTAGAACAATGCATCTCATTTCAAATTAAAAAATGATTGCTTACTTCTTTTATAAATATTTAATTTTTAACTTTATTGCAGGACATTAATGTTTACCAAAGATCTTCTAGGATTCATGCAAACACCACCAGTTCAAAATATGTTAGCTGATCCAAGAATAAATCCAATCATGGATTTCATCATAGATTCCATTAACTCTACTGAAAAAGGTTAGTTATTTTTTTATTATTTATTTTTAAACAAATGTTAATTTTCTCACAAGTTTCGCTTTTACTTTAAGTATTTTTCTCAATATTTTAGTTTTTTTTTTTAATGATAATTATTAAAATTTGAAAAAGAGGCTCTTTGGGTGAATATTATCACTAATAGTAGACACTAATAAAGCAAGCTGCATTTTGAATTTTAAATATTTGAATTTCCAGTGGTTTTAACGGTATTTTGAATTTTAAATATTTGACATTCCAGTGGTTTTAACGGTATTTTGAATTTTAAATATTTGACATTCCAGTGGTTTTAACCTTTGCTGATCTGCTACAAGATGGGAGCATTGCATCAGATTTTCTTATCAACAAACAGGGTATTCCTAGCTCCATTGCTGATGCGTTTTTGAATGCCACTGTCAGCAAGGACTGGGTATGATTGAAAATTTTACTCAGTTATTTTATTTATTTTTCAAAAGCTTTATTGAACTTCACTTAACCAACAGTTTTTAATTATAAAGTTTAAAAAAGTGAACTAAAATTTGTAAAAGAATAAACAAAAACTAAATAAAACACTTCGTTCATTGTTCCCCTAATTATGAAGCCTTATGTTTTTAATGTGTAATGTAAAGTTCTTAAGGTAGATCTTTGTTTTCATTTTATTTTTTTCTTAATGCAACATACATCGACCTTTTTATTCACATAAAAACTATTTATATGCTCCTCTTGTCAGGGATGTTAAACAATCACTTTTACCAAAGTAAAATTTAGCAATGATCTAATTGAATTAACAAACTGTTTGTTTTAATAAATAAAAATAATTTAATTTTTTTAAATGAGTAAAAAATAACAAATCTTCTTAATGAAGTTAAAATAATAAATGATGTATCTCAATAAACTAAAAAAAATGCCTTAATAAAAGAAAATATTACTTATTTTCCCCAGATTCACTTTCTTCACAACCCTGTGAACATCATCAGCGAGTACCTGTGCTCAGTGCCCAAGCTGTCCGACATCATCAGCCTCTCACCTGGCTCTAGCGCCACCATCAGTAACATCAGCAGGGCCTTGTGCCACCTGTCTGCCACAGAGATTGCTGGATTTCTACAGAACTTTTCTCAGCCCATCAACAACATCAACAATGTATGTTAAAATATATCATCAATTTAAAAAAAAGTTACTTGGGAATTATTTTTTATCAAACCTGATTTAAAATTTAAATTCATATCCCAATAACTAATTTAACTATGCATTTTTTCTATACAGATGGCATCAAGTAAGGACAACCAAGTCATGGACGTAATTACAGAAATTGTTCCAGAGATTGCGGACATCTTTTTAAAGTTTTCAGATGTCATCGGCTTGTCAGTGAACTTTTTCTCCTACTTCAATATGGATCTTCTCAAACGAAATGTTTTTTCTATTGACAAGCTTTTGCTGAGTGATACTATTAGTAGCTTGGCTAACAGGCAAGTACATTAAAAACAAATTTTTTTATTTCTTTAAAGTTCTTAAATTAAATTGACTCTCACACACACTCATACTTTTAAATAGTTATAGTTTCATTGATAATTAGTTCTATGTTTCTATAACCTTTAGCATATTATTATTCTTAACTATTTTTATTACCATTTATTTTGATTTCTCTATATTTTTGCTTACAACTATCAATTTTTTTTTTGCTTTCAGAGAATCGTAAATGTGTATTGTGTCCATTATTTTCTACTACTGTAGAGATATTTGTAGTTAGTTCATATTCTATGTTGTTTTTTTTTTTATTTTACTGAAATCATTTGAAATTTTTTAGTTGTTTTGCTACAGTTGTTTTCTAGTCATTTTGCATAATAACTTTTCTTATGTTGAACAGCTTCCAAAAGATAATGGATGGCCTAAAAAACATCATACCAAAAACTCCAGACACAGAAAATGTCTTAAAAGATGTGCAAGTGGTTTTAAACGGCGTATTTGGACTGGACATAGTCAGAATTGCATTACTGCAACAAAGTAATTACTTGTGTTGTTTGTTAATTTAATTAGTCTAACTAATTTACTGACTCTATTTTGCAATCTAATTCATTTTCACAAAGTGTTATTGTATCAAAGGTTTCTAACCATATATAATAAATGCTTATTTTGTTTTAAGGTTTTACTTTAAAAACATTAATTTGTATTTTTATTTAAAGTTAATTCATGTGAAATTCTTTATTAACTTTTTTTAGGCCTTACAGTTCACTTCAATAACTAGCTCATAAAAAACAAACTAAATAAAATTTGGGCCTACATAATGATCCTAGGAACAGAAAAATTCAGTAGCACAATATTCTTTGAATAATAGACTAGTATTACTTAACTCACATACTGACAAATTTATTTTTTAAACCTAGCTCATGTCAAGGAACTGCTGAATGACCCTCAGGCTGTTGAAAGTTACCTGAAAACGCTAGGGTTTAGTGAAGATATCATACAAGCCTTGCTAGATGCTGTATATTCATCGCGAGTGGTAAGTATTTGTTAAATTAAGTGGTCAAAACTAATGTTATATTCAATAATACTTGATTATTTTATGTTGATAATAATCTTTTAAAAACATAAAAAGATAACTAGAATAATATGTCCTGCTTACGTGATGGAAGTAAAATATGTTTTAAAAATATAAATCTATCATTCATTAGATCTAATTTTTATTTTCATTTTTAAAATAACAATGACACCATAAATTGAATATTTTATAAACAAATCATGCCTGTTAGAAAATTGTTCTTTTACATTTATTAAACTCTACTTGTTCTTTATTGTTTTTTTGTAATATTTTTGACATTATAAGGATTTGTTCTAAATCTTTATTTCTAGCTGTTCAACCTAGTTAGCAAACCAGCCCATTCTTGTGTGGATGTGCTGAGCATGCTTATCTTTGTAAACAGCACTGTGGAAGACAAACAGAGCATTGTTACCTCCCTTTGTCGGCTAAACACAACACAGATACAAGAGCTTGTGGCTCGACTCATACCAGAGGTTAATGCTGGGGATCTTATATCAAAGGTGAGTTTGTGAGCTTAAGGTTAAAGGTGATCTTGTATCAAAGGTGAGTTTGTGAGCTTAAGGTTAAAGGTGATCTTATATCAAAGGTAAGTTTGTGAGCTTAAGGTTAAAGGTGATCTTGTATCAAAGGTGAGCTTGTGAGCTTAAGGTTAAAGGTGATCTTATATCAAAGGTGAGTTTGTGAGCTTAAGGTTAAAGGTGATCTTGTATCAAAGGTGAGCTTGTGAGCTTAAGGTTAAAGGTGATCTTATATCAAAGGTGAGTTTGTGAGCTTAAGGTTAAAGGTGATCTTGTATCAAAGGTGAGTTTGTGAGCTTAAGGTTAAAGGTGATCTTGTATCAAAGGTGAGCTTGTGAGCTTAAGGTTAAAGTGATATTGTATCAAAGGTGAGCTTGCGAGCTTAAGGTTAAATGTGATCTTATATCAAAGGGTGTTGTGAACTTAACATAGGGTGAAAGCTAGTCAAAGGTGTGTTTGTATGCTTAACATGAGTTCAATAGTCATCTTGCAACAATAGTGAGTTAATGGCCTTAAAATAGGATTAAAGATAATCTTATATTCAAATAAAACACCATATGCTAATGTTTTTTTAATAAACTTATTCATCCCATATTGATAGATTAGCTCCCTTTTTTTTAAAAAAATATTTTTTTTTCTTTCTATGTCTTGGTTTTCTAATAAGGATCAAGAAACCTTAATTGTATTTTATCCAACTAATGCCGTTTCTTTTAGTATGTGAACAACACAGGCAACTTCATCTTAGAGTCAGTCAACATGACCAGTGCCCAGTTGAAAAGTATGGTCACTCAGGTGGACAAGGGCCTGTCTAACCTACAGAAGGCTTCCACCATCCTACAGGAGAACAGCAACAGCAAAATGATGATGAACATCTTCACTAATGCCACGGCCAGTGGTGAGTCGGGGTTGGATGGTGTGTTCAGTGTTAGGAACAAAGGCCAATGTCTTCTAAGATGTATTACTTTGCTAAGGCTGTTAAACAATAAAGATCTCACTTTATTAAGAAATTTTAAATAATCAAATTATTACTATTATTATTTTTTTTTAATGTAATTTTTTACTCTCATAAAAAAATCCTGACTATCATTGAGTTGCTACTGTCATTAATGTTTAACTTTCAATATTTACTTTTAAAACAGTCATTAATTTAACTATAATTTGTTAACTGATTCCATTGTTAAATTATTCTCATTTAATATTACACTCATTTATTTATTAGCAAAACATTATTACTGTAATTATCTTATTACTCTGGTTAATTTATTGCTTTCATTCTTTTTTGAGTTAATTACTATATTATTCTCATTAACATTTACTCTTAATTGTATGACTTTTATAAATATTACATACTCATGTATAAATAAGAAAATATCTATTTTAACATTAGATTTTAACATTAGGTTAACGAGAAATGAAATATTTTTCTATTTAGCCTCTACTAATCTTGATAAGATGGCCACAAGAATCTGTGGCAGGGACCTGGCCAGTATTCTCTCATTCCCCAGCAACCCTGCCTTTGCCCTGTCTGCAGGTAGTGGCATTGAGGAGCAACTGGAACAAGGAACTGGCGACCAAGAAACAGATCTTCCAAGTAGGTTCTGCCAAATTTTGCTTTTTTAAAACAAAGAATATTAATATAATTAACCCAGTGGTAACTGTTGCACAATGAACTTTAACCTGTGGTTAAATTTTACTAGCCAGTAATAATGAATATGTTAAAGTTACCTTACAACAAGCAATTTAGTTAATAATTTTTTTGTAATATTGATATTCTTACTAATAATTAGGAAGTTTAGTTTTTTTTTATCTAAAAGAACTAGATCATTAGTTAGATCTTTTTATTGACATTTTTTTGCTTATTTGGTTTCCTTTTTCATTTTATTTAAAAAAATTTAAAACATGAGTTGAAAATTTTTCAATGATTTTATAATTTTCTAAATTTTTCTTTTCAGATGAATTTTGTTTGTCGTTTTATCAAGTCATACGTGAGTCAAGTTTAGGCAGTCTAATATGGGCTTATGTCAAACCAATTCTCAGGGGGAAAATCCTCTACACTCCTGACAACCCAGCTACCAGAGCTATTCTAGCTAAAGTAGGTTTTACAGTTGTTTTATATTGTTTTCTTTTGTTTTAGATAGAAGTAATGGTCAGATAACTAAGTTCTTTTAGGAAAAAACTGCAAACTGGAATTAAAATTAAAAAGTAGGCCTACCTCAATTGTTTTCCAAACAAACAAAATATTTGAAATACAGAACATATAATATTTTTTTACATCACAAGAAAAAAACTGAACTGTTTCACTTTTCACTACTAGAAAGCAAAATTTGCTTAGGTTAAAAAATAATTATTCATTATTGATTTTAGCAAGTAGATGTATTGTCTATACCTATTAGGAGTCAAAACAGACTTTTTTATATTTATTTCATATGTAGATTTTTTTTATTTTAAGTAAATATCTCTGAATTTTCATTAATAATTATAATCTGTTTCAGGCCAATAAAACATTCTCTGATATTGAAGAGCTCAATAGAATCTCTAAACTTTGGGCTACAAAGGCTGATGGTCTGCAATCCTTGCTTGACTTGGCCAACGATACAGAAGATTTGAGGGTAAGAAATTTCTGCTTACCAAAAGCATCTCAGTTAAACACATAAAGCTTAATGGAAAGTTAAGTGCAAGTAGTTACAACTTTTATAGTTATTAAATTTCACTTCCAAATATGCATCATGATCTCTACCAATTTTATTTGCAAATTATTTTTTACCCAGCATGCAATGGACAACGACTTCATCAAAAGCATAGTGGAGGCCTCTTCAGGATTAACATCAGCAGCCTTGACCTCCAGCTTAGATGCCCTTCAGAGCAACAGCATTGACGCCAGCCAACTGAATGCCTTGAAAACGGCTGCTGAGGTGATCTCAAACTATTCCTCTTGTATTCTGACCAACAGGTTTCAACCTGTAGCTTCAGAGCAGGAGCTGGAGGAGCAGGCTTTCAGACTCAGCCAGACAAGAAACTACTTAGCTGGTACTTTATATTTATTCTATTTTTTTTGTTCTAATTTTTTAAATTTAAATTATATTTGATTTTTTCTGAAGAAGATTATTACTTTTTTTTTCCAATTTTGATATGAAATAATGCAATATAATCTAAGGCAATCTTTAGTGTTTTGCAGTTAAAGTTGTTTTTTTTTTGATTATGTGCATGTAAAACTGCTCCTCAAATATAAATAATTTATTTTTTGATAGGAATTGTTTTTCTAAATTTGAATGAAACCGACACCACACAGGGTCGAAAGCGAAGACAGGCAGGAGACATACACATCACAAAACATGTGGCCTACAAAATTAGGATGGACGTTGACAATGTTATGGACACAAACTTCATTAAATCTTAGTGAGTTTCATTTCATTAATCTGTAACAGAACATTTGAACAAAGAATTCTAAGTTGCTAAAAAGCCCTTCAGTTATATTAAATATACATATGTAAACTGCATTAACACCCTTTTTAAGGTAATTAAGTATTTATCTGTAATTTCACATGATGTTTCAGTATTTTTTTTATGTAAAAAGTATAATATTATCAACTGAAATGATATAATTTGTATTATGTAAAAATGTAAAATGTAGTTTAGAATTTGTAAGATTTGTTCTGTAAACTGTATTAATGTCATTTATTGTCTGTGTATATATATATATATATATATATATATATATATATATATATATATATATATATATATATATATATATATATATATATATATATATATATATATATATATATATATATATATATATATATATATATATATATATATATATATATATATATATATATATATATATATATATATATATTGTACACACATTTTGATAAACTGGTTACATTCTTATACTGTAAAATATTTAGTAATCGGAATGCTTATTACTAACTTTTATTATAGGCCTAAAATAATTATATCATACATTTGTCATTTTGTTTAGTATTTGGAAGATGGCGGCAGAGTCCAACTTCATTGAAGACTTGCGCTACCTGCGAGGTTTCATCTACCTTCAAGATATCATTGACAAGGCCATAATTGATACACATAAAGACCAGTCAGTGACCACACCTGGTTTTAACATTAAGCAAATGCCATACCCTTGCCACCATGAAGACAAGTAAGTCATCAAAAAGTTAAATAACCATTTATAAACATTAACATAGACAATTTATCAAAGAACATATCCGGAAATGACTTTGCCTTACTGTTTAATACATTTTTAACTTTAATTAAGCTCGAAATAAAAGGAAATAATATTCAAGCTTTATCATAACTTTTTAGTTGAATAATGTTTTTTTTTTAATTCAATGATCGTCACTTCTGTCTTCTTTATCACTGTAAATAATTATTGTAACTTACCTTTTTGGTATTTTGACTTACTCATTTGGGGGCTTTCTAATATTATTAATAGCTGTAGCGAACAAGTAAGAAAATACATGAACTTAATCCATAAATGATTCTAATTAATTTTTCCCCTTAGCTTTATCGTGATGCTCGGTGCCTACATGATCCCTGTGGTGATGACATTTGTCTTTATCACATCCATTGGTGTGGCCACACATAACCTAGTGTGTGACAGAGAGAATGGACAAGAGGAGGTAATACATCTTTTTTTATTTTGTCTCATACTTTTATCTTGTTAATTTATTCACACTTACTCCTCATAAGGTTCTTATTTCAAACTATATGGGTGTTACTCATTTAAAAGCCTTAAACCATAGACTGTAGTGTCATTAAGAGAAAAGAATTAATAGCCATAATGTTTATTGACTATCTAGAGCAGTAGATCTAGACCTTTTTGGAGTTACCAAACCCCACCAGTTTCATAAGCGCTTTATCCAAACCCTTCTTAATATTTCTATCATCCACGCTGACAAAATCTGATCATGAATCATATGAGTCTGGTGTGAGTCTTGACCTCTGCCGAACCCCTGAGACTGACTCACCGAACCACTGTCCTGTGTTTCTATCAAACACATGACAGTAACCACTGATCTAGAGTCATTCCCATGAAATGAAGTCAAGATTTCTGGTTAAATTATTTAATTTAAAAGAGTGCATTAGGTAGCATTGTATATGGAACTCATTGTTGTTAAAGTTGTTAAACTTTTTAATGGTGAGAACTAAGGTTAAGGATAAGTCTAGTGGGATAGCATTATGTTTTAACATTATAAACAATAACTTCTGAATAGTGAGTAACAATAACACTATAATGGAATAAACTAAAAAACTGCAAATGATGCTACTTTTATTAGCATTAGTTTTACTCTAAGTATTCAGAATCAACCTCATTGACTTTGAAGGTAAACAGTTATTTTTATTTCTTATAATAATGTTGGTTTGTTCTACAATAAATTTAATCAAACGTGATGTTTATTTTTTTTTTCTTCAGAACCTACGTGTCATGGGAATGATAAGCGGCTTAAATTTCCTAGCCTGGCTAGCCAGCACCATGGTCCTGTTGACCGTAGTGTGTGTGGTGATCGCCATCATGCTCTACTACACCAACATCTTTATCTACAGCAACATGCTCATCATATTCTTGTACCTGGTGGATTTCTGCTTCAGTTCTGTCATGCTGCTGTATGTGGGCCCTTTAGCTACTCACACATTTCATTTATTTTATTCGTTGTGTTCACAATTAGGCTTTAATTAGTTAAGGATGAATGGATGTACATGTGTGTATACACATTCATATGTACCTATGTTTATGCTGCTATATTCCACATCATTATATATTACTTTTTTTTTACATCTTTTTTTTTTACTTTCTAAGCATTATTAAGTGTTATTGCTATTTGTCTTTGTGGGGTGGATATTAAAAAAATGAAAAAAAATAGCTGTCATTACATAGTATTGAATTTTCAATGCTGACAATTAAACTATTTTAAAAGAAAATATGTATTCTAATGATAATTAAAAGGCTGATGCTGAATACCCTTATCTGCCTGATAAAATATTATACTCTTTGTTTTTTCTCTAGGTATTTGGTCTCCTCATTCTTCACTAGAACTACCATGGCCATTTTATTTGTTATGGTATTCTTTATGATTGCATACATACCATATGTCATCGTGATTGGACTTGGTTTGACCATGACCTACTGGCAAAAAATGCTGACAGTGAGTAACATAGACCTTAGCACACTTTTTGGGAGAAAAAAACTCCTGAAATTTCACTTTATTATGCACATGCAAATTTTCCTTTTAAAAATTTCACATTTGTAAAACATTTGAAAATTTTACCTTAGTAATAAAAAAAAACTACAAATGTTACATTTTGAATACTCTCCTGTTTACTAAATATTTCTTTTATCTTGAATGTTACTGTTCTATAAATAATCATACATGATTCTTTATTTATAAATCATGGCATGATTTTTCAGTGCTATAAAAAATAAAAACATTTATTTTTAAGGCTTTAATTTCTTTATTTAAAAAAAAAAGGATTTCTCATGTATAATAAAAACAATATATAAGATATATAAGACCCCAAAAACATGGTATTATATTGATTAATAACCTTGACTAATTTATTATCGCAATGAGGTTGTTGATGAATAAAACCTGCAGAATTATGTTGTACTGATGTAATAAATATTTTTCCACATTTCTTTAACCAGAGCTTTGCATCAACCACAGCTTTTTGCTTTGGATCTCTAAGATTATCTTACTTAGAGGAAAATGGCATTGGAGTCCAGTGGTCAAATGTGAATGAGTATTATGGCACAGACCTCACCATGTCCTGGTCATGCTATATGATGTTGATTGACAGCGCCATCTACTTCCTCATTGGCTGGTATGTCCGCAATGTCATGCCAGGTAAGACAATCAGTTCATATTTTTAAAATTATTGAAGGGAGCATGTAAATATTATGTTGCATGATAAGTGAATGCTAGGGGTTTATTATTTTGTTATCTCTTGTGTTATAACAGGAAGGGTGGGGGTGGTCGTATAAAGCAATTTTTTTTTAACTGTCCTTGTGTTTAATTTGTTCTTAATTTTGCTAAATGTTTGCCGTTTAGAGTGTGTAGGCTGATGTAATGGGCTTATACTTATTTTTATTTTGACACAAATCAAGAATTTACATCTGTTTTAAATGAAGATATTTGTGATGATTTTCTCTAGTGTAATGTAATTGCCATAATTAATTTTTAAAAATTATGTTGTTTGTAAAAATGTCATATAATATGAGGGATATTGGTCAATGGTAATGTTTAAAAATTAGATTATATATCTAGCAAGTAATGAGTAAAAAAATGTGTATTTAAGAATTTATAATCAGTTTATGAAAAATTGAATCACAAACTTTTTTTTTCAAACTAAACTTTATTTCCGCTATTGAGTAGAAATCTTTTGCTCAATTTTTAAAGCTCTTATTTCTATTACTTTTATTTCATCACAGGACAATATGGCATACCTCAACCTTTCTACTTCCCATTCCTGCCATCCTATTGGTTTGGCTGTACACAACCAACAAAAGCAATCAGTCAAGATGCAGGATCTTATCAGCCAGGTTTGTATCTGACTAGCTCCGTACAATTTTATCTGTAAAACAAAACAAAAAACAAGGTATTTTAAATATCCTTTTGAACTTGGGGTCCATTTAGCAGATGAAGTAAAGTTCACTTGTCTCTGTGATTCTGCAAATGGAGGGAAATTATACCCAGCCCACTTAGTTTCCTTATCGAGAGTCAAATACACATTAGAACTAAGTGAACTTTAGGGATTTCCTTTGGGCTTTAGCCCAAGAACAGAACTCAAGTCTTTTGATTTGACTTTCAACCAATCTACCATACAAATTTGCCATCCCATAATTGGACCTGTACCAGCAACAATTCCATTTGATTTCTTGTACATGTTTAGCAAAATTTTATACTTTTAAAACTTGCTTATTAAAAATATGTGAATAAATTATTTGTAGAACATCCAAATTATTGTGTGAAGTAGGCCTACCAGTTAAAGTAAAAATACCTTCAACAATGTTACCAATGTAACCTATATGTATTGTGCAGGGCCACTGTTTGAAGCTCCTCCAGTTGGCTTCAATGTGGGGATATCTATTGTAAACCTGTGTAAAACCTACAGTAACAAGAAGCAAGCCCTGAGGAACCTGTCCTTGAATATGTACGAAAATCAAATCACTACACTGCTGGGGCACAATGGAGCAGCCAAGACAACCACAATGTAAGATTTTATTCTTTATAAATATTGTTTTGTTTCATAAGTATTAATGCTATATTAAGAAGGAATTTGTGAATGTTAATATTTTACATTTACAGTTACTTCCCTTTTATACATAACAGTTTCTTCCCCTTAACATTATATTTATATCCCCTTTGCTTGTAGTAGTTGTTATCCTTGTAGAATCCTTGTTCCCCTTGAGCTGTAACAGTTATTTTCTCTTTCCTAATGCATTACACAAATTCTATCTTTAATGACAGAGTTAAATTACTTTTTTTTTTAATGTGTGTTCAGTACAAAACATTATTTTGCCAATGCATGACAAATGATGTTAAATCATTTTTTAGGAAATTGATCTGTGGTGTCTTAAAACCAACATCTGGAGAAGTTTTGATCAATGGTAAAAAAACAGGATGCTTTTCCAGCAGCCTTGGAGTGTGCCCTCAACAAAATGCATTGTTTCTTCAGTAGGTTTTATTTTAATATCCTTCTAATAGATTAGGCCTACATTAATGATATTACATTTCAATTGTATTACTTAGTTTTTGTTTTAAATGTAGGTACTTTGTTAAATGAACACTGATAGTAAACAAAATTTGTTCCATTATAAACAGCATGACAGTTAGAGAACACATGAGCTTCTATGCTGGAATAAAAGGCTCCAAAAACAAAATTGAAACTCTTAAAGAAACTCGAAGGTAATAGTTGAATGAATCTAATTATTTTAATTAATTTCATATGATTAATTAAAAATGTAAGGATTAAGAGGTTATAGTTTTTAGCTTAATCTAACAATTTTCATAAAAGAATTTGGTGAATATTTCCTTATTAAAGAACTCCATATTGTAAATTTTAAAGTAATTTTGACTTTTAAAAAAATCACTGCTCATGACAATTTTTTTATATTTATTTATGTATAGGTAGCATTGCTTATTGTTAAAAATGATGGTTTCAAAATGTTTTCAAAAGTAAAATAAAATAAAGTTTTGACATCTATATGTATATTGTGGTTGAATCATTGCCAATTAATTTACTTTCCTGATTCAAAATTTAAAACTAATTAGCTCTGACATTTCCCACAAATTAATTAGTCTGCTACAAGACGTGGATCTCTGGCATGCAAGAAATGTTACAGCTAGAAACTTGTCTTACGGTATGAAAAGACGTCTGTGTGTCGCTCTGGCTTTTGTCGGTGGCTCCAAGACTGTTATCCTAGACGAACCAACAAGTGGGGTTGACCCTCATGCACGTAAACACATTTGGAACCTGATCACAAAGAACCGGCCAGGTATTTTTTCTCAAATACAGCCAAATTTTTTTTTAACTAAAAGAATCCAAAATTATTAAAACTAGTCAGATAGTTTTAAATATTTAAAATCTAGATAAAAAAATTTCTTGTTAAAAAAATGTAGGGCGAACTATTCTCTTATCAACACATCACCTGGACGAGGCTGATTTCCTGAGTGATAGGATCGCAGTCATGCACCAAGGAAGACTCTTGTCATGCGGATCACCATCTTTCTTGAAGTGGTCAGTTGGGGAGGGATTCAACCTAACCCTGGTTAAGAAAGCTAATGTCTCAATGGTGAGTTCAACATAGGCTGATTAAACGTTATGAAAATGTAAAGTATTCTACATCATATTCAATTAAAAAGTCAAATACACATCTATATTGTTTTCAGAATTTCAATGTTGTATTAGAAACTTTCACACAAATATTGGATGATATGATTTTAAAATGTGATTATTATTTGATTACTTTACAGATTGAAGGAGCTCAACCAGAAATGAATGAGCAAAGTATGTATTAGTGGCAGCCTTTAAACAGATTATTACTGAATCCAAACATTGACTCATAAAATCTGTTTGACAAATAATATATATGACTGTTTTTGTTTTCATAGAACATAGCAATTAGTCATCTAAAAACAAACATTAATTATAGCAATATGGTGTAAGTATGTGTGTTTTCATATACAGGTGCCCACAACTCAGTGGTCCTCACATTCATCCAGTCCATGTGCCCCAAGGCATCTTTGATAGAACAGATTGGAAGTGAGCTCACCTTCAATCTGCCCAGGGACCCCACCAGCATGCAAGTGCCATTTGATGAGTTCTTCAGGAAGCTGGACTTGAACTTAAACCAACTGAATGTAGAAAGCTATGGGCTCTCAGACACAACTTTAGAAGATGTAAGTCTCATATAAAAAAACTTTCTAGTTTATAAGGGCTTAACGAGTTAGATCACTTTTTAAAATCGATGCTCCTAAGCAAACTAGAATACAACAGAATAAAGAATACAATTATTCTCTCATCTAGCCTAATTGAGTGATATCGCATATCATTATTAACTATAATTATCTTGAGCAAAGATAAAAAAAACTTAACAGTCTAGCACTCTACCGCTAGATCACACCATACCATAACACTTATATGCCAAGGTCATTAATAATATTAAATGAATACTAATTCTTCTACATCATTCATTACTTGTCCTGTCTAATAGGGTTTTATTCAATTTATTGAACAAAATATTTGAAGTTCAATTTGCTTTGCAGGTGTTTTTCAAGCTGACTGAAGAGGCAGACAGTGCTAACCAATCAAATGTCTCAAGTCCTGCTATAATCTCCAAGCACAGAAGATCACCTTTAGAGTTTGATGATCTTGATGACATAGGTACTTTCTTCTTTACTGAAGTAATTTTAAAATAAGTGTATCATGAATTCAAAAAAATTAAATCACAATATAGATAGTAATGTAAAGTAAAATATATGTACTAAATTAAGTCTTGCTAATATTGCAAATGAGGTTCATATGACCTAACATATGATAACAAGGGTAGGATTTAAATTTACAAAAAGAAGTTAAAAATTATGTATTAGTTTTTAAAAACATATTAAATAAATTATAAATACATTTTATGATGTAAGAAAAAACATTAGTTTTTTAATTTTATTAACATGTACAAAAGGCATTTCCTTCTTTGTAATCTATAGGCCTGTTTGTATTGTAAGTATAATGTATTCTGTGTTTGTATTAATATACATTTTTCTATTCTGTACATTTATTAATGTAGCCTTCTTTACTTGTAGGAAACTCAACAGAATCAGTAAGCAAACAGGAAAGGCTGACTGGGTTATCCTTACTGTTTACCCAGATGGCAGCACTGTTGATCAAACGCCTGCACCATTACCGCAGAAACTGGCGAATTCTGGTGTCTGCCCTTCTCCTGCCCATAATATTTCTAGTCTTTGGATTAGGGTTTGCCTCAGTGAGACTTGATGAAAGTAACATGAAGGCACTTGTTCTAGATGCCTCCATGTACGGACCTGACAGCTATGCCTTTTTCCAGTAAGTCAGGCTCTTGCAACATTTCTTAAAGAATTTTTTTAATCTTACAAGTTGGGCTCTCTGCTTTCTTATGACAGCAAGATATATTATATTTTAAACATATTGAACAAATGTTTATATATATAAATATATATATATAATAGTTTCGCTGTCTGTCTATCTATCTATCTGTGTATCTATCTATCTATCTATGTATCTGACAAGAACGCTATAGAGAAAACACAAGCAAAATCAAAAACTTTCATAGTAAAACGACAGACAGTACGGCCTAATTAATGTGTCTAATCTTTAAAGTGTTTTGCGTGAAGAGTTTCTTTCAAGCATCTCAACGAGTAGGGGCAAAGCCCCACTCCTGGTAGATCGTCTACGCCGACCCCCCCCCCCCCCTCAAATAAATGAAGCCATCGAGACTCCATAATAAAAATACTGACATTCGGGCCTAATTTATGTGTATAATGTTATAAGTGTTTTGTGTGAAGAGTTTCTCTTCTGGTATATATATATATATTTATATCTATATATAAATATATATATAGGCATATATATAGGCATATATATATATATATATATATATATATATCTATAATAATAGTTTCGCTGTCTTGTCTGACAAGAACGCTCTGTCTGACAAGAATGCTCTAGAGAAAACACAAGCAATTTAAAAACATGCACAGTAATTCGAAAAACGAAATATGACGTCGACACATTTAGCGTAGAGTAGAACATAATCTCAAACCAGAGAGTGCACACAGTAATGTAATGACGTCATTGATTCTCGCGTAAACATTGAAAAAAAGGAAATGTTGTCTAATCTAAATGGTTTGCGTGAAGAGTTTCTTGCATACAATTCTTCGGGTAGGGGCGAAGCCCCACCCCCCGCGTAAGAACGTCTGAGCCCCCCCCCCCCCCCCTCCCCAACTCAAAAGAAATTTCCTCATCGATACTCTATAATAAAATTACAGCCTAATTAATGTGTCTAATCTAAAAAGTGGTTTTCTTGCAATGGGACGTTAGACATGTTTTTTTTTGGGGGGGGGGGGGGGGGGGTGGAGGGGTGGGGGGGGGTGGTGTGTAGGGGTGGGGAGGGGGGTGGGGGTGGTGTGTGGGGGGGTGGGTTGGTTTTACTTTAGAGAAAAGAGACAGCACTATCAGCCTAGCGCCCGTTGTACCCTTCCTCAACGGGCCATTTTTCTCGTGTATATATATATATATATATATATATATTTATTTATATCTATATATAAATATATATATAGGCATATATATATATATATATATATATATATATATAACTAGCAGGAAATTTTTTTGCTTAATACAAAAACTTAAAAGATGTAATAGAATTTAGCATAATATTTATTTCCGTATATTGTTTATTTTTATTTTTTTATTTAACAAACAAATAATATTTATTGCAAATATTGATAGGGACTCTGTGAAGAATAACATATCCAAAAGATTTGTCCAAACACTGACCAACACTGAAGTTGGATTTGGTACTGCATGTATGAAAGATGACCTGTCTCGTAAATTCTTTGAGTAAGTTTTAAAATTCTTTTATTATTTAATGCAGAAACCACCAGTTGTTTTGATCATGATTGAAAAATGTTGAATCATAATTAGGTTTTATTGTAGAATTACACTCTAAATAATATGTCATTTGTTTAGATCCCTAAAATAAGTGTCCAGTAAGATTGTATCTGGATTTAGGTTGAATTATTAAAATTAAAACCAATTTTTTTTAAAAATTAGCTTTGTAACATTTGTGTTAGATATTTTAGAAAAATTGATGAGAAAAATGTGTTAGTGTTAAAAATCAATGTTCACAGTTTGGTTTAAAATCAAAGTTGTGTCCGTGCACCAGACTAATGTTAAAATTTAACCCCCCAGTGAAGACAAATGTGCATCCCCGTCTCCTTGGTACAACTACACAAAGCCTATGTTTATGGTGGGATGTAGGAACGCCCATCAGATATTCACCAAAATGCCTCTCCCGTACGTCATCAATGAGAGACGTATGCCACCTGGTGAATACCTCCAGGACCTCAGCCAGTGGAACATACTCTCTTACCTACTGAGGACATTTGATGAATACAAAGAGCACAGGTAAAAAAAAAATATGGCACTTCTTAAGAAAGCTATTTCCCTATAATTACATTTATACTGTAAGGCTATTTTGGGATAGGATTATGGTTTAAGATTCAAGAAATCATTAAAAAAAACAATTATAAGTATAAAAAAAACAACATTAAAATCTTTATAAACTTTGATAATTTTATATTATTTTCTTATCTTAAAACAATAAAATGTGACATTTTTTTTTGTTTTCGGAAAATGGTCTTTGCATTGTCTTTTTATTACTTAATATTATCAGCATATTGTTCAATATGATCAATTGTACAACAGTTTTTATTCCAAGAAGTAAAATAATTTAGCATAGAGAATTTTTTGTTCTTTGTTTAAAAATACTTTACCTCTCTTGTTTTGAATTCTGTGTTTAAGGGTTGTACTAGAATCAGGGCATACAAGATCTCCTATTGATCTTGTTATTTTCTGATAACAGGCAGTCATGTTTCCACACAATAACCCATAAGCCTTTGTTCCGTCTGCAACCTACAGACACACACTCCATTTGATCTTTAAAGTTTAGATGGAAAAAATATTGTTTAGGGGTCATTTCATAAGACAATTCATTGGCAATGAACACATTCTTTTTCATAAATTTCTTTTTTTTATAATACTTTTATTTTCCAATTTAAAACAAATACAGTAACATTCCACGCCGTTTGCGTGGATATTTACAAGATAGTTACATTGGTGTACAGAGTATAGTAAATAAATAGCAAAATATGTAAATGAATACAAAAGATACATTGAATTTAAAGCTTGTCGGTTCAAAAATTGAAAAGATGCTGGTTTGTAACATGTTTGCCAACAAGAGTGGTGGAAGATTAACTCTAAATCAAAGCTGGATTAATGGATTTCCTCTCATTCTGAACCATAAATGAAACTAAAAGCTTTTCTTGGAACATGTACATTAGCATCCAATTAAGTTGATCTTTTACAAGTCTTAAAATATATATTTACAACAACTAATAGTTTTATATTTAGACTAGAAGGAAAAAATTATTCTAAAATACAAAAATTTGAAACATTGAAAAAGAATTATAATCTGTTTTCATATATTTTTATACTGTTAAAAAGCAAATTATGAACCCTGATTTTTTTGTATTTTGTTTTTTATACATATTTCTATTATTTATAACTTTTGGAAAACCTGTTACGATTGTTTCCCTTGATTTATTTGAATTGCTATAATGGGAAGTCACTGACATTTTCAATTACATTCAAAATTCCATGTTAGAACAATGCAATATATTGATGACAAATTGTATGCAGTTTGTTGGCTTGCTTCATAACTTGACCTAACTGCTTTACTTGATTTTGATAGGTTTAGTCACTGACTTAATGACTTGATCTAACTGCTTTACTTGATTTTTGATAGGTTTGGTGGCTGACTTAATGACTTGATCTAGCAGCTTTACTTGATTTTGATAGGTTTGGTGGTTGGTCATTTGAATCAGCAGACGTTGGCAGTGCTACAGCTGTTGACCCCCATGTGTGGTTCACCACAAAAGGATACCACGCCATGCCATCCTACTTCAACTCTCTGAGCAACACAGTCCTGAGGTCACAGCTGCCTGCAGGGGAAGACCCTACAGAATATGGTAGGATCAGTAGTTTTCATGAGCCTTTATTTGTTACTTTCCCTAAGTGTTTATTTGTTACTTTCCCTAAGCGTTTATTTGTTACTTTCCCTAAGCGTTTATTTGTTACTTTCTCTAAATGTTTATTTGTTACTTTCCCTAAGCGTTTATTTGTTACTTTCTCTAAATGTTTATTTGTTACTTTCCCTAAGCGTTTATTTGTTACTTTCCCTAAGAGTTTATTTGTTACTTTCTCTAAGCATTTATTTGTTACTTTCCCTAAGCGTTTATTTGTTACTTTCCCTAAGCGTTTATTTGTTACTTTCCCTAAGCATTTATTTGTTACTTTCCCTAAGTGTTTATTTGTTACTTTCCCTAAACGTTTATTTGTTACTTTCCCTAAGTGTTTATTTTTTACTTTCTCTAAGTGTTTATTTGTTACTTTCCCTGACGTCACAGGAAGAACCATTTTATTCTTACATTAAACCATGAAGCTGCTATCCTTACCTAGGCTGTCTCTTCTCTATAACATTAGTTTCAAGCAAATTTTATGAAGTTTAAAAAATTTAAAAATTCAAATCTTTTATTTTTTTTGTTTTTTATGCAACTATTAAACAGCTTATTGTTATTGTCTTTTGTGCAGTGATTAAAAAATCTGGCCTGTTTATCAAATTATTATTTCCTGAGCAGATGCGTAACATTTTTATTACAGGTATTACAACAATTAACCATCCGATAAGACTTGGGCGTGCACCTTTGTCTGTTAAAAACCTGTAAGATGTATTATTTTCTTATAAGTGATAAACCTACTGAAAATATGTAGTTAAAATTAAACTTTCATATTTAATGACATTAAGATAATTTTTTAGCGCAATTTCCATACTGGCAATTGCGATTATTAATTCGTTATTTCTGGATGGATGTGTGTTCGCAGCTTTAAGTCGTATCTCCTCCTCAACGAAGCAATATTGAGGACTAGTTCCAAAAGCAAATATGTTAAGCAAGTTCCGAGGATGATTGTGGGCCAAAAAAATTCCCGGAATTCCTTCCTGGATTTCCCGGAAAAGCCAAAAAACCTCGAAAAAATGCAGTTTTTGGCCCATATCTCGGCAACCAGACCACTTAGCGACTTGAAACATTTACCAATCGATTCCTGCCATAATTTAGAACAATATTGCCGAAGAAAGTTTTCAAAAATATTTTTTCATTCGATCACAAAAAAATTTTTAAACTTACATTATACATAATACATTACAGTACTATATAGCAATATAGTTATATGACTAAAAACCATTGCGCGCCTACTGAACTTGATTGCGCAGCCATGGAACGTGATGACGCATCTATTGAACGTGATGACGATTTAAAATTAATATGGATAACATAAGGAAATTGCGCTTAAATTGTCACTAGACTTTTTAATTAACTTGTTTTCCTATTACATCAACCATAACATCCAAATTGATATAATTCACAGGGTGGGTGAGGCGTCAGATGCTGGTCTGGCTGTTGTGATTGTTGTTGCCTATAGTTTCATCCCCTGCGGTATCATCCTCTACATCATTAATGAGAAGGTCTTCAAGGAAAGACAACTGCAGAGCATCAGTGGAATTGGAGTTGTTGTTTACTGGACTGTAGCCTTTTTCTGGGACTTGGTATGTTTTAAACATTTTTATTTTTTTAATTCATATAACATTTATTTATGATTAATTCGTATGTCTATATTTTTAATTGCTTTAACTTTCATAAACTAATGACAGTATTTTGCACATATTTGAAGTACAAAAATATATACAAATCAACTTGATGCACATATTAAGAAAAACAAAATAACTGCACACTGAAATCACTGTTGATAAGTGTTTAATACCATATTGTTTTTTTTTAGCCTATTGTTTACATTAGAGATTTACTTACCTCAACAAGTTTGAAATGTCTATTTTGTTTACTTTACTTCCAGGTCTTGTACAGTGTTTCCGCAGCTATTGGCATTGCCGTTGTTGTCATCTTTCAAAAAGATTCCTTTGTTATACGGGACAACTTGGCTGCGTTTTCATCCATCCTGCTGTTATATGGGTAAGTGTCATCTTTCAAAAAGATTCCTTTGTTATACGAGACAACTTGGCTGCGTTTTCATCCATCCTGCTGTTATATGGGTAAGTGTTCATACAAACATCTAGAATAAATTTCATTTAACTGCTTTTTAAATGAAAGAGTTATTAAATTTAAGATTTCATTGTAGTAATTCCCAGTGCAAAGTATATTCATAGTATTATTTATATTTTTAAAAAATAGAATTGAATGAAGTAACTTAAAAAAATTATTATTCAAATAAACTTGTGTTTGATGTTTACATCTTTTTTAATGCTTAAAGTCAGCTTTCAGTCTGATGATACAATTATGAGAGTTTATCATTTTTGTGTTTTAATATCTAAGGTTTTGGTACTTAGTTTTCATTATGGTTTTTTTCTTTAGTACCTTTTTTAGCTGTTTTTTTTTAATGTTTATGGATGCAGTAGGACCATATGCATGCTATTGTCTTAGCTACTCTAAAATTATTTTATATCAGTGAATTTGATATTGTTACAGATGGGCCAACATCCCCAGCCTTTACTGCGTTGGACGGCTGTTTAACAAGGGAAGCACAGCGTATTTGGTGCTGTTCTGTCTCAACTTGTTCCTGGCACTGTGCACCATCATTTCCCTGCTGGTCATGCTGTTGTATAGAGAAGTTGAGGTACATTTTAGTTTTTGTTCTGGTCTTTCTATGATAGATGCACTGTGTACCATCATTTCTCTGACAATGCTGTTGTATAGAGAAGTTGAGGTACATTTTAGTTTTTGTTCTGGTCTTTCTATGATAGATGCACTGTGTACCATCATTTCTCTGACAATGCTGTTGTATAGAGAAGTTGAGGTACATTTTATATTTGCTCTGGTCTTTCTATGATAGATGCACTGTGTTGGGTTCTGGAATCTAGGGTATATATATATGTAGCGACAAACAAAGACAACTAACACTATATAAATATAATAATAACAATAAGATGTTTAATATAAATGTATACAGTAATAAGAATAATAAAAGAGCAAATGGAGTCTACAACATAAAATAACAAGATACGCAACGTCTCCCCGTCCACAGCCACAGCACAACTTCACATCCAGATCTCAACCCCACGTTCCACGTTCCACGTCCACAGCCACACTACAACCAACTGATTCACACACTGGCACACGCTCTGACACCCGTCACCTGACACACCTCACGTGAACACCTCTCGCTCCATGTAAACACACTCAACCAAGGGATACAACTATACACCAAAGGGAGGGTACCTGTCGTTCCAGCACACAACACACACACACACAAGCAGGGGACATGTAAGGGACGTAACATCCCTCCCCTCCACCTTCAGATCTCTTTTTCTTCAAAAGAGATCAAACATATCGTGTTCCATTAGCCACTGTTGGTGCCCTAGCTCGACTACTTATTCTTTAGTCCTTAGAAAGCCTCGTTTTGACCGTGTGGCGTGTATCCAGCCTGGACAGTTTGATCCAGAGTGTGGCTTGTATCCAGCCTGGACAGTTTGATCCAGAGTGTGGCGTGTATCCAGCCTGGACAGTTTGATCCAGAGTGTGGCGTGTATCCAGCTTGAACAATTCGGTCCTGAGAGTGGACTATGGTTTTTCTCCGGCCGGGCACCAAGCTCGTGGTCTGACTATCTCAACCTATAATGATACATGTGAGAAGCCACAATAAAAAAAATTAATCAGCATAATCATTCTATACTGCATCAGTAATACCTTTCTCAAACATTTCTCAATATAATCACATTATAATGCCCCAATAGTAAATTCCTTAACATAATCATACTATCTCCAACAATGATAAATTTCTCAATATCATATACACTAGTTGTCGTAAAACACTCTTGATAGATTGTTTGCTACAAAGTTCTCAGTTCCCTTGATATGTTTCACAGTACAGGCTAATTCATGTAGTGCAAGGGTCCATCGGCAGATGCGTACGTCGCCATAGATGGTCATCTTTCCTTAAAGGCGATCAAACTGAGTTCCCTTCTCGATAGCCGTTTTAACTACATCAATCATCTCCAGCCCATAATCATCATACACAGCTTCTGTACAAAAAAACAAAGAAAAATTAACATTGATTGAATAAATTATCTTAACAAAAACTTACCAAGGACACTACCTTTGTAAGGATACGCCTCCAAATTTCGTGTTTTGCCTCACTCTCATATGAGAGTTTTTAAGCAGGGAAAAATTTCCTAACATATCACGCTGAGCTGTGGGACACACCCGTGATATGTGACCAACACCACCGCAGCAATAACACTTGAGATCATCTGACCGTCGATGTACATTTGCAGTCGGCCAGTTGCTCGCTCTACTGGTCGCGTTGGGACAGTTTCGTTGTATGTGGCCTGGCTTTCTACACCTATAACAGGCGCCTGTATCTATATCCATACTGCACTCTTTGGCAATGTGACCTTGTTCATTGCATTTGTAGCACCGATAAGGTCTTTTGTTGTTTCCATACTCCACAACAGCTCTTTTATCTGACCTTTTTCTCCAAGGAAAACCGCTACTACTATCGCTATGACAATCCCTGGCATAGTGTCCATAACGTCCACATGTGAAACATTTACTGCTCAGGCTGACCTTCCCAACACCATGCATAGGCTGTACACCAGCTAGTCATGCCTGCCGTTTACCTGTTTCGTTCCTGTCCCGTCTAGAGGTGGGACAGACTCCTGCTATATGATTAACTCCCCCGCATGAGTAGCACTCAATTTCTTCCGTGGAAGGGCAAGTGTGGCGTCCTGGAGATCGCGGTGTCTTGTTTTGCCAGGGTATCCTCTCTGCTGTAGAACTTGCAGCGACGTACGGAGGGGTTTGGTGTACTGGCCTCGTCACTCTAGCGTTTTGAGTGCTCTTATAGTTGTCAATAACTTTGAGATTATCTTCCACACTTACCTTAGCAGCACCATTCAGCCTCTCCAACAGATCACACGTGACAACCGATTTTATACGATCAACTATCAGGAGGTTCACCAAGTCCTCAAACGTTTCTTTTGTCTCCGACTGCCGGACCCACGCTCTCAAAGCGGCTTCTGTGTTGACTGCGAAGCTTCTCATGTCGTCGTGTGTTGGTACCAGCTGGTGGAATCTGACCCTATACTTTTCCTCGTTGAAACCTGCGTGCGTGAATAACTTTACCTTTACTGACTCGAAGTCATGATGCAGGTTCAGTCCCGTCTCAACGAGGAAAGTCTTCAGTTGTCCACTCATCTTGTCCGTCAGAAGGAGCGACCAGTCCTTGGGGTCAATGCCTTGTCTCTTTGCCTGACTCTCAAAATGCCTCACATACGCACCCAGGTCTTCGTCCACCGTCATCGCCGCCACATCCCTCAAGCGGGGTACAGGGTTACATACCTTTGCTACAACCTCGACCTTCGCATCTTCCACTCTCCTCAACTCTTCTTTTACCCACTCCGCTAAACTGTCATCGGTCAGCCCGATGAGCTTTCCCTCCTCCTTCAAGTCACTTATTAGCTGTCTTCTGGCACTCCTGGTAGTCGCCATACTAAGCGGACGAGCCCCCAAATGTTGGGTTCTGGAATCTAGGGTATATATATATGTAGCGACAAACAAAGACAACTAACACTATATAAATATAATAATAACAATAAGATGTTTAATATAAATGTATACAGTAATAAGAATAATAAAAGAGCAAATGGAGTCTACAACATAAAATAACAAGATACGCAACGTCTCCCCGTCCACAGCCACAGCACAACTTCACATCCAGATCTCAACCCCACGTTCCACGTTCCACGTCCACAGCCACACTACAACCAACTGATTCACACACTGGCACACGCTCTGACACCCGTCACCTGACACACCTCACGTGAACACCTCTCGCTCCATGTAAACACACTCAACCAAGGGATACAACTATACACCAAAGGGAGGGTACCTGTCGTTCCAGCACACAACACACACACACACAAGCAGGGGACATGTAAGGGACGTAACACACTGTGCACCATCATTTCTCTGACAATGCTGTTGTATAGAGATGTTGAGGTACATTTTATTTTTGCTCTGGTCTTTCCATGATAGAGGTGCACAGCGCACAATCATTTCTCTGACAATGCTGTTGTATAGAGAAGTTGAGGTACATTTTATTTTTGCTCTGGTCTTTCCATGATAGAGGTGCACAGCGCACAATCATTTCTCTGACAATGCTGTTGTATAGAGAAGTTGAGGTACATTTTATTTTTGCTCTGGTCTTTCTATGATAGATGCACTGTTCACCATCATTTCCCTGCTGGTCATGCTGTTGTATAGAGAAGTTGAGGTACATTTTATTTTTGCTCTGGTCTTTCCATGATAGAGGTGGACAGCGCACCATCATTTCTCTGACAATGCTGTTGTATAGAGAAGTTGAGGTACATTTTATTTTTGCTCTGGTCTTTCTATGATAGATGCACTGCGCACCATCATTTCTCTGACAATGCTGTTGTATAGAGAAGTTGAGGTACATTTTATATTTGCTCTGGTCTTTCTATGATAGATGCACTGCGCACCATCATTTCTCTGACAATGCTGTTGTATAGAGAAGTTGAGGTACATTTTATTTTTGCTCTGGTCTTTCTATGATAGATGCACTGCGCACCATCATTTCTCTGACAATGCTGTTGTATAGAGAAGTTGAGGTACATTTTATTTTTGTTCTGGTCTTTCTATGATAGAGATGCACTGCGCACCATCATTTCTCAGACAATGCTGTTGTATAGAGAAGTTGAGGTACATTTTATTTTTGCTCTGGTCTTTCTATGATAGATGCACTGTGCACCATCATTTCCCTGCTGGTCATGTTGTTGTATAGAGAAGTTGAGGTACATTTTATATTTGCTATGGTCTTTCTATGATAGATGCACTGTGCACCATCATTTCTCTGACAATGCTGTTGTATAGAGATGTTGAGGTACATTTTATTTTTGCTCTGGACTTTCCATGATAGAGGTGCACAGCGCACCATCGTTTCTCTGACAATGCTGTTGTATAGAGATCTTGAGGTGAATTTTATTTTTAATCTGACATTCCAAACCATGGATGTCAGGCAAAGAAGAAAACACTATTTCTGTTTTTGCTGCAACGATAAAAATACTTTTTCTGTGGTTGCTGTCAAGGCAATGTCTTTGATCTCCTAAACATGGACCCAACCCTAAAGGCAATACTGACATAATAAAAAATGTGATACTTTATCTGCTGCAGCAGCATTGTATCTGACAAATTCCTGAAAATTTACCCATTTCTTATTTTTTTAATGAAACGCTACTTTTTCATTATAAGAAAAAAAACAGAATAATTTACTTCAGTACCAATTCCTAACTACAATTTTTAAAAATCTATCGTTTATAAGAATGTAACAAATATTTGTTTAAGTTATACCTTTGTGCAACTTTAATATGTACATGTCTCTGGAAGTTAACTAACCAATTTCTGTTTTTTTAGTTTGCCAATTACCTGCTTTTTTTTCATTATTTTGACTTAATGCATTGAATGTTTTTTTATTTGACAGGTTGTTGTGCAGATCTACAATGTTTGCAAACACCTGTACCTGATATTCCCACAGTATGCTTTAGGCCAAGGCCTCATGGATTTGGCCTCCAATACAGTAATCTATAAGTTATTCATGAGGTAAAAATAAATTTACTTAAGGGTCATATATTTACAATTTTCACCTCCCCCCTCTCCACCATCACATATTGTCACAAAAAGCCAGACCCCCCACCCAATAAAAATGGCATCACACCTCAGGCTTCAAGCCTCCTCGAGATAGTATTTTTTATTTTTTTTAGAAATTTTTTTTTTAATGAAATATTGGCTGAGCTTGGTTAACACAGAGTAGTCATTATTCCTCAATTTCTAATACAATATTTACAACAACCTGAAATAACTACTAAAACTTAGCTTCTAACTTTCCCTCTCCCCCACCCCCTTACATGAAAGTTGGATGGCATTGCCTTGCGGTAGAGCGCTAAACTGCTAATCTAGGTTCTCTGTTTGTGGCTTGCATCCAAAACTTTCAAACAAAAAATTCATTGTATCTTCTAAATTTAATCTTAATAAGCAGAATTACTTTCTTTACTAACATCAAACACTGTGTAAATGGGAGATAACACATCTAACAAGTACAAACACTGTGCAAATGGGAGATAACACTTCTTGATGTTTCAGGTTCGGAGATGACAGGTACAAAAACCCATTTTCCTTTGATGTCATAGGATGGAAACTGGTTGCTCTAGGGATTGAGGGGTTGTTCTTCTTCATTCTGACTTTACTCTTAGATGGACTCAGCTGGCCAGCTCTAAGGTTAGTGGAACATCTTTTACTGGACATTCTCCTTACTGGTCATTATGGTTTACTGAACATCACTATCTTTTACTTGACATCAGTTACCTTTTAGGGACATAAGTCTTGCTGGACCTTTTCTCTTTTAACATTAGCACATGCTGGTAATTAATGTTACTTTTCATTATCTCATTTAATAATACTTGCATTAAATATACTTTCAAGATTGAAATTATTTTTAAAATGAGGCTTAATAATATTTATTTGTAATGACTGAGATTTAACTCCCATTCAAAACACAGTGAAGAAATATCATTGAGTCCCATTGAATCTCAATTTGGCAAATCTAATATGTTGTAGGCCTAATATAATAAGAATTTCTTATAAAAGATCCTCATGATTAAGAAATAATGATTTGAATAACTCTACTAACTAGTTAATCTTTAATTTGTCACACAACATTGTATGTAATAATATATAAAATGTGTATTATTATGTACAAATGTATGTATGTTCTGTTTTTTTTTAAACAGAGTACCTGGCAACAGAAGAAAAGCAGACTATGATTATGAAGATGAAGATGTGGCCAGGGAGAGAGACAGAATTCTCCATGGATCTAACAATGACATGTTAATTGTTGATAACCTATCCAAGGTGATCTCCCTTTACAAAATTTAAACTACTATATTCAATCACAAGTATTTTATTTACTTGGGAATAGTAGGGAGGGGAAGGGGGAATCTCTCTTATAAGATAAATGATGTTTGCCTAATTTTAAACTATAATGTTATAGTATCATACTAATACATATCTACTGAGCATTTGTGTGATATTGTTTCATTATATAACTAAAAATCCAAGTTTTTAATAAATATTTTGATTTCTGACAGGTCTACAGAAGGAACTGGAGAAAGTTTTTGGCTGTCAATCACATCAGTTTTGGTGTCCCTGAAGGAGAGGTAATATATTCAAAGTTTGCATGATAGATGGTAACATGTATACAGTTATACAGATCTGAACTTCAGGAAACATTCTGGTTCTATTATAATTAAAACTATTTTCAGTGTTTTGGCCTACTGGGTGTTAATGGAGCTGGCAAAACAACAACCTTCAGGATGTTGACAGGAGATAACAAGGCTTCTGGTGGTAGTGTGATGTTGAAAGGGGAAAGGTCAGATTTAAAACATTAATTTATTTTTAATTATATTTTAAATAATATATAAATGCAGAAAAATAAACTATATGTTTATTTGATTTAAGATTAATTTTGCATTCTTATTTACATTAGGCCTAATTACAGCTCTATATAATATATTTATTAGTATTTGTGGTATTTAGATATTTTAAATTAGAACATTATCTGTTTATCAGATTATATCTGTTTATTTAAGATTAATTTTGCATTCTTATTTACATTAGACATAATTATAGCATGGGATGAGTTGTTATTACATTCTATTAATGTTATTTAGATATTTTAAATTAGAACATGGTCATTATTTGGATGTATTCTGTCTGCCCAGGATGACCTCCAATCAACACTTTGGTCAGAATGTAGGCTACTGCCCACAGGAAGGTGGACTCGATGAGTACCTGACAGCAGAAGAGATGTTGTATTTTCATGCCAGGCTTAGGGGATTTAAAACAGAGCAAAGGAAAATTGTGAGTTACTACTAAAGCTTATGGTGATAGGTAGTAAGTTTTAGGTTCCTACAGCCAAGACATAGAAAAAACAAACAATAATTATAGCTCTAAATGTAATTGATTACATTTCTGTTAGGGTTGGGGAGGGTGGAATTAGTTCTGGTTGGATTTTACTTTCAAAATTACAGCATAATTACTTTATAAGTGACATTTATAAAACATTTTTGGACAATTTTTTTTTAAAATAATATATTAATGAAGTAAACATACCAACAGTTTGTAGCTGATTAGTATTTGCTACAGTCAATGTTAATGCTACTTCATGCAAGATAGAATTGTTAAAATAACATTTTTTCTCCTAAACTATGCTGAAATTGTGTTGCTAACATAAAATAGCCCTGCAGCCATACAAAGAAAAAACTTGTTTATTTCAGCTGGTCAATGACCTTCTGACCAAGCTGTGTCTGACGCAGTACGCACATAAAGCTATCCACACGTACAGCGGAGGGACAAAGAGGAAACTTGCCCTGGCCGTGGCACTGCTGGGGAACCCACCCATTGTCTATCTGGTTGGTAGCATAAGGCTGTTAGTGTAGACATTCAGGCTTGGTCGAGTCGGTAAAGCTCATGGTTGCTAAACCGAAAAGTCTCGATTTCGAACCCTCGGGCAGATGAGGCTCATTAGCTGGGGACAGCCACTCTTCTAGGAGGGACAACTCCAAAATCAAACAAATGCTGCCTTGTAGTTTGTTCTTGGTTGGACAAAGGCTATGGAAGCAAATCCAAAAAGAAAAGCAGGCTGCAATCGGAGTCAATGGCCTCAATGGCGCATCACCAGTTGACACGTAATCCTTAATTGTGATAGAAGCATGGTCAAGTTGGCTAAGCTCATGGTTGATAAATTTGAAAAAAGTGTCGAGTTCAAACCCTCTGGCAATTTAAGAACGAAGAAGAAGAAGAAGGCTTAGTGTAGCTAGTCTAGACACTGGAGCTTGGCTTGTGGTTTGTGTATTGTTATTTAGATATTATCAATATGATATGGGCAGTAAGGGGACAATGTTCATGTGACTAAGCACACAATTACTTAACCCAGTGTCTAAAGTTTACTTCTTGGATTAGTATGGAAAAGATGCCCCATGAGTCCACTCAGCTCTGACTGTACCTGACTCAAATCAAGGAAAATAAAACCACCAGAGTATAGTGCTGAACACATTGTTCTAATGTTAAAATGACTATCTGGTCTGAGAGGGTACTTTTTATGGTCAATTAGATTAACATTTAGAGGAAGAAGGTGGGGAGATACAAACAACATATCAAACTGTTGATTAATATAGCGACTACCAATTTATAGCTAGGTGATTAGTTAGTTATAAACATTTTATTTCAGCATTTACTTTTAGCTCTTCTTTTCTTTTTACAAGCTTTATTATTATTTCATATTTAACTGAGTATCCAATTAGTGTTTTAAGCAACTAAACAGCTGACCTTTACTTGCAGGATGAACCAACAACTGGAATGGATGTTGGCACCAGAAGACAAGCCTGGAGGTGTATAGCTCAGGCCAACAGGAATGGTCAGTCTGTGGTGCTGACATCCCACAGGTCAGTCTGTCTTATATATTTGTCAGCTTTAATGAAATTTTGTAAGATATTTATTTATTGATTCATTTCTTTTAAATGGCAAATGTTAATTATATAATGAAATTATTGTAAATATAAATTAAAATTATGAAACATGGTTTTTTTTATCAGCATGGATGAATGTGACGCCCTGTGTTCTACCATAGCCATCATGGTTAATGGAGTTATCAAATGTATTGGAAGTCCACAACATCTCAAACACAAGTAAGTTTTTTTAATTACCTAAAAATTATGCTTCTATTGCGTCAAATGAAATTCAGACAAATTTTAGTATTGCTCCTAAATTACATTGAGCACAGAAAACTCATGTCAACAAACAAAAGTGCTTTCCTCAATCTATAATAGAGTTATTGAAGGTGTTGGGCTTAAAAATCTTACAATTGAAGGTGTTGGGCTTAAAAATCTTACAATTGAAGGTGTTGGGCTTAAAAATCTTACAATTGAAGGTGTTGGGCTTAAAAATCTTACAATTGAAGGTGTTGGGCTTAAAAATCTTACAATTGAAGGTGTTGGGCTTAAAAATCTTACAATATTTTGACTGCCTCATCACAAATGTATTGTCTTGATTTTACTTATTTTAGGATATTAAAAACATTAAAATGTGCTCTTGCTATTTAACAAGTGAAACTTAAATTTACATCAGCAAAATTACTCACTCCACTCTATCTGAACCATAGAAGGATAACATTAATTTTAAAACCTGGAGATTTCTCTTGTCAAGAAAGAAAGCAGCTTTTGAAATGTAATGACTGGTCTTGTTTACACAGGTATGGAGATGGTTACACAGTCATCATTCACACTGGTGAAGATCAACTGCATACAGTGACACAGAACTTCTTGTTCAAATTTCCTGGTTCAGTCATAAAGGTAAGCTGCTATTTACACAATTTTAGTGGTCTTATCATTTTTTAAATAAGATAATTACAAAGGTAATAGTTGTTGTTTTTTTTTTTAAAATTAAATGGTATTATTCTAACAACTCTATTTCAACCAATATATTATTTTCATGATTATCAATTATTTAAACAAGATATTTAACACATAAATATTTATTTCTTGAAAAGAGTTATTTCCAGAAGTATTAATAATTTAAGCTAGAAATTATGCAAACAATTATTAGTTATTTAGATAAGGTTTTGTAAATACAACTATTGACAGTTGAAGTAATGTTCAATTTATTAAATTATTACTTTTTAAAAAATAAAAGTAGGCCTTTATTATTGGCAAATTTTAAAAGTGAATATATGGTAGTAATTTTTTTTTGAAAGTTAAGTATTGGCTAAAACTGTTAGGATGTATAAATTTTTATTCAGTTTTGTAGGTTAGTTGATGATTTATGTTCACACTAGCAATTTATAAATGATTACTCCAAAAATAATATTTACATCCACATCCATCCTTTTGTTAACAGGTTTCCTATTAGTTATTGAATTGTTTTCTATTGGCTGTTGTAACTATTATTTCTATTGGCTATTGTAACTGTGTTTTGTATTGGCTGTTGTAACTATTATTTCTATTGGGTTTTGTAACTGTGTTTTTTATTGGTTGTTGTAACTGTGTTTTCTATTGGCTGTTTTGACTGTTCTATTGCTTGTCTCCCCAGGCTATCCACCACAGCAGTGTTGAGCTGAGAGTCCCCCAGCCCATGTGTGTTGTGGCTGACATCCTAGGCTACCTGCAGCATGCCAGGGATGATAAAGCCATCGAGTACTACTCACTCTCTCAGACTACTTTAGACTCAGTATGTTTTTGGCTTAGTTTCTATTTTGTTCAGGCTAGAATTTTGTGCCGATCTTTTATTGTAATGTGATAGTCTTCTAGTATATTTCAGTATAAGAAATAAAAATGAATAAAATCACCACTATCCCTTGAACAATTCATTCCATTAAAATGCTTGCAGATATTGTTTCAAAACTGTATATAAGTAGATTTTCAGTATTATAATTATTATTAAAGTATTATAATTATATTATAGTAAAAAAATCTGAATCTATAGACTAGTTTACTGGATAAACTTAACATTTTTGCCACTGTTTAAACTTCAAATGGTTTTTTTTAAAATATTTTAAGGAATATTCTGATCACTAAAACCAATTATTAATTCCATTATCTTTCTTCAGCAAATCATCTATTTTAACCCTTTGGTGTCTGTCTTCTGTTTAGGTATTCATCAGCTTTGCACAAGAGCAGACAGACAATTACGTACTTGATTCATCATTAAGTGAAGACTCTAGCTCAGAAGACAGCCTATCCAAGGACCCAACACAACAGGAATTTGTGAACTCAGCATTCACTGATGACAACCAAGCTGTTCCCAATTTTTATGCCACCAATTTGCAGCTAGCTGGTGATCCAGAGGTTTATGTTTCAAAGTTGTGAGTCTGCTATAGTTAAACAAGTCAAACTTGTTAAAAGACTAAATGAAAGAACAACTTCGTAAGAGAAAGGAACTCCATGAAGTGAAGATTTCCAAAATGTGCCTCATGATGTATGGAATGGAATTTTTTCAAGTATCTGAAAAACTGTGTTCATCAAAACTACTACATTAAATAACATACTTAATTTTTATTTCCTTATGACTAGAAACTTTTGAAACCTTAGTGTAATTTCCTTAATATTATTTTTGGAGTTTAATTTCCAGTTTTTTTATTGTCAATGCAAGTTCATCAGATGTATATCATATTTTTCCAGAATTTAATGAATTTTTAATGTGTTTTAAATAGTTTTTGATAAATAATTTTGCTTTGTTTTTTTTTAATGTCAATAAGGAAATCTATGCAACAATCAATACCAAATATTTACATATATTGGTTTTACTTATTGTGATACAATCATGTTTCTGTTGACTTTATGATTTTATTTTTATTTTTTATTTAACTTTTACAATGTTTCATAGATTTCTATAATTTAAACATTTGTCATTTAATCTGCATATAAAATTGAATGCAATTTAATCAAAATCTAGCAGTTTCTTTACTATGCAAAGCTTTTGTATTAAATTAATTATTATCAAATACAAGTCACAGAAGCAATATTTTAAAAATATTTCTGCTTAAGTTTTTTACTGTATGTTTTAAAAAGTCAGCAAAAATTATTTTTTTACCTCTCTGAAAGATTTCATTCAACAATGTCACAAAATAAATAAAATTATTGAACTAATTTTAAAAATAAAAGAAGAAAAGTTTCAGCCCAAGTTAACATTTGTTTAATAATTCAAAACATACCATAAACAGATTGCTTAGAAAATAATTTAATTTATAATAGCTATAGTATGCGATTTCAATGCAACATAAATTTAAAAATAATTTTTAAAGTTTTATTATCAGTTGATTTGTAGCATTCCAATGTTTATATTTATCTTGCATGAAAAATGTTATCTTTAAACAAACACTGATCTATTGCACACATGTTATGTAATTAATTTATACAATTTAAGTAATAAAAGTTTATTGAGCATTAATTTTATTCTGTTTTTTGTTTATTCCTTAGCCAGAATTATTTCTAAAAGCTATTTTATAGATACTTTAATAAAATTTTTAACAATAAAAATAAATTATATGAGACTATTATCTGCGATACAAATGCCAGTCTTGAACAATGAGATGATAAATAGAAAGGATTATAAATAAATGAAAACAGATTTAAATTATACATTATTACAAATAATAGCCCCTGTGATAGTATATCACATAAGCAGTAATTTTTTTTAAACTTGGATGAGGATTGAACCTGACTAAACAATGACAAAAATGCACAGAGAAATGCTTAGATTCTGAGCAAACAACTAACATCATATTATTTTAAAAAGAGTTTATAAAATACATTCAGCTTTTAAGATGTAGTATCTGTAGTGATTAGTTGCTAATGATTTCTTTTAAGTATAAAGGTTTTTTCGTAAGTTTTTAGTGGTAGTTGTCTAAACAGGACTTTTATTCCATAACATATGCCCACAGACTTGTTTCATTTTGCTTTATTTTCTGCTAAAGGAATGTTCTTAAATTATTGACAGAAAGAGAAGTATAGAAATAATTTATTGCATATAGCGATGTTTGCATTACACAATTTAGTGTACATATTCATCACTTCATAAAGATGTTTCATTTCTAAGAACTTTAGTACAAAAACATTTCAACTTAAGCCTACATCATATATTTAAAAAAAATTTAACACCAATGCATACAAAATACTGTCCAACAATTTTTTTTTAAGGGAACTATTCATACAATCTCTTTGTATAAACTGTTCCCATTAAAAGTGACCTTAACATCAATTTATTTAACCATTAATAACTAATTAGTAGCAGGACATTGGTGAATTATGGGTTATAAAAGGTTAACAAACAACATAATTTTAACCTCATGGTATAATATTATTTAATACTGTGGTGTGTAAAAAAACAACATGAAATATAAGTTACCCTGATTAAACAAATCAAGAAAATGCCATAATTTTAATAGGCTGCTACCAAACCATCAGCCCTGGGGTCTGAACCAGCCCAATACAGGCTAGAGGTCAGCTTCTCTAGACCATCCTGCCACCAGGGGCCTCTGGAGATTATTTGACCACGGCCAAACACTGCCCTGCTAAGACCGGCCACGGTTATGGGGTTGTGTCCAAGAGAAGATAACTTGGAAAATACATCTTGGGTTATCCCTTCTTCCAGTTGTACCCCATTGAATAGATCTGATGTTTTATAAACAGAGCTGAAAAAAATGTTGGTGTGATTTGTTGTGGTGAAAGATGTGGAACACAAAGATGGTTTTATCATGGACAAACTATTCTCATACAAACTTGCACTTGCTTAAGAGAAGACTGACTGATTAGTGACTGACAAAATAGGGTGATGAAACAGAGTAGTGTCCCTTGCCTCACCCAGTTGTCTGAATGATAGTGTTTTAATATTGTTTGTATCAATTATATTTAAGTTGGAATAGTGAAAACCTTAGAAATTATTTAGATTATTTTTATTCATGTCAATTGACACTTAAATTCATAGAGCCTATTAAAAAAAAATCCATCTACCTGAATATTCTACTAAAATAGTGTGAACATTCTACAGTACATTTTGGAAGTAGTAAGAAAAGGATAACTCTGCTAGCTACTCTTCAAAAAGAAATAACTGATGAACCATTCAAATATTTGGTAACATGACAATAAAATATTGGTTTTGTTACGTACAGTACTCTTTCATTTGACACAATAATATCTTGTTGTTTGATCATTTTTTTCCTTAAACAAAAGTCATAGAATACTTAGACAACCTTTGAGTAAAAGTCTATCCAGAGAGGGTAATAGTCAACTCAATCTAAAAGCCTGTTTGGTGAATTTAACAACCAATGTGAAGTGTCAGTGAGAAAAAGCCTACTCACGCAGTTCCATGCCCAAGACAAAATCTGGGCAGATCAAGAGCAGTCTGAGGATTGCAGCCAAACTCCAGCATGTTGAGAAGAACCTGCACATGGCCCTGTGGCTGCATGAAGCCTCCCATGACACCAAAACTCATCAAGAGATCATCTGATCACATGAGGGGGGGGGGGGGGGGGGTAATACCAGGGCAAGAAATTTATTTATTAAAACTGTATCACAAATACAACTAAGAAGTATTAATGAAGTGAGCTACATAACTAACTATGGAAAGATCAAAAAGCATTTTAAATTTTTGTAAAATATCTTTGTACTAAATTATTGCAACATATTTTTCATTCAAAGAATTTTCATCTGTCATCAAACAAATAATTTCTTAAATCTTTTATTTCTAAAAATAAAAATTTACTCTTCATGTAAGACTTCTTTTCTTTTAATATTACTTTCATTAAAACTGAACTGTTAAAGAAAATATTTTTTATATAAATGTATGTTAAGGAACAGATCTATTCACATACATTTTATATTATATTATAGAACTGATAGTGGAGAAAATGAAAAAAATTGTCCTGTACAATGTTATTTACAATCTAAATTTTGTTAGTTGATTTCCATATTGTTACCAGTATGTAATATGAAATTTGACAAATCACTAAAAACCAAGGGGGTCGGCGTGGTCGAGTCGGTAAAGCTCATGGTTGCTAAACCGAAAAGTCTCGAGTTCGAACCCTCGGGCAGATGAGGCTTGTTAGCTGGGGACAGCCACTCTTCTAGGAGAGACAACTCCAAAATTAAAAACAACTGCTGCCTTGTAGATTGTTCTTGGTTGGACAAAGGCTATGGAAGCAAATCCAAAAAAGATAAGCAGGCTGAAATCGGAGTCAATGGCCTCAATGGCGCATAACCAGTTGACACGTAACGCTTAATTGTGTTGGAGGCGTGGTCGAGTCGGCAAAAAGTTCATGGTTGATAAATTCGATTAGTCTCGAGTTCAAACCCACTAGCAGATAAATCTCGATCCCCTTCAACACTAATAATTAAGAACGAAGAAGAAGAAGAAGAAGAACTAAAAACCAATCATACACTAAAAACCAATTAAAAACATGTTTTTACTTGTTTCTGCTGATGTAACCATCGATGGAATGATGGTGTGGTAAGGTCTTTTACTTGGAGCTATCACATTCCTGTGGTTAGGGTCTAATGAAAATCCAAAGCCCCTGTTCTAAAATAAAATAAAAATCATACCAACCTGGTAAAAAACTATGATAAGCTCCTAATTGCTAAGCAGAATCTAGTGCTAAAAATCTAACACAAAAAAAAAGAAATTTAAAGGTAAATGAAAGCACTGCTGACCACACCATCCCTTTATACACTGAGTGAAGGGTTAGTAATACAGACAAACTCTACTTCATTTGTCCTATATTGTCCATCTGATCTAAAAATGTTATTTTACTTTTTTAGTGTCAATAGACCTTCCAATTATATGAGACTAATGGAAAAAAAAATTAGTCGCTATCACAATGTACATTTAAATACCTGATCTCACAAATTTTATTTCCCACCTGTAGAGTAAAGCCACAACCTTCTGGCACTAGACCTGTACCAAAGCCAATGTAGTTACTGTTGATGAATGAGCAGGCGTTTCCCTGGCTGTCAGCAGTAGTAAAATAGACTGTGTCACTCCCCACTGGTTGATCCAGGCCACTTTTTTCCAAAAATGAAGGGGGAATCACTCTGTTAGAATGTTAGTAAACAGTTATTGCTAATTTAATTTTTTTTTAAATTATTTTAATTACTCATATTTAATAAATTAACAGATCATGTAGTTTCAGGTAAATTTGTTCAGTTTTTTTTTTACTTATCAATCTGAATAAGGTTTCTTCTTTTGGCTGCATATTCCTTGCACAAAAGATTTTCTAAGGGAATGTCAACTTGACTTGGATCAGTGCAGTATTGAAGTGTATCGGCAAAAGCTAGTCGAAAACTCTCAATCAGATGGTGGAGATATTCTGCAGAGTTATGTCCCATTGCTGCCAAATAAATGTAAATATTGTTAGAAAATTAACTTTATTTTGTTAAGAAGCAAACCATTCACATTATAATATTTATAATATTTTGTTCAGTTTTTTCTATTGTATAATGGCTTGATAGTTTAGCTGTTGCCATGTACAAAATCAAAATCAGTAATAAGCAAACCTATCACTTTAAAATATTCTTAATATTTTGTTCTTTTTTTTATATTTTTGTATGATGGTTTGTAAGCTTTAGCAGTTGCTATATACAAAATCAAAATCAGTAAATGAAACATGGAAAACTACATAGGAGAAACGATTGTTCTAAGTATGATAATGTATGAACTGGATATTTGTCTATGTAGGAAGGGAATTCTAGAATCCACTCAGATGGGTACTTTATTCACAGATGAGGACATGTAATGTCAGGTTTCCTACTGAGAACACAACCCCATCATTTACATAACCACAGAAACAAACTTGTTCTGTTTTGTTGTCATCTTTTTAACCAACACTTTATTGAAACTTTTATAAAAAACTTTTAATTATTTATAATTATTTATAAAATATTACTCACACTTTAAATCAAAGTCCTCTAAAATGTTTAACGCAATGAGAGCAGCTATTCCCTGGCCATTAGGCGGAAGCTGCCAGACTCGACAACCTTTGTACACTGTGCTGACTGGTTCCACCATGGTGCTTTCATGAACTGCCATGTCATCCACAGTGATCATGCCGCCATGTTCACCTACAACATCTGCAACAGCTTTAGCAATCCTGCCCTCATAGAAACCTTTCTTGCCATGTCTACCCAATTCCTGAATAGATAATTCATGTTTTTAAATAATTTCAGCAGTTTCATAAAGCAAGATATATTAATAGCTGGAAATGTGTTAAAGTATTGAAAGAATGTTTTCAGGGTACTAAACAAAACATGAGACACTATGAATTTTTTAAATCACTAAATGTTTCAAAATAGGCAGCAGTAGCATATGTTGTACCATCAAAACATGTACCTTAAATGTATTAGCAAGATATTGATTGGTCATCAAGGCACCATGTTTTGGAGCTTCTCCATTTAAAAGCATATCACTGCCGTGAACATTTTCTTTTCTCTTCAAAACACGGGCTCCTTATTAAATAAAGACAATTTTTTTTTAAATTACTCAAATTATAAAAAACTAAATACAGCACTTATACGAAGTTATAAAAATAATTATTATTAAAACAAACTACACTATGAAAGTTAGTATACTATTTATGATATGCCTTAAATCCTATTAGTTAGTAGGACAGGTGGGTTAGTCTCTGTATGTGAAAATTGTATAGTTTAAACTCCAAAATCAAACATCTGCTACCTTGCAGATTGTTCTTGAAAGGACAAAGCCAAATGGAAAAGCAGGCTGAAGTAGGAGTCATTGGGACATTTAGGGCACACAAAATGTTGACAATCAATTATGTTGGAGGAAATCTGCTCCAATATTACTATTAAGAAGTAAGATAGTTAAATTTAAAATCTTGTTTTATAAGTACATTCTATTCACACCTATCTGTCTGCTTTGGGCAAGTTAAAACACAACCAACTACTTGATGAAGATGATGAGTGTCAAAGGGAGATACTAAGGCCCATAACTACATTGGATGGCGTCCCCTGATGTGAGAGCAAATTAACTAAACTTGTATAATTACCTGATGCCCAGAACTTGGATGCTAGTTCTTGGACAGGAAACCCACTTTCAGCCATTTCAATGGCAGGACTCAAAATATAAAGTAATGACAGCTGTTTGGATCAAAAATAAACATTTTAAAAAAATATTTAAAACATTTTACTAAAAGTTTTGAAGCATTTAGTTAACTTTCTCTACACACTAACAGCATCATAATTTTATTTTCTTAAATTTATTGAAGACCTTTTGACTTCCAAATTCAGACACAGTGTCAACCCATGCACTGGCTGCTCCTGGTACTGTAACAGAGAGGCCATCTAAAGGGGAATAATGGTGATCTTTATTGTAGCCAGCAGCATTTAATGCCTCAAGAGTTGCCCGACTTGAAGATCTGCCACTGTTAAGTTGCAAAATATAATAGATTTTAGTTGACACTGCTGTGATTTAGAAAAAAAAACATTTGCAGATGAATGCAATGCTAAAATAATAAACAGACACTTTAAAATACAATGTGTGACAACTTGCAAAATGAATGTTAAAAATGTTGACTTTAACTACCTAAGGAAAATGTTTAATGTGGGTTTTTTTTTTTCAGATATTTTGTCTGGGTTGGATGCTCTTCAAACTTTTCTTTTTGGCGGATAAAGTATAGGTTATATTTTCAAAAGAAGTTATACTTTTTATAATTCATCTGAGAGGGATAGTGGGCAAGCTCCAGGGTGGATAGAGAGAGGGCACTGACCAGATAGATATAGTTTAGGGGTTAAGTTAGATAGCTGCCCTCCTGGGACATAGGCTGCTGACAAGAGCTAGATATAATGTTAAAACATGAAGATAACAATCATATCCATCATTAAGGAAACAATGCTATAGCCACTAAGTAAGATAAGAACATGGTAAACACTCTACTGTCAAAAGTACAATTAAACATTTTTGAAATTTTTGTCTAGTTTCTTATCTTTATTACCAAACATAGTTAAACCATTCTAACTAGTTTCCTGCCATAGAGACCTTTTTAAAAATGCTTGTCTAGTTTCATATCTTTATCAACACACCAAACATAGTTGTACAAAATTTTTACTAGTTACCTTCCATTCAAACCTTTTATAGTTTTGGTAGAGCTGTCATAAAACATACAAAAGGCATCCCCACCAATCCCAGTTGACATTGGTTCAGTGACATTTAAAACTGCTGCAACTGCCACTGCTGCATCTGCTGCATTTCCTCCAGCCTTCAGAATATCTGAAAATTTCATTCATATCAATATCACATTGTTAAGTTCTTCTCCAGTGGGGTCACTAGGTCAGGTGACAGCTGGTGCGGTGATTCAGGGTGTCAAACTACTCATCCAATGACAACAACAATGACAACAACAATGACAACAACAATGACAACAACAATGACAACATGTATGATATAGATCTAGCTGACCACACTATTCCTTCATATGAGGTCCTAGAAAAGATGAAAAGATATATATATATATATATATATATATATATATATATATATATATATATATATATAGGCCCCCTATATGTGTGTATATATATATATATATGTGTATATATATATATATATATATATATATATATATATATATATATATATATATATATATATATATATATATATATATATATATATATGAATTAATTAACATCTCTATATCTCTCCCCTTCTCCTCTTTCCACTATATCCCTGACTACAAGCTAACTTTACCAAAGGCACTATTACACAAATTTGACTAAAAAATTCAGAAATTCTATGTTAATATTTCACTTTAAACTACTACTTGACTATAGTACTTAGTACTAACTACTTACCCAGCCCAGCTTGTGAAGCTAGGGGATTGCTGCTGGCAACACACCCTCGCTTGCATACTACCACTGATCTTCTAGAATTAAATACAAACGAGTCATTCATCTCCCCAGCTGTAGTGGGGAAAAAAAACAGAAAAATAAAATAATTATTGAATGTTATCAGAGCAACTATGAATTCGTTTGGCCTTGAAGATGCTTGTAACTTGTAGCGTTCGTCTTCTAGAATCTAGTCTTTATTTATATACATACACTTTTAGTTTAACTATGAATGAATAAAATTGCTATCCTCAAAACTGAGCCAGTACATTGGTTAGTGTAGTGTACCGTCTGTCTGCAGTATCCGAGTACAGTCCCTTATATATGGCATGAGCCATAATAATTATAATATGTGGGTCTTTCTTAATGTAGGTCCCCTATGCTATATCTAGTTTGAAGGCTACATTGTATAATTTAATATTTAGGCCAAATTATGAATATCTGTTGGGCCTACTTCTTCTAGCCTAGTTGTTTTCATACCATTTGAACTTTGAACTATGACCTTAAGTAGTCGGCCCTCTTTTCCTTGTTTCGGCGATAGGCATGATAATGATAGTTGATGGTAAAAAAGGTACACTAGCATGCAGGGTACATACTTACCTTATAGTCGCAAACCAACATTAAATTGTAGTTATAAACTGTTTGGTATACGCAAAAATGTTATCACGCTCATGCAGAGTGACATCATGAGGGCGGATGAGTATATAAATTTGTGAAACTAAGTTTTCGAGTCACGAGTCATTCAGTCAAGTTCCAGATTAAAAAAAAAAAACATCCAAATCCCCCCCCCCCCCCCAAACCATTCATACCTTAGTTCTTAGGTCCGTGTAAATATGTTGGACTAGGTGTTGTCCATAAATGAAGTCACACTCGTAGGGGGAATTGGGGTACGTAATTTTGTGACGGTACGTATGATGAGGGGAGGGGGGGGGAATTCAGATGGTGTGAAGTCGCATGTTTGCATTATAAAAAAGCAATGTTAGAAAACAGATTTAGCCGTTATTTCGCGTTTTAGAAAACTGTTTTAATAAATTGTAATTGGAATAGATTAAAATACTCTATGTACACAGTCAGGCAAGTTTTGGAAAAATGTCGTATTTTAAGAAAAATTCAGCTGCATTCTTGATGGGGGTTGTAGGCTGAGGTTTAATTCCTTTTTTTTGGGGGGGGGGGGGGGGGAGGGTGGGAGGAGGTTTGGGTTTTTGTGACGATATGACGGAGGGGGAGGTAAAAATCGTCCAAAAAAAGTGTGACGTCATTTATGTTTAATTTGATCGAGAAATAGATAAGAAAAACGAATGGACCATTTTATTTCAAAGATCTATTGACACTGCAATTTGATATGAAACTTAACTTAATTTGATGCTTAGTTAATTTTTAAAGAATTAATTAAAATTCCTATAGGTATAAAAAGTTATATTTTCTGCGCTATATAGCCACTAAAGGCCTATATATTATACATTATCTATTGAAAACCTATACTAAAATATATAAGCAATCCACGCTTTTCTTTTAATGAATTTAAATAGTGGTTCATTACAGTGGCGTAGCGAGGTCGGGTGTCACCCGGTGCGGCACTTAATGGTGTCACCCCCCCCCCCCCCGAGGCGTTTTCAAGTTTTCGATGTGCACCCCCCCCCCCCTCAAGTTTTCGATTTGCACCCCTCCCCTCAAACTTTCGATTTGCACCCCCCCCCCCCCTCAAGTTTTTCTCTATATATTTTGCTATTTTTTGCCTTGGTGTCACCCCCCCCCCCCCTAAATGGTGTCACCCGGTGCGGTCCGCACCCCCCCGCCCCCCCCCCCTCGCTACGCCCCTGGTTCATTATTAGATCTATATAGAACTAGTCAAAGAAAATTATTTATGTTCAACTTTTTAGTAATGTAGCCTGATTATACGTTTTATTAATTTTTTAAAGAGCCGAAACCATTTTATTTTTACGAAGAAAAGTAACTCTAATTTTTCTTGTGATTCACCTTCGTTTAACTTCGCAGTTTTAGAATGTTAGGTTAGTGAAAATGGCTTCAGTTTTTAGCGGAGCTCTGCAACTTACGGATTTAAACGACTTTATTACACCATCACAGGTTATATATTATATAATGATATAGTTAAATGATTTAAATCTAGTCTGTGTCTGTAAATTCTTACTATTTTCGTTTATTAGATTTGAAAGAACAAAATTATTTTTGCCGAACAAGACCAGGGTAAAACTCCATTTTAGCGTATTTTATTCCCCGCTTCACGTTCACCTCCAGTTGGGCGTATTATATTATAAACACAACCGAAACACACACAAAAACGTTAGGAAATCACACGGCCTTTTTAAATTCTTTATTAATTTTTGGTTTAGTTTTTTAAAATTAATTTTGTCAATACTTTAGAAAAATCCAAAATTTGGAATATTTAGCCTAGGGCCTATTATTTAATATTTATTTTTTAATGTGTAGCCTACTACTAGATCTACTATTAACTATTTATCTAGATCTAGATTAAACTTCTTTTTTCTTGAAAATATGTTCGCGTCAGTTAAGATTTTCATGGCAATGGGTAAAGTAGAAACGCAAAATTGCAAGGCATGATTCTATAAATTAACTTACATGAACTCACAATGACCATAAGCTATGGTCCGTATGCTGATCATTATTAATTAAAGTCAATGTGAGCTCACAGTGAACCCTTGACCATGCAGGGATTTTCTGCCCCCCCCCCCCCCCCCTCCCGACGACCACACTCTATAACTATTTAATTGAAACTGTAATGCTTATTTATAATATTTTTTTTACCTTTTCTAATTAAAGCACACAGTAATAAAAAAAAAAATAAGTAGATCCATATCTATCACCTACTAATCCTAGTGTTTTCCTAACGTTTTTTTGTGTGTGTTTTGGTGGTGTATACGCTCAATCGGAGGTGAACGTGAAGCAGCGAATAAAATACGCTAAAATGGAGTTTTACCCAAGACCAGGCTCTTACAATAAAAAAATTGACTTGTGTGGACGCTTGTGGATTTTTAAAGGGGAATTATGTAGATTTTTGTGGAGGGGGGGGAGGGTCCAACATCCAAAAAAATTTGTGAACGTCATAAACCAACACTTATAGTTGACTCTGTTTGTAGTCAAACTTGCAACTAGGCTAAAGTAGAATTACAAAGTAACTGATGATTAATTGTCAATTACTACTTGGTTTAGTCTGATACGAGCCGACCCGCTGCGTATCATAAGCCGCTATTTAGTTGTTGTTTTTTCTACTTTTCAGTAATTTATATTTTGTGAATTCGACAGTACCAATGCTGCCACTGAAAATATTTGCTTTAAACCACTATCAGTAGCCCGTTAAGGACGATAACTCCCCCCCCCCCCCCCCCCGTGAAAGCAGCCTCCTTTTAGTTACCTCCTCTAAGTTTAAAATCGTTTCAAACTAAATTATCTGCCCCTAATAGCCGTCACCAAACCCGTCTCTATGATTGTAAAATGTAAACAGAGTGAACACCGCTCACCAGATCATGTGGGGGGTGGGGTGGGGGGTGGTAGTGATAATGATAGAGAGAAAGAGAGGGGACTGCAAAGGCGCGCTTGCAGCTTGTTTTCTAACTGATCCCAGAAGAGAATTATATATATAGATTGTATACACTGCATTATACTATATGAACAAGGCAATACTATTGCATGACCGCAGAAAAAAAGGAGTATCAAAATGATTTTGCATGATGTTTCGGCAAGGATAATTTGGATAAATCTAGACTAGATTCTAGTGTTAGTATTTTGATAATTGTCATTCAATAACAAAACAAGCCCTAAGCATAGAGACTTAGACAAATGCTTTAGTTGAACACTGATATCCTTTCGATATTAATCACCAAGAACTATTAATACTTAATATTAAAGTATTTTTAGATACAGTATCATTAGTATCAATATATAACTTAACATTTTTTTTACTTTTAATTCTTTTAAAGGAGTGTATTAAGCCTGTAAAAATTGAAAGAAAGCCTGGAAAGGTTGGGAAAATCAGAATTGAAGATGATGGATCCTATACAGAGATTTCACAGGTGTTTAATAACTGTTCGTGTTTAGCTGTAGACTATTGGTAATTATTTAAATGGGAATTCAACAGGAATTCTGAGATAGTTACTTAATACTAATTACAACTGACTAATCATAACTCTGTAGTTGTTTACTGTTTTACTTACAATTAGTTTGATTAAATGTATCTGTTTTATTTTGAACAGGATGGTGCAGAGGTTCCCTTAGAGAAAGCAAAAATTACTTTAAATGACTGTCTTGCGTGTAGTGGTTGCATCACATCAGCTGAAAGTATTCTGATTACACAACAGAGTCAGGATGAACTTTACAGAGTTCTGAATGAAAATGCCATTCATGAAAAGGTAGGAAAACTCAGTTCTTTCTTCTGTGTTCTTAATTGAATTTATGTTGGAGGATTTAAACAAGTCCAACTTCATGAATGAACTAGACTGTGGTCTCCAGATCTGTAGGTGCCCCATATAAAAACTTAGTTGATTTAATTAAGGTATATAATAATTTTTTGTACCATAAACTGTTGGCCTTAATTTCTTACAATACAATTGGAACTACAGGCTGGTGAAAGTGACAAGCAGAAGGTTGTAGTGGTCTCTGTTTCCCCACAAGCCAGAGCATCATTAGCTGCCAAGTTCAAGTTGTCTGCAGAATCAACTGCTAGAAAACTTACTTCCTTCTTTAGGCGCCTTGGTATGTTTCATTTAAAACTGAATATTGACTTTATATTTTCAAGTTAATTTGAACTTGTCAATTTTCCATACTATCCTACATTATAGCTAATATAACAAAACATACTTAAAAACTAATTCTAACTTAACATCAAAAGTCAGCAATAAATTATATGTGTTTTCAGCTGGTAGATAAGAATCAATAATTTTTATTAGCAGACTCATCAATAAATTGTATACCTTATCAAGCTACTTCATTTCTTTCAGGGGTTCACTATGTGTTTGATACAACATTTGCACGAAACTTCAGCCTTATTGAAAGCTGTCACGAGTTTATCAGGAGATTTAAAGCCTCAGAAACAGACAAGACAGCTCTTCCTATGTTAACTTCAGCTTGCCCTGGTAACCTTCCTAGCACACTTAAATGATGTCACACTCCAAGGGGGGGGGGGGGGGGGGGGGGGGGGGGGGGGCTCAGAAATTTTGTGACAGTGTGGAGGGGAGGGGTCCAAACTTAAAATTTAAAAAAGGAATGTTAGAAACTGAATTTTAGCTTTATTTTGCATTTTTAAAAGGCTGGGTTTTTTTTGTTTGTTTTTATTGTTACAGAAACTGATTAATACACTCAAGAAATCGATGTATTAAAAATATAAAACTGCACTTTTGAGGGGGGGGGGAGGGTGGGAATGGGTTAAATGTGATGCCATTTTGGTTGGAGTCTTTTTTTGACAATGTAGAGGAAGAAAAAAATCATCCAAAAGAGAGTGACGTCATTTATGGATGGCTCCTAAAATAGCTAGTCAAATGTTATATTTTGTTTGTTTTACAGCTGATATCAATTGTAGATCACAGCCATTCAGTTCTTGCTGCACAAGTTAAAATTATACTATAATGAAAGAAGAAAATCAGTGAACTTAAATTTTAATATACTGTGTTGCATAAATGTTGTTTTTCAGGCTGGATTTGCTATGCGGAAAAAACACATGGTTCATACATCCTCCCTTACATCAGCACAACAAAATCTCCCCAGCAGGTAATGGGCTCTTTGGTTAAAGACTACCTGGCGCAGCAAATAAACAGAACTCCTGAGGGTATTTTTCATGTTACTGTCATGCCATGTTTTGACAAAAAACTAGAAGCATCTAGGGCAGACTTCTTTAATGAAGTTTACCAAACAAGAGATGTTGATTGTGTGATTACTTCAGGTAAGATTGGGATTTTTAAAAAAATGTGTTTGTGGTACTGTGTTGTATGATCAAGTGTGTGTAGCTACAATCCTGATAGACTTCTGCTTACACATTTGTGATAATCTGTCTTTGTCTGGGTCCTTAGCTCTAATGTTTACCCGAATAAAAGCTGGCTGGGCCCAGGATACAGTTACACAATATACCCCAGTGATTAAGGGAGGCATGTAAAGTTCAACATAAATGTTCATTCTACATCATAATAGTAGTGTCACTATTATCCTGTTGTCAATTTTTTTTTTTATTTGCTGATTCTGAAGATTTGATATCAGAAAGCTTCAAAACTGGTTACCGTGGTCTGTGGTTGATCAATCCTTGGACAGAAATGTCCATAGGTGTAAATATATATATATATATATATATATATATATATATATATATATATATTTTATACAATATTAAATTAGCATTATTATAATTCATTACATCATTGTTTAATTAGTTTAGACATGACAGAATTGAATAAGAGAATCTCTTTAAATTGGATATTTAATAAGGGTTAGCTTTTGATTATTGACCATGCATTCAAAGCTGACAAGGGAGACAACCTATAAATCTGTTCCAAAAGTTTTTTAAAAAGAGAGAAACAGTTATACAATGACAATGAGCTTTCTTGTTTGTTATTTTACAAAACATGAATATTAAAAACTTTTTTAAACATTTTTTTACTGTTATGCCTCCTTGATATTAAAACTTTTATTTGACTATTTAAAATTGAGAACCATTAGCTTTTTAAAATACATAACTTATAGAAATGTTTAAATTGTATTTCAATCAGGGTTTTGCTTCACTTTTTTTTTCCGTATGGTTATTCACATCCTAATATTTAAAAGCCCATGTGCGCACTTTTCTCACTCTCTCTCTCTCTCTGTCTGCAACATATTTTTTGCCAGATATCACATCAGAATCTTCAGTGATATATGGAGAACTTGATAAGATATATGGAGAACTTGATACGGACTTTTGTTGAAAATAATATGGTAGATGTTTTAAATGTATAAACAAAATTTTATTTAAAGAAGAAAAATAAAAAATAAAGGCATATTCGAATGTGGAAAAACAGTTTTAATTATGCAACCGGAAAAGTTTTTATAGTTGGGACAAGAATGCTGAAATTGATGACGTCACATGTCATATGTTTGAAGCCTATTCTTTTTAAAATGTGTCAGACTTTTAGCTATTTAGTTATCACTTTGCTTTGTCACTAATATCGTTAAACCTGTTTTGACCAATAACTATTTTATAAAATATTCTTCTAAAAAATGTATACCATTAAAAATATATAGACCGTTAATTCATGTGTAACAGGTACCAATGGCTAGTTATCTTACAAAGAGTATTAAGTTTTTGAAATATCATTAGTAAAAGTTTTTTATTCTGTAAAATTTATTATACAAGAAACATTTGGGGAGTTCAATCCCCTTTGATTTCTTTTTTGTTTTCCTTTATGGTTTTAAGTCATACACCACCTTCACCCCTCTATGATTTGCCATTCTAACCATTGCAGTTTTCTTGTTTTTAATTTTCTGCCAATATTGTAGAGTGTTTGTATATTTCATATTGGTCTTCGTTAGATTGAATTCTCAATTCCTTGTTATCCTGTGTCGGTATATATATATATATATATATATATATATATATATTATTGGAGGATATGGATAGTCAAGCTCAGATTTCCACTGTCTTGGATCATTCTATCATACTGATGGCAAGTCTAATCTTTGCTTGTGGCGTCAGCCTTGAGTTTGTGTTGCTAATGAGTGGACTATTGTCATTGAGTGGCAGTCACATGACCTAACTAATTTTGCAGAGTGAGCCACATAGAGGGCCATGCTTGCTTCACTTGGGAAGTTGCTTTCTAGCAGAAAGTAAACACGTCATGCCCTCTGAGCCCAATGGAATCGGCTTTCGTTTTACCAATCCTTGACTGTTATCGGCTTCAAATAGGGTTGTCAGTATCTTCTGTTGGATGAGTGCCAGAAAATTCTGTCACCAAATCAATATTCATTTTTGCACTCCCTGGTGGTTTTTTTTAAAAATTAACACTGCTTATGATATTAAAAGCAAGGACAAGTTTGAAATGCAAATGTTTTTATATAATGTAATGGTGCCTTTTTTTGCACTCACCACTCCCCTAACCTGCTGAAACTGGAAATGCAACTGCCCTGTATGCATAGGCTACTGAAACGGATAACCTGTATAATATATATATATACATATATATATACATATATATATATATATATATATATATATATATATATATATATATACACACACACACACACAAACATATATGGTAAGGGGCATGACCAGTTTATGGGTATTTTAACTTGTGTGGCACAGTTTGGAAACAACTGATATAGCCTGGCTAAAGAAATTTGTGAACACGGCAATATCTACTCTTGACTTTCAAGCTAAAATGGAGAATTATACTTAGCATCACTGATTGATATTTGTCACCATTCAATCGTACTAGAACATCTTAAGAATGTATGAAAGCTTTTGTGATTATATTTTTAAAAAAATGTTCAATTTAATTTAATAATAATGAAAAGATGTATCATTTTTAGATGTTTATTTGTATTTCTTATGTAATTAGTATCATGTTCAAATAATATGTATAAATTACTTTACATAGGTGAAGTTGAAAAGATGTTGGACAAAGAGGGAACATCATTAGTAGACATAGAGGAACAAGCAATTCAAACCATGTAATATAATCCTTCACTCTCTTTTTACAAACTTTTACTAAGTTTGCAAATGCTTGCTTGCTTTCTGTGGATTTGTGGCAAATTTTGTAACTCTATTTTGACCCACTTCTAATGCAGCTATTTCAAGCAATGGTTCTAGATACCTTCTTCAACGACAATGCTTGAATATCAATTTTGTTCTCCAATTAAATAGACAATTAGGCATTAAATTTTGAATTAAAAATTTATAAAATTAAGTAACAAATATCAAGACATCAGCCTGTTTACAACTTGATTTGTAGTCTGCCTGTCGACCATAACCCAGTTAGGGCGGATAAATATCTTTTAGAGATCACAGCCCGCTTGTCTGGTTTTAATGCAAACATTTTTTGTTGTCAGCTATGTAATAACAACTTCATTTAGAACAAACGATAAAAAGTGGAAAATAATAGTATGCTTTTAATATTTAAATGCACTGAAAATAAGAAAATTAAACAAAATGGTTTTCTTTAATAAAAAACTTTGGTCGCTAAAATATGTATGTAAGAGAACTCATGAGTGACCAAAGCTTTTATTAATGAATGCAAATTTGCTATATTTTCTTATTGCAGTGCATTTAGTAGAAGCTTGCTGTTATAAAGGTTTTTGTATTTTTTTAATTATTGATCAACTTTCATCTTTTTGTAAGAAAGGTGTCATTAGAACTAGCACATCTTGTAAAAAAAAAATATTCATTTCAAAATTTTCAGTTAAAAAAGATTTTGGAAGTCTTAAAAAAAAGCACAGGCAGTTGAGATTATTTTTTAACTATATATCCAAAGTTGACATAAAAAAAACATATCTAATTTCTGGCAACAGATTACCATGCCTGGATGAAGCAGAGCTGTTGTACAACCATCAAGGTGGTGGCTCTGGTGGATACCTGGAACAAGTTGCCAGACATGCTGTGACGGTCTTGCTGGAGACAGACATACATCAACTTTCTTACAAAACATTGAGGTTTGTGTTAGCAGCCATTTTCCTATGAAATGTTAGTGTGTTTAGAAGTGTTCTGAAGTGTACAATTTTAAACCATTTTAATAGAGAGGTTTGTGCATGTTAAATTAAAAGATTATGGTTAGTAAAATGCTGAGGTTTATAAATACTGCTATATGCCAATTTCATAAGCAAAAACAGAACTGTTAACTTTATTAAGACTCAAGGTCATAAAGAAGTGATTATTATTATCTTTTTTCAATCTACTTTATAAATTTATTATTTCGTTGTTAAGGTTTATATAATGTAAGTAAGTAAAGTTCCCTTTCAAACCTGATGGTCTATAGGGCAAGTGAAGCAGAGTTCACTTGTTTCTGTGACCTCGGCATATGAAGAGATAGTGTGGTCAGCACTATGCCCAGCCACCTTTACTTTCCCTAACGTGAGTTAGATACCCATCAGTTGGGTAGACTCAGGGACATTCTACTGACTTGAACGCGGATTCGAACTCGAGACTTACGGGTTAGCAGTCCAGCTCTCTACCACTAGACAACTCCGTCCCCTTATATAATGTAACATGACAATAACATGATTGAACATCAAATCAATCAGTTTTGAATGATGTTCCCAGGAATCAAGATTTTCAAGAAGTGACAGTTGAAGCTGAGGGCAAACCTCCGCTCAAGTTTGCTTTGGCTTATGGCTTCAGGAACATTCAAAACATTGTCCAAAGAGTGAAAAGGGGAAAGTGCCAGTACCACTTTGTGGAGATCATGGCATGCCCATCTGCTTGTAACAACGGTGGGGGTCAAATTAGGACAGATGGGGATGAAAGTCAGAAAGAGAGACTTGCGACAGTTGATGAAGTTTACAAGAGTGTAAAAGCTGTAGACCCATTTCAAGAGAGGCAAGTGGAAACACTGTATGAACAATGGCTGGGTGGGAAAGACTCAACTAAAGCTGCACAGATGCTGCATACCTCATACCATGAAATAGCAAAACCAACAAATGCTTTGAACATAAAATGGTGAATCTTGTGATATAAAATAAAAATAATTTTAATGTTAACTTAATATATTAGTTTTTAATTTCTTGAATAAAATTCTTAACATTAACAGACGGCTGATTTGATAAATTGCCTGTAGTGTAGTTAAACCCCCCCCCCCCCCCACCCTTACATTTCCTTTAGCTTACTTTGGCAATGTGCAACTTTAAAATAATTTTCCAAAATTAATTCTATGTGCAGTAATATTCAGAGATATTTTTTCAAGATTTTCATTAATAATACATTCTTAATTAAGCTTGTAGCTTTAAAAAAATGCTTATGTAAATTAACACCTGCACCAGTTATGTCTGTTCTACATAATTTATTTTAACAGAAAATGAAGTAATTAAAATAATAATTGGTATATGCGAATTTAGATTTGTCTGATCTTAATAAGGAGGGTGTTACAATTACACAAACTATGCCAAACAAAATAACCACAAACGATATAACTTTTGTATGTACATGTCATATTTAATTTCACTGGAACTCACACACTAATCGTTCTAAAAACATTAAACCCACACTGAGCCGTAGAAAACATCAACCCTGGTATCTGAGGGTGCCAGTGGACTTCCTTAATATCTTTCTGACCTAAATGCATGAACAACAGCTGGGGCGGGACATCGGGTTCTTCTTGGTCTTCAGCGCCCTCGTCACGCTCCACAGCAACATCCCAAATTGTGACTTGATCGTCGGAGCCAGAAACTGCAAAAACTGAGCTGTCATGTGGGTTCCACTCCACTGATGTGATGGAGCCTTTATGGTGCTCAAATACAGCTGCTTCTTTACCACTCTATAAACAGGAACATTATTTTATACATATTGGTAACTTGAGTTTGAAATAAATAAAAATGCTATGTTCTTGGGAATTAAATAATATGATTTTACATACATTCAAGAATATTATAACTGGTTCTGAGAAAAATGCGCAATTGAAAAACTGCACAAACAGAATAATGCGCAATTACAAACTGCTTATACTAATTCACTTTAGTTTAGTCATATTTATGTGGAAATATGTTTTATTATACTACAAAGTATGTTTAGTTATTCTTTGTTAATTTCTATAAACTATTTTAGAAAACAAAAATGCCCTTGCACACTTATTTGTACACAGTTTTCCATTGCGCATTTTCCCGGTTACCCATAAAACTCAGTAGAAATTCAAATGTCAATAGAAGTAATAAAAACATGTAGTTTTTTGTTAGAAGTAGAGTACAACAACACAAGCTTTTTTATTACAAAGCAAAAAAAGTTACAAAATGATTCCAGAAAAATCACAATATTCTTAACATATGTATGAAAAAGTGTTTTGAATATATACATACTGAAAACCTGCGGAGATCCCAAATTTTTATAAGACCGTCATCTCCTCCAGAGATAACAAGAGGTTCAAATTCTGACCAGTCAATGACATTGACGTCCCTCAGGTGGGCATCACTGGCCACCAGTTTACAGCCATTGATGGGGTTAGCACGGGCGTCCCATACTCGGATTGACTTATCCACAGAACAGGTCATAAAGACCTGAAAAATATTTTCAAGTCTTAATAGCAACAATACATTTTACAATAATAATCATTGAAAAAAACTTTTCACTTAAAAATAGACTAGTGAATTTATTTTGACAAATTTCTACATGCAAAAAACACAATATATACTTACATTATTTTCTTTGGGGGACCATTTTATGTCTTCTACTGAAGCAGTATGACCAACAAAAGGTCGGGGGTCAACTACCCACGTACTTTCAGTTGGCTGCCACATGAAAATATTTTTGTTACAGTCACCAGTCAGTAGGCGCCCTGAATTTAAAAAAAAAAAAATGATGCATGTGTTTAAGCAAAAATGAATTTAAATAAGCAAAATTAACCTTAGCTCAATAGGCAAAAAGAACTATAAAAAAAATTTGCTGTAGTTCAATTTTAATGAACTGTAATGCTAAAGTAATATTAAAAATAATAAGAGACTAGATAGAATTACCCTAATTTTGGTACAAAAGTGAGATTCTTGCAAAAATATTTGTACAGACTAGCAATCAAAACAAGTTAAAATCACAAAGGCTTTTTACCACAAAGGATATGTAATCAAATTGTGATGTTGCAATGCAACACATACTCTATGGTGGAAAGTTATTTTAGTTTTTATTAATATATTACCATACTATTTCTTATCCGTTTAAATGTAAACAAAACTCAGCCATACCTGGGTCATGTCTAGACCATCCCAACGCATACCCCTCTATCTGATGTCCATCAAAAGCAAACAGAGGTGGTAGTGAGATATTGGCTGTCTCAAATTCTGTGATTCGGTCAGGTGTATCCAAAATGTTCAGGTGTGATGTCACATCATAAATGTAAACTACTCCAAGCTCCGACCAAGTGGCACATACAATATGATCATTTATTTTTGTATGCTGTATAAGAAACAAATTGAATATATTAGCAGCTTCATCGCCATCTTCTCTCACTCCTGTGCCCAGGATACATGGAGCCGATTTATTAACTTAAGTAAATGTTAGTATAAAAAATACATTTTTCAATTAACTAGAAGTAGGCATAAGATGCTGAATAAACAAGCTTTGTTATGATTTATTTTTGATAGAGTGAAATAAATACAGCAAATACCTTTATTCGGTTAACACATCCATTATGTTTTATAAGAGACTGATCCAGTCTGGGCTTTTTACTGGTAGCAGATGTTCCTTCCTCCTCATCATCATCGTCTTCATCCTCATCCTCCTCTTCACTTTCCTCTTCATCGTCTTTCTGTTCTTTCTGGGTTTTGTGCAAATTAGACATTTTCATCAACATTATGTAGTTAAAGTGTCCAGCTTCTGATTGGGTTCCACCTAAGAGGTATGAAGTCAGTGGGAATTTGTCTCGGTTGTCACCAAGCCCATCTCTTAAAACTTCAAAGCTCAGACATGGATCACCTAAAAGAAAATTAACATGGAATTCATTTGTTAGTTGTTAACAACAAAAACAGAGGCCTAAAGGCCTAGTCTTCTTTTGCTCATGGTTAACATTTAAAAAGTAATTCTAAGGTCACTGGAACTAAGACGAAAAAATTGTCAGAAGTGACAGAAGTCATGCGTCCGAAATGGACGCCATATTGTTGTTAGCAACTGGTCCCACCACCAGTTTAGTGAGTAATACTACTACTATAAGCTGAGTAGGCCTATAAAATATTTTCAAAGTGACTATGCGGATCACAGAGCATTCAGAGTATTTTTTTAAATTCCGTATGACGCGTTCTAAAAATATGTATTGGGAAAATTATTCAACACCCTATACATATATAATTTAAAAACTCTAATTTATAAATTCAGGTCCAGTAATAGATAGGCCTAATCAAATAATAGGCTATAGGCCCCTATTATTATATTATGTTTGCATTACAACATATTTTCAATTTTGACATTAGCCAGCCATGTGTGTATTTAGTTAACTACCAGTAACCTAACACCCCTTTTTTAAAGAAGATATCATTATCCGACACTGGTGTAAAAATTCTCTCCATTTTTGTAACTTTCAAAACATAAATCCTCCAAAAATGTGAAATAATTACAAAAATTTAATGAGTCACCCTTTTTTCACATAACTCAGTTATCTCTAATATTTGACACAAATCTATCACAATATACTTCTATTAAAGCCTTAACAATAAGGCATCCTTTTCACACATTACTAGCCTCGGCCGATTTTACGCACATAGATTACCATTCTTACTTTCTTAGTAAACCAGATTTGTCTCTAAAACAAAAATCTTCATAGAATCTAGATCTAGACTTCCAGGGATCATCTATTTTTGGCCGCATTACGCTTAAGGCCGCACTTGCGCGGTTCGCTGCGTTACGCTAAATCTTTACCCTAGGTGGCACGCGATCTAAAAAAATAGATATCAGGACTGCCCGATTTTTTTTCGTGTTAGCAATTTAATATTGACATTTAGATCTAGATCTAGTTTAAGTGTATTATTTCAACACCTAAAAATCTAGATCTAATCTGGTACTTGTAAAAAAAAAGCAAAACAGTGTCAGTAGTGGGTCAGATGATACTAATGATAGTCCTAGTTCTAGCAGCAATCTAGCTAAATCAAACTGCGCTTTAGTAAATAGTTTTTACATCTATCTAGCATGCATGATAGCAGATCTAAGTCTATATTATTAATCTTATGTGAACTGTGAACTTAAAAAACTTTCAATTTGCTTGAGGGGGGGGGGGGGGAGAGAAGTGAAGACACAGACGCTCTCGTGAACTTGTGTTCATTCTATGACGTATGCTTTAGACCTCACAGTTACCCTGCTGACCGTGGGGGATTTTTCACTGATGTGATAGTAAAGGTAAGCAAGCAATCACGCCAGTGACGTAGTTTGGAAATTTTATTTTAAAAAAAAGGAAAAGGGGCCTAACACGTCATATTTTCAATATGAAAAAAATAAAATGTAAAAAGAAACCACGATCGATTGTGCTAACCCCGGGTATGTTGGAAAAGGAAAAAGTAAGCGTTTTCAATCACAAGATGGCAAATCCAACCTGCGAGTCACTTCGCTACGGGCCAAGCTCTGCGAGCGTAGTCACTTCGTCTATTTTCCGCCTACTTGCAAGCCTAAAAAACTAAAAATGTATTATTAATTTTATTTTAAAATTTTTAGGTTATTACTAGATCTATTAGGCTTAGCGGCTAGGCCAATTAAATTTTTTTTTTGTTAAAAATAGCCTAGTTAAAATTATTTGAACTATTTATTTTGAATGGACGCACCTGTTGTTGCTTGATGTAACATAACATAGGCTGATTCATCCACTACCAATTCTTCATCCTCGTCGATTTGCCCATGTCCAGGAATATATACGGAAGGTTTGGGTGGTTGCAGCGCTTTGTTTTTATTTTTGTTTTTCTTTTTGCCTTTCTTTTTAGTTTTAGCCGATGAGGCTTCCATGGGCATTGGTTCATCATCCATGCTGTTTTGTTTATGTTGTTTCAGCTTTCAGAGGTTTGTTTCCGTTTCCTGTTGTGTCTATGAAATAAGGAAAGTGGTAGAATAAGGAATATTTAGATTCTAAATGTAAAACAGCTTTTTTGATGAATGTCTAAGTAGTTTGTGGGAGAATGTTGCTTAAATATAATATTAGAACCTACATTGCCAGTTTATTTAAATATTTGTTTTTTACTATTTAGCAAACCGCAGATATTACTGAATAGCGAAGTGGGAATTTATTTTTTTTGATTTCACAAGCTTTATCCAATCAAAAGTAGTGTTTCGCCGTCGTTACCTATAAACAACATGGCGACTCAGTCAATGGTGACAAGCAAGTGAGTCTATTTTATAAAACTAAAACCGAATAATGTGTTTTAATAAGTACATTAAACTCGTGTAAATTATATAAATTAATGCATTATTATTAAAGTTATTTATTTTTGTTTGTAGAAGTGACTTACAATATTTTACAACAATTAATTAGGCCTAGATCAGTAGATATTCTAGATCTAAAAATTAAAATCTAACTAAACTTAGTAAACTATTTTATTTTTTGTCTAAATTAAATCGTGAAAATCACAAAACAAAGACGACTATTATCTAGATCTAGATCTAAATGCAGTTAAAAGTTAATCTTACTGATAGCCTTAAGATTCTAAATCTGATCTTGATTGAAACACCCTTTTCTAATTCTCTCTTTGTCTGTTGGATTCTCACAAACTGATAGATCAGATCTAATCTAGACTCTAGCTAGCTAGACTAGAGTCCTAGACTAACTCACAACTGTGTCTGATTATGAAAAGTCTCTAAGCTCTAACTAAACTGTCTAAAATATTACAATTTCAACTTTTTTTTAAAAATATGTTTTATCTTTTGATTATAATTTATGTTAAAATATATGCTATTAATTTTATTATTTAACTATTTATGTTTTAACTAACTAAATCTTAACCCCTAAGTAGGTTTTTGTTTTCTACAAATAATATTTATGCTTGTTTAAAATGTTATTTGATTGTGTGCAATTTAATATGAATGTTTATTAACAAATAAAAGTTGGCCATCCTTCTCCTATGCTAGTTGTAAATGTAATGAATTTAGAACTTACACAAATTGTTTTAAACTTTTGGCCTAGGAGGACTTTATCCTCATTATTAGACCTTGCTCTGCTGCAAAAGATTTAAAAGAAAGACAGTCTTTAATACCTATACTAACATGCTACCTAATTGTATTTACTGTTTGCAAATTTTAATTGTTATCTAATTGAATAGCCATTCCACATAGTCTCATATCATATCATCTTTATTTACTTTGGCTCAGCAAACATTGTTGGTTTGACCAGGAATAGAAAGGAGGTAGGTCTATATGTGGATACAGTTAACAAAAAACACTGTATGCTTGCCATTAATTATTAATAATAGTTGTCACTTGGCTTTGTTACTGTTATCCTTCTTAATGATGTAGTGTATATTTGTGCTTCATCTTGAGTTTCATTACTTGTGTAACTGATTAATAATTTCAACCATATTTTACAAATTATATTACTCAAATGCCAAGAGATCTGCATTTTTACAAAATTATATTTTCAATTGATTTATCCTTTGTCTGCCTACATAAACAATGGCAAGATGTTTCTAGTTTCATTGAAATTATAATGATAATGAATTATAGTTCAACGTGCAAGTGGTTTATCCTATTATGCTTCTAGCTCAGTTCTGACCTATATTGGACCTTTGTATGTTTTTGTTTATGCTCACTCATTAGCATTGCACACTGTGACTATAGCCTTTAGGATTAAGTTTTTTTTTTTTAAACTCTGAGTTATCGAACTGGGTGTTACCCTATCTAGTGGATGCAAGATGAGTAAGATTTAACTCACACTAACCTTTTGTCTCTTTACATAATGTCAAATTAATCAATGCCATGCTCATTGAATATGCATGATGAAACTATCAGACTGTTGCAATAGATTTGCATCTCCTTTGCTCTCTGTTGTATTCACTGTTGTACACTGTTTCCTTTCTATCATGAACAACACATCCATTCATTTTTAAGTAACAGTGGCTGCTTTATCTTAAAATCTAGGATGAAGTGGTCTATTTAAATCATGGTTGTTACATTTTCTTCCAATCCCATTACACAGGTTAAATTTTAAACAGTTGAGAACGAGTAAATATTGATGTTTAGTTTGTCAAAGTACGACAGAATAGAAAAAATAGCATCACTAGCATCACTACTACTCCCTCTACAACATTGCCTCGAATCATTCACTTTCTTTGCCAAAAATATTTCTAAAAATTTACTAGATAAATTTTATTAAAATTATTAAAAAATTATTAAAATTTATTATTTTCGTTATTTTTAATTCCAAAAATAAAAAGTAGCCTATTTGTCTAATTTTGTATCTATGCCAGATGCGTAGCGATGGGGGGGGGGGGGGGGGGGTACATATGTCCCCGGGCGCCAACCTTAGGGGGCGCCAAAATGGGTTGTAAAAACAAATTAAAATGTCATTTTAGCTGCATTTTTGAATTATAAATCGAAAGTTTGAGGGGGTGCAAATCGAAAGTTTGAGGGGAGGGGGGGTGCAAATTGAAAATTTGCTCCCGAGGGGGGCGCCAAATTGAAAGTTTTTCCCCAGGCGCCAGGAAGGGTCGCTACGCCTCTGATCTATGCATTTGGAATATTAAGTCTTTAGACTTTTAACGTATAAAAATAATAATACCAGTAGGCCTACAACCCTAAGTCATATTTTAGTTTGTAAGTCGATTTTTGAAATAAAATATTTCCCTATTATAAGTAGTAGTAAAATCAGAAAGTCACAGTGTAATTAGCTATTTATAAAAAAGAAGAGAGAAAATAAGCCAGGTCATCGATCTTAGCATAACGTATAACGTAGCCTATACGGCATTTAAGTAAGTTATTGATCGTGTTAAAACGACTTCCCGTAACGTCTTGTACCGGGTTTGTAGGAACACTGAGTTGTTAAAATGAAAACAATTTGTCGCTCATTTTAAAAAATTTAATATTAACTTGGTTCATATCATCAGAGGCGTAGCGAGGGGCGGGGGGGTGCGGATCGCACCGGGGGACACCATTTAGGGGGGTGACACCAGGGCAAAAAATAGCAAAATATATACAGAAAAACTTGAGAAAGTTTGAGGGCGGGATGCAAATCGAAAATTTGAATGTTTGTCCCCGGGAAGGGTCGCTACGCCTCTGGGGGGGGGGGGGGGTGACACCATTAAGTGCCGCACCGGCTGACACCCGACCTCGCTACGCCACTGCATATCATCATCCCTTAACCTTTACTGGGGACGTTGGGGCACCACATTGACAGTAAAATTCTCCGCCATCCATCTCGGTCCTCTGCCGCTCTGATTTGTTCTGAGACTGGCAGCCCCGTCCCATCCTTGATGTCACCCATCCAGTGGTGTATTTGCCTTGACTAAATTAGCTTTTTTAGTTATATTTTAGGCAAATTTAAACAGGTCTTGTTGTTGTTGTTTTTTTTTTCAAATACTCTCATATGTTCATCACAATCTCTTTATTTCACCGCTTGCCAATGTATGGTCATAATCACCTCACATCACTTCAGCTGAAGCATAGGCCGACAAACCTAGCTCTTAGACCTGGGCAATGCTCCCCATCTGTCTCCGAATTATAAGAGCGGTTTAATAGCTTGTCATAGCAGCATTTTCTGGATTTTCATAACATCATGAAAAATGTAGACCAGTGTTTCTTCCAGACTTTTTTTCTGTGGGGGGGGGGGGGGGGAGACGGACGACAACATTTTTACACTAGTAAAAGTATGTATTCTATATATATATATTCCATTTCGTTCGCTCCCCCCCCCCCCACACCAGAGGCGTAGCGGGCGGGGGGGGGGGGGCGACATATGTCCCCGGGCGCCGACCTTAAGGGGCGCCAAAATGGGTTGGAAAAATAAATTGAAAGCTTGAGGGGAGGGGGTGCAAATCGAAATTTTGAGGAGGGGGGTGCAAATCGAAAGTTTGTCCCCGGGCGCCGGGAAGGGTCGCTACGCCTCTGCCCCGCACACACACAGAAGAGATGCCTGGAAGAAACTGATGTAGACACACATTGTCTGTTCCTTAGTCTATACGTAAAGACATTTTGAGGGTTCATTTAACTCCACAGAAACTGTGTTCTAATGTTAATTGGTCCTTGGGGGAGGGACAATTTAGCGGCATATCTTATCACGCAGTGAGCTACCCGCCCCCAATAATCCCTGTTTGGGGTCACCTAATCTATCTTGATTTATGGCTTAAACTATTTCCCATACAAAATATCTTAATTGTCTAAATACATTGATGTCCCGTTAATCAGTTATTTACTTATATTCTGTGGCTAAGATTTGTTTTATGTATTGTAAATATTTTGTTTAATTTTTGTAAACAGCTTCATTAATATTGATTTGATTAAATGAGTCTACCCAATTGAATTTTGATAATTAATCTAAATAATAGTATCGCCAGCTTCTGATGTATTGCTTTAGAAAGTTTACAACATTGGCTCCCGTACCACGCAGTTGTATTTGATTTATTTTAATACATAAATTACCCGGACTTATTTTTTTGCTACAGAGTTCTTGTTCCTATCCTACTTTTATTCATGCCTGAGTTATTGTTCTTTGACAGAGCTATTGTTCCCTGTGTGGACACATTTCCCGTTCTTTGTACTGCAGACGTGTTGAATTTAATTATTTGCCCTCACATTTATCGATTACTTAATACTTTAAAATCAATAGATAACACCGATCTTTAGCTGTCTCTTCGCGATTGTAGCTTAACTCTAAGCTTTGTTTCGTTGTTTGAACTTAATCGAAGTTAAGTTTAGTTTTTCCAACTTTCTATAGCGTGTACCGAATCCACAAAATGAAAGAGAGAAATTCAAAGCAAATAAGAAAGACGTTTTCACACTAAGTAGCCTACTATTACCAGTACCACCACCACCCCGTCCAATAAATTGACAATTTAAAGAATCATCAATATTCTCAACCAATTGTTGAAATATATTTCGTAATTAGACTAGTTGTTTAAATTGTGTTAAATCTTTGGAATAAGAACCGTATTCATTGATATAATTGCACTGTTGTCTTTATTCACATTGGCACTAGTTACACTGTATCCATTGTAACATATTATAGGCCTAGCGTGCGTAACAACATTAATGATTTTTTTTCTGCTCAATAAGTAGGCCAAAGTAAAACAAAGTTTACTTTACTCTTTAACGATGTATCACAAAGACAGCGCTAGGGGATGGACGATTCGGCAAAAAAAAAAAAAAAAAAAAATCCTCTAAACATACAGTAGTGAGA